CGGTAGAACTTATCTACCAAATCCTTGAACATCAATCGGACTTCGCCATTGTATGCTCAATGAGAAATGTATGTCAACGGCTGAACAGCATCTTAGACCGTTATGATCGATATCAGGTAAACGTTTTTCTACCGTGACAATCTAATTTGTATCTTTTGACTCACAAATTATTTTTCATCCTTACAATCTCTATTTAAGTAGAATGACTTCAATAAAATATATGTGAATACACTAATTGTTAGTCAAAATAGTTCATTAGTGTCAGTCTTTCCCCAAAAATTCATTCTTTCTATTATGATAATATAAAAACAGTGTCCTTTTTTCTTTCTTTCCAATTTCACCTAAATATTCCACGTTGCGCGCACCCTCAAGATGTCACAGGCATGCAACGCTTAGATAAGAACGAGAAAAAAGAAACAAAATATTGCTATTCGTTTTATACGTGTATCTAAACACGTTTGTTAAACTACCATTTTGTTAATAAAATTCAGATTTCGAAAAAAAATTAACGGTCTATAATAGTTTTTGAGGACCTGTTTTTAGTTTCATATAATAACTAGTTGGTTATTTCATAATAACATAATCTAAGTTCATCTTTATTAAAAATATAAAATAAATGAAATATCATCACGAAAAACATTAAAAAAAACTCTAAAAAGGCTCACTATCTTTCTATTTCTCTTGATCAGTTTTTAAAAACAATGTTATGATGCGTGATTTTGCAAGTCCTGGATTTTTTACAAAGTCTTCAATAATATGATTTCTTGCTTTATCAGTTAACTGTATATCAAGCCTTGATAGTTTCAATAGTACTTCGACAGTACTATCACCCACTCAGTTTTTCAACCAAATCTTAATTCGTCGCAATATGCTAAACATTCGTTCAGATTCATTCGATCCGAGTGCAAACGTTGCAAGTATCTGGTACAATTGGTACCATTCTGGACATTGTTCAGAACCATATTTTGATAATTGCAACAAAATAGATGAAATCGAAGTGATATTGTTAACAGCTCTGTAAAACGTATATAAATCGTCTTTTAGATTTTGTATATTCAGTAGAGGCTTATCAGTACGTTCGTATATTTTTCCATCAATACCTTTAAAAGAACACATATATTTTAAATTGCTTCTTGTGCTTCAGAATTGAAGCGTTCGTCTAATATTTTCAAAACGTGTTGAGTGGGATGTTAATTTACTAATTAGAGCATTTTTCGTTATTGTTTATTGTAGCCCTAAAACGCGTGCGATTATTTCTTTTGCAGCATTAACATTCAAAGATAACTGATCCAAATATAAGCCACGTTTTTCTATTTGTCGTAAAAATTTCATTGCCAGACGAAGGACTTAAGCAAATTAAGGTTGATTTTGAAACCGCAGTAGAATAACTGGACTTTCTAGGGAAGTCGGAAAATGATGGAATAAGAACGTTCTCTTTCTGATAAAAAAGGCGCGATCCAGATGATTTGATTATGAAAAAGTAACATATTTTTCCTTTCAACGCCGCATTACAACAATTAGTAGATGAAAAGAGCGGTTCATTCGTCATTCTTGGTAGCTTCTTGCTAACCCAGCTTTTCATCAGATAATCTTGAGTACTATACAGAACCTGAAATCCTAGAAATATTTCGACTTATATCCATACACCCTTCAACCGAATCACACCATTATTCATTTTACTAATTTAATCACTGATAACATCGATCACCTATTCTACTTCTACCTCCGCTTTTCATCTAGATACTCACCGCACTAGATCTCTCAGGAGAAGAAATCGAAAGGTCTGTACGATATCCACTAAAACATTTAGCTAATGCATTACGACACAATACGGTAATTCTGATTCTCTCATCATCTATACTATATCTTTATCTGTACATGTTCATCTAGACACTCAAAGTACTAGATCTACCAAATAATTATATCAAAGCTGATGGAGCCCAACATTTGGCTGCTGCATTACGATACAACACAGTCATTGTCATTCTCTCTTCATTCATATCGTGTCTTTATCTCCACTTTTCTATTTAGACACTCACTAAATTAGATCTCTCTGGGAATCTACTCAAATGTGATGGGGCAAAACATTTAGCTGATGTATTACGCCATAACACAGTAATACTGATCCTCTCTTTATCTATACAAAGACTTCACTGCTATTTTTTCATCTAGACACTAACAACACTAGATCTCCAATACAACGAAATTGGGTATTTTGAAATAAAACCTTTGGCTGAAGCATTGGAACAAAACAGAGTAATTCTCGTTCTCTCTTCATCCGTATTGTGTCATGATCTCTACTTTTCTATCTAGACACTTACTACACTAGATCTTACAGGAAATCAAATCGAATATGGTGGAGCAAAACATTTGGCTGATGCATTACAACACAACACAGTAGTCGTCCTTCTCTATGCATCTATATTGTTTATCTACCTTTATGTTTTCATCTAGACACTCATAACACTGAATCTTCGCAGAAATGACATCAGATGTGATGGAGCAACGTACTTGGCTAGTGCATTACAACATAATACAGTAATTGTCACTCTCTCTTTTCTATAGCATATCATTGCTTTCACTTTTTCATATAGACACTCATCACACTAAATCTCTGGGGGAATGAAATCAGAGCTGATGGAGCAAAGCATTTAGCTGGTGCTTTACAACATAATACAGTAATTGTCACTCTCTCTTTATCTATACCATATATTTACTTTTACTTTTACTTTTTCATCGAGACACTCACTACACTAAATCTCTGGGGAAATGAAATCAGATGTGATGGAGCAAAGTATTTGGCTGATACATTACAATACAATACAGTAGTTGTCACTCTCTCTTTATCTATAACATGTTTTTATTTTTACTTTTTTATTGAGACACTCACCACGCTAAATCTCTGGGGAAATGAAATTAGAGATGATGGAGCAAAATATTTGGCTGATGCATTACAATACAATACAGTAATTCTCATTCTCTCTTCATCTATACCATGCTTTTACCTTCACTTCTCGATCTAGACACTCACTGTACTAGAGCTCCAGAATAATTACATCGGAGATGATGCTATGCATAAAATCAATAAGTTGGTTGAACGTAATAAAAGAGAAAGAAAACCGTGAATGGTAATATTCAATGAATTTAGATGACGAACGAATAGCGAATGATGATTATGTGAGTCTTTTTCTTGTGTTATAATTTTTAAGGAAACAATAAATAAAACTGATTGTTTTTATATCTAATATTTATTGTGATGATAATGCGTACTTGGAATTTTTGCTATTTGATGCTGGAGATGATACTATTCTAGAAAAATAAAGGATTAACTCTGCAGTACATGTGAATATTATTCATTCATGCCATGCTTTGGAAAACGATGACTTTTTACGAGTAATTAAACAATAAACCAATATCGTTGTTTGAAAATACACTGACAAGATTGGTTGAAGGCATAATCAAAGGAAAAAAAGCGATTGACCAATCCATAGATCCTCTTGAACCCTATAGCTCTTAGAGCAAATTCATTCAACGATACCAACGTTCATCAAAAGTTACAAGAGTTCATAAAAACCCACTAGTCTATTACTATTTATTTAAAAAATATAACATGGTTTCGAATGTACATCAATAAATTGTAGAACAGGCTTATTAGAATCCACAGAAATCTATCAGAAAGTATTTTGTTCGAATAGATTTGTTAGAATACATTATAATAGTTTTCAGCCAATGTAGAAAATGAATTCTGACTCATCTTAGAAGTTCTCAGAACTAATGTTTTTCATTTCTTATCTGCTGATGAAGCTTAATATTTTCTATGTAGTTTACACACTGTTACTAACTCGATATGATAGATATTATTGTTTCTTTTTAACAAATAAAACTATTTTTCAGTAAGATTTGTTATATACACATTGTTTTTATTTAATAGAAATAATTTATGTGTTACGAACATAATGATATTTTTAGAATGATTCAATGTTTTTCTTTGGCAAATCAATCTACATTTTATTTTCTTGATTGTATATATGATAAAAACGAATTATAGGCATTGTGACATATGTTCTCAATAAAGTAATAATGTTCATAATTTGCTGATTCATGTCGTCTATGTTATAAATAGAACTAATAGCAATTTCGAAAGAATAATTACATATAATAAAGATATGAAAGTAAATAAGTTACATCAATAAATTATCGATAGAAATTCTATCTATAATCAGATTTTACTATTGGAGACAGTCGTATAGATTCACATGTGCGTTCATCTTTATCGAGAAAAGAAAAGGAAATAATAGTATACTATGACGAATATTGAATATGACAACATGCAAATCAAATTTTAAAAGCAAAACTCACTAAATCAGAAGGAAAAACAAAAATATTCATGTTAATTAACTTGACAATCTTCTAGTACGCATATCTAATTTAATTATTTATTATAGTTAATGTTTCTAAATGATTTTTTTTTCTCAAAAATTGATCGAATTATCATGTGCAATACTTGAGTATATTCATTGTTGTATTTATTTTCTTGTTCCATAGTATTCTTTAATACACAAATTAGCAAGCGCATAAATATTTGTTTTATTTTTATTTTGTATACAGATATCTACTGGATATCAATATGGCACGTGCGTTTTTTTTTCTTTTGCGAAGACATTATTAATTTGAAGATTGAAAATGAACAATTAAAGACAAAAGAGAGAAGCATTATTTTAAAACTGAGAGATAAAAGAAGACATGAAAAGCGAGAAAAACCACAAAAACAAACGATATAGAATGTTATTCTAAAGAAAAACGAGATAAAGCAGAACACACTCTTGATTATCATACATATACAAATAAACAAGCGTGCGAGCCACCGAGCACAACTACTCTAAATAAAACCTGCTTGATAGATATATTTAAGATGAATATAACTAGAAAAATAGATAATTTTCCTTTCAATATGTTTGTATATGTTGATAGTTCTTTTTTTTTGATAAATTTTTTTATTGTTAAACATTAGGTGCTAATAATTGTCGAAGAATATCATCTTTCAAACAGCCTTCAACGAATTCATCACGAGAAATATTTTTATCATCATTAAGATCTAATTTATCCATAATTCTTTTCACTCGATTTTCTGGTGAATTATCTCCTTTGCGATTTTCTTCACCTATAGAATATAAAACAAAAAGAACATACAAATAACAAAAAATATTTAATATAATTTAAACAAACCTAAGAGATCATAAATAGCCGTAATGACTTTCGTCATTTCTTTCTTGTCAATCTAAATAGAGACAAAATGATATGTCATATGATTAATTATTCAATTTTATAGAATAACAAAAAAAAAATAATCATCCGTCAACGTCTAGTCTACATGTCTCTGTTTCTTAATTATCAATAAATGTAAAATTTTGATAGTAATAAAAATACTAATTTATATATATGATAATAATTCAATATTTATGATTTTTTTTATTAATTCTTACTTTTCCATTTCCATTAATATCATAGATATCAAAAGCAAGACCAAGTTTATCACGGGTATCTCCGTTAGAATTAACATTAACCGCAAGTAAAAATTCAACAAAATCGATATAACCATTATTATCCATGTCAAATGTACGAAATACTTGTGAGCTATATTTTTCAGCTTCAAATTCTGGATAGAATTTTTTATAGACTTCCGTAAATTGTCGAGATGTAAGTTTCCCTTTTGGACAATCACGTAAAAATGCTGCATGCCATTGACGTATTTGATCCGCTGTATAATTTGTATTTTTTGTAAGACGTTCAATAGTTTCATCGTCTAGTTCAGCACCAATTTCTTTACCCTCTTTATTACCCATATTTTTATATTGAAAAAAAAAACGATTTTATTCGAACTCAAGGATTTTTAATAGTCACAATAGAAGTTTCACGCTAAGATACGAGAATAACTATGGATGAAAGTAATAATAATGAAGGTAAAACGTTAATAGAAGTGAAAGAGAGAGAAAAATATAAGAAAAAAAAGTATATAAAAGAAATAATATACCTAGGTAACTACCTATAGTCAATAGCAAATGATGCGTTGTTTGATGGCCAATACGAATACATATCATTTGTATATTCTGTCTTTTGCTTAGTCACTCTTTTTCCTTTTCGTATTATTAGCAAAACTTTTCTCGTACTGCTTAGTCCTGGTTGACAAACGACGTCGATAAGCCAGTTACTTAAAAGAAGGAAGGGAAAAAGAAAAAGGGCTATTGAAGATGCAAAATGCGTATATGCATATAGCTAATTTGTATTCGGTTTACTAACCACTAATATTGATGTGCGTGCATAAGCGTTGAGGCTATAATACAATAATAATGTGCGATGATGCGATACTAGGCATATTCTACAATCACGCACTTACATTGTCATAGTCTTCAGTCAAAAACGGTAAACAGCATATAAGATTGGTTATATAACTGTTTAAAAATAGAAGAATTAAAATAACTACTTGTCATGTCAGACGAAATATATACAAATCTATTTGTATCAGCTGATTTTAACTATGTCGTTTTTTAATATAAACGATTGTTAAACTATGTATATAATATCAAATCATTTATACCGAAGTAAGCGTAAGTTACACTTCTATACTTGGTTATTTTTTTTCAAGAGAAAAATACGCGCATCATTTTCTTCTAGTCTCATTAAATCTCTCTTGAGAATTTTCTTCTTTTTTTTTCTGCATTAAGATACAGTGTTAGTTCATTCAATTATTTATAGAATATCTCGAAAATATTCAATAATAACTTTGGATCTGTTTTGTATAGAAATAAGTGATAATTTTATTTACCTTTCCATTTTTATTCATATCATACATATCAAAAGCTAATCGAAGTTTTTCTCGAACATCACCTAAAATATATATATTTTTATTACAAAGAAACACTTGAGAATTTGTTTTTTTTCTTCTTTCAAATACATACCATGAGATGTAATATTCACAGCAATAAGAAATTCGACAAAATCAATATAACCATTATCATCAGAATCTAATTAGAAGAAGAAATAAGAAAACGAATAATGAAATTTTTTTATCTAAATATTTACCAAATGTTTTAAAAACTTGTGCACAAAATTTTTCTGCTTTACCTTCAGGATAGAATTTCTAAAGAAAATCATTAATATAAATTTCTTTTTTTTTTTTGAAAATAAATACTATACCTTATATACTTCTAAAAATTTCTTTTTATCAAGTTTTCCATTTGGACAATCACTGTAAATTAGAAGAAAAAGAAAAAACAATTTGATTATATAAATCTATTCTTTTCGTATCCTTGGTATACCGAAGAAATCCTTGATGCCAATCTTGTATTTGTTGTTTTGAATAAGTTGTATTTTTTGTTAAACGATCAATATCTTCGTCTGATAGATGAGTTAAATCTTTTTTATTTTTACTAGATTTTTGTCCCATAATTAACGTAAGAAAATTTATGTATAATTAATAATAATAATTCTACAAAAAAAAAATAATCATTAGAATGTTATTGAAAGAAAATCTCATAAAATAAAGATTAATGATTATTTAGTACGCAATAGAAATGAAACTGGATTATTCCTATTCGTTTTCAAATATTTCAAGGACACACAGAATGAAAATGAAAAAAACGAACGATTTTCATGATGAATAATTATGAAATCAGAGACACTATTTAATACGATATTCGATAAATAAAACAGTATATATAAATCTATATACTTATGTTTTGCTCGAATATCCATAAACACGAGTGTAAGTAGTTAAATCAGATGCACACATAACATACAACACATAAAAAAATGCACGTTCTGCTTTTTCACTGCTTTCTATTCTTCTTCTCTTCTCTCCTCCTTCTATAGCAATGATCAACAACGAATAATAGCAGTAGAGTAGCAGTAATAGCGGCATCCATTGCTTGTACGTGGTTGTCAAAAAACACAACGATGCAAGCAAGCAAGCAAAGAGAAGAGAAAAAAGGCAAAAAGCCTTTTTCTATCGCAATGTTCTGTTTCTTTTTTTTCTTCTTCTTCTTCTTTTTTCTTTGCCGTATTCAAATAATGATGGAGTATTATACAAATTATAGAGAACGGTCAATCGAAGCATGCTCCTTTGAACATACAACTATAGTTATATGTTTGTTTTATTTTATTATATATTTATATAAACAAAAAAATTAGAAAAGTAATTTTAGGTTTAGTGTTAATAAAAACTTTCAACCGGGATAACTAGATATTTTGTATTGTTTCGGTAATGGTGGTATATTTGCTGTGTTTGAACCATACATATTAATAGCATGTTCTGGTAAAAGACGCCAACCAATTTTCTAGTTATATAGAAAAAGAAAGATAATTCGAGAAAGGTCGTCTATATATTATATAAGAAAATATTTCTATACTATAGCAGATGTCTCATATAGATATATGAGAGATCAATGAAGTAGATCATCAATCAAATATGCATTATTGTTTCAAGAAAATAAAGCTAATTAGGATGATCTTCAGATATTTACATCGTTTTCTGTTTCAGGAAACGAGCCTAATAAACGTCGACGTCGTTGACCATTCAAGCGTTTATATAATGGAGGTAATGCATCTGCTGGTTGTTGCCATTCAGAACGCTTAAGTGGAATAACACGATTATCAGGAGGTATACCACGATTTTTTCCTATACTTTCATACATCTACAATAGAGTAATCAATTTTTTAGCAATTCATGACAAATAATATTTCGAACTTCTTGATATTCATCCATTAACCATGGATCAAACTTTGTTTTCCATAATCGTTCTGCTTCTTCTTCTTTACGTACAGTTTCTCGCCTATATAAAAAGTTTTTTTCTTCTTAGAATCATCAATCATATAATTTCTTGTTGATTATATTTACCTGAATGTATCTAATGCAGTATAATTAGTGAAATCGTTATTAGCTGCTCTTGACGACATTTTTATTACTGGTCGATGATAGTTCGATAACAAACTTGTCACTTTTGGTTGAGCTGATGATATATTAGTCGATACTTAATAATATACAAAAATAAGATTTTAATAATAAATTTTGATTGTTTCTTTACCATGATGAGTATTTAGTTCTGACATTATATATTTAAACTCAATTGCAAAAAAAAGAGAATATAGTCTGTACTTCACAATGGTGTAGTTGAATTCTTTTCTGTTTCTTCTTCATTTTTTTTTGTTTCTTATCATCGTAACTACATACACCTGATTTTTTTTATATTAGATTTCTTGTTCGGTTTATTACAACATGTTGAAAGTAGAAAAAAAAGAAACTAAAGTGAAATGGTAAATATATAAATACGATAGGTAATATATACATATACATGCAAATGTTTCTTAATAGATGACTCTTGACTTGACTTTTGTTTTCTTCATTTATATAAAAATAGAATATGACTGCATAAATATTGAGATTAACAATTTAAATATGATAATTAAAGGTTCGACATATCGATTACATATGAATATGTTTTTATTAAAAAAAATATTTTTATTCCTTAATGATGTTCGTCTACGACTTGTTGATACTACGAAAAAGTTGAATACCATTCAAATCATTATTTTCTATGAAGAATTTACGATTTACTATATCATTACACATACAATGATATAAAACTATTCTTGATTTTATATAATATATGTTATATAGATTGCAAAGAATTAATAAACTTTATTTTTTATCAGTCCTTGACAATATCAATGTTGTCTTAACGATAAGGTCAAATAATTACAGAATTTTAGTTGCACAAAGAAACAGAAGAATATATATAAATATAAAATACAATGGTAATGTCAGATGACAATCTTAAAATAGTTGCTAAGCAATGCATCTATTTGCGTTCTATCAATTTTAATAATATATATATATATTCTAAGTCTTAGAAAGCTTAATTTAATAGATAATCTCGTTAGAATTATACTCATAAATAACAAATATTTACGAACTAAAAATGAGTTTATTTAATCTATGTTATGCAAAAAACATCAACTTCGAACAATGAAATATAAAAAACAACTAATCAAAACTAAATCACATGATACTATTATGTTTTTTTCAATACTATTGACGTTGTCGTTTGAATAATAACCGTTCACTGAATAATGTTGGCTTATCAAGAATAGGATAATCGACAAGTTCAATTGAACATGTTTGTTTAGACCCGTATGGTGATGATTGAAGTTCAATCATTGTTATAGAATTAGTTGTAGATGGATTGAGCCATATACCAGGCGTATATAAAGTTACTTGAGGTCCCATAACTGGCCAATATCGACCTAAATTATATTTGTTTATATAAGCTATACCCTTTTCCCAATATCCATTAGAAATCGTTGTTGGTAAAAGAAATGTATCTGATGGAACTTTATCTGTTACTGAAAAATTGCCACTATAAATATTTGGAGCATTTGGATCAAAATCTTGAAATTTATTTATAGTTAAATTAGCAGGAGCTTCATCAAATAATGAACCGGATATACACATTGCCCAATTGGAAAGTATCTGACCATTTAATGTAATATTACTAATAAGACCCTATAAAAATAAATTATTATTCTAAATCAAAACGAAGAAGAGTGACAAAATCTACTTTTGTATCGAATAGATTATCACCAAAGTTTAATCGACCCATATTTTCTACAATAATATTTAATTGTGTTTCTTGATTTCCAGGTGCTTCAATAGTCAATTTTATAGATGAACTATTAGCTCGATAAGCAGTACCAATTGATTTCTGAGTACATATAAACAAATGAGATACTTGAAATACAAATGAAACTCAAATATATATATAAAGAAAAGATTTACTTCGCCGAGTAATACATAAGCACGATCACGTATTCCACTTAAGTCAAGTACTTTTCCTTGTACTTCTGGATCTTTTAATACTGTTGAATAGACAACAAACGCTTGATTCTGTCCAAGTTCTTCAAATCGTTTTGGATACATTAATGTTTCACAATATGGTGAATGACTTTTAATATAACTTAGCAATGATTGTTTAAATGATAATTGAACACTTCCATATGCTTTTTTCGTATTATTTCCTGGCATAGTTGTTGATGGTAATGGAAAATATTTACCAATTAATGCACGAATAGCCAGATATTTCGATGTAATATCACCCGCTTCTGAAATTGGTGCGTCATAATCATATGATGTTGGCTGTGGTTGATAATCAGGATCAGCACCTGATAATACAAAGAAAATTATAATTCAATTCAATTTAATTCACCCTACCTGAAGTAAAACCAAAATTTGTTCCACCAAAAAACATATAAATATTTACATTCACTCCAGTGGATAACATTTCATCAAGTGTTTCAATAATATCGCTCGTTGATACTTTTGCATGATTATTGCCCCAAAGATCAAGCCATCCAGGATAAAATTCTGAATTTACCAATGGTCCATGGGGAGCATACATACGTTGATAACTAAATGCTTCAGTGATATTAGTCTTTATACCAAAATCCACAGTTGAATATGCTCCCTTAGTTGTTCCACATTCTAGATAATGCGGTCCGTTACAATCTAACGAAAAATTTCAAATTAAAATAAACACAAAACAAAGATTTCTACAATCATACATACCAGTCATAAATAAAGCAACATTATCACCTAAATATTGACGGAAAATATCACGTAAGTAACTCGTATAATCATGATCACATCTGAAGAAATACGAAAATATATTGTTAAAAAAATGAAGAAAACATTCACATACGCTTTATAACTGCCATATTCATTTTCTACCTAAAATTATAGTCATTTTCTCAACTAACTAATTGATTTAATTAATTGAAAAATCTAAACCTGAACGGTTATAACTGGTCCACCATTATTGTAAAGCAAAGGTCGAATTTTTGGTAGAAGTACACTCATCCATCGAGTAACTGCATTCAGATAGACAGAATTCATTTGTCGAAGTTGTATTTCAGTTAGATCACGTAAAAGCCGCCAAGGAATCCACCAAACTCATGTTCACCACATATATAGCTACATAAAATATTCACAAAAAACAAAAATATAATTTTTATACAATTGAAATCATTTAATAGAACAAACTTACGGTCCTACACGCAAAATAACAACAAAACCAATCTTTTGTGCTAATTGAAGAAATGCCACAAGATCATTAGTATCATCGAAATTATAGACACCTTCAACTAGTTCGTGTTGATCCCAAAAGACATATCTATATCATAAGAAAAAATAGCTCATCGGGTACAGAAGATTATCTTTAACCATAAAAGGGCTTCTTTAAATAGATATGATCGATATTATCTATTTATATCATAAGTCTATACCAATCAAATTCGAATAGAAAAAAACTTACGTTTGAATAGCATTTAATCCTGCAGCTCACATTCTTTCAAGTCGATCATTCCAATATTCTCTTGGCATTCTATACATATGTATTGAACCACTAATATATTGAAATGGTTTTCCATCTTTTACAAATGTATTTCTATCAAAATCAATTCCAAATGATTGTTCTGATTGACATTGACCCTAAAGGTAAATAAATCAATTTTCTAGATACGTATATCTATCGATTTAAACTTACACAAATACAAAGAATTATAATCAATGAAGCATATAATTGCTGATACATAGTTTGTCTTGTGATCGTCAATACAAGAATAAAACAAAGTAAGATAAGAATGTATACCTTTAACAGTATTTTATTTTTATCTCTTTCGAATCGTTGCACAATTTTATTTTATTTGTTTCTTAAACAAAAATTATCTCCGTTTTTTTTTGTCTCTTTGAATACATAAAAGCAAGGTTTTTGATAAAAGAACAGTTGAGCTAAGTGTTGATATACACGCACATAGAGAGAGAGAGAGAGAGAGAGCGAGAGTCAGAGAGAAAAAAAGATAAACAACAGATATAGGAGCGAAACACATTTCTTAAGAGATTCAATTGATTGTAAAAAAAAACGAAAAAATATCATTATTATTTTCTTATTTGTTACATAAGACGGCAACGATTTAGATATCGACGTTTCTTTCGTTTCTTTTTAATTGGATTTTGATTTTGATTTTGAGTTTGTTGTCGTATAGCACGAACAAGTTCATGAAAAGCAGCATCAACATTTACTGGTGGAACTTTGGCACTTGTTTCAATATATGGAATTTGTAATTCAGCTGCTAATTCACGACCTTCTTCTTCCGATATTTTTCGTAAATGAACTAAATCAATTTTATTTGCTACAAGAATCATTGGATAAGATTTTCTAAAGAAATAAAACTTATTCTATATAAATTGATTTGTGTTATTTTGAAAATAAAATACCTGTCTTTGACACGAAGTATTTGATTATAAAATTGTCGAGTATTCTTACATGAATTAGCATCAATCACAGAATAAACAATAAGAAAACCATCACCTTTACGCATATATTGTTCTCGTAAAGCAGAAAATTCTTCTTGACCAGCAGTATCAAGGACTAATAAATAAGAAAAAGAATTTATGAAATGAAATTAAAAGAATTTTCATGTTATTTTACCATCAAGTACACAAACTTGTCGATCAACTTCGACATGTTGAATATAACTATCTTCAATAGTTGGATCATAATCTTCAACAAACATTTTTTGAAAGAACTAAAATTACAATTTGTGTACCTCCAAAGTAAGACTTTTCTATAAAAACTTACTTGAATCGTCAAGGCAGATTTTCCAACACCACCTTTAATAAAACAAAAAATAAGAAAATAGAAATAAAGAAAAACATTTATGTCTATGTATGTATATATATTATACCTTCGCCGACGACTACCAATTTATAGGTAACTGCATTGTCAGGCGGAGCACTTTGCATGGTGATGATGATAATGATAATGATAATGAACAACTAAGTGTTGAATACCGGAAGTACTCTTTGGATTGAGTTTCAGAGAACACTGCGAAGTAGCATTACGTGTCAATTGAGATGAAAATGAGTCATCAATTTGGTGACGACAATAACATAGAGACGACGGAGAGAAAGATGCGATAGATTGGACATGTCTATCAGTCGACAATACGAACGAAAGAATATCTTATATAGTAAAAAAAAAGCCAAAATATTCTATAGATAGAACGAGAAGAAATTGAGAAAGAAAAAATAATATATATCTAAAGAAAAGAAGAGGACAAACATGAGAAAGAGAAGAAAAAAGAAAAGAGTTTGTAATGACAGTATATGGATTGATGGAAGATGTTTCCAATTAATAATAAGTAATAGAAAAAGAGGACGCTATATATCAAAATTGTAGAATAAAAGTTTTAGCAAAACATTTTATCATCACGAAAAAAAGAAATTAATTTACAACAATTTTATAGATATGTAATCAAACGATAAAAATGTTTTCTCTTCTTGTTTTTACAAATAATTGTTAATCTCATGAGAATATATTAATGTTTATTTTCACTATTCTCACTTATATTAAATATGCATCTAGAATGAAACATTTTAACACGTAATTATATCCGAATTCTATATCAATATAAAATTCAAATAATAATTTTTCTTATATTATGGAAATTTTTTTTTTCTAACCTTGAATAAATATAGATTAACCATTAAAAAGATATTCAAAAATATTTTTCCAAAATTAAAAGATTGTCACATTCGTTCGTTTTCTCTGATGATAACTAGTGTTAACATACAAAACTACTACATCAAACTCGAGACATTTCTAATATAAAATAGAAACGATATGTTTTTACAGGTGTACTATTTTCAGTTAGAATACTTAGATAAGTTGATTTAAACTAGGAATAAGTACAATATTCGAAAATTGAATGTTTTGAGATAAAGTTTATGTTTACTTCTCCTAAGTCGTATTTTTCTGAAAACCATACCTCGTAATTAAATATAATGTTTTTATTATATTTTTACTTATTAATTATGGACATTGCACTTATTTCTTACACAAATCATTTTGGTAGTCTAGCTGTAAATGGTACACTCTTGAACGTATGTCTCTATGTCCAAAATCTCGTATAGGAATAAATAAACAAGGAATAGTGATAGTAGAATATAAGTGCAAAATTCATTTAATGATAAAGAATGTTCGAGAAAAAAAAATTTAATGATATAATTAATATGAAAATAACAGACTAGTAGTTAATTATGAATAATCATAGAGTAAGTTAATGTACAATGTTTCTTTTTTTTTGGAATTAAATATAATTATATTGCTTTCTGTTTTATTACATTTTTAATAAACGAACAAATTTTAATTAGTTTATTTCCATACAGCTCATATATGAACAATATAGTTTAATAGTTTCTGTTCAATCATACCATATCAACGATTTGTTCGTATTTTCATTAATAGATAATAGATTAAGAAGAAGAAGGATGTAGTAAATCTTTTAATTTTTCCGATGTTATATCAGCTAAATACAAGAATATACATTTTTATTTTTCATCAACAAAAAATGATTCTATCTTTAGTTTTACCTTGTTTTAATTTTTCATTTAATGTTATTTTTGATAATGCTGATGAAAGATTTGTTGTTCTTGAATTACTTATTTCAAGTGAATGTACAATTATGATTTTATCATTGTGAGTTAATACATAAATAAAACAAAACATATTATTATCACCAAATAAACCTGAAGTAAATGCTTGAATCTGATCAACAAAATTTGTATTTGCTATTGAATCATTTGTACCACCACAACCTGTATTTGATGATAGTGGTGGTCGAAAACGAATTACATTTAAATGCCGATCAACTATAAATGTATCACCATCAACAGACGAAATTGTTACTAATTGATTATAATTATCCTTTTATAAAAATTAAAAAAAGGATGTTTAGTTAATAAACAAAGAAGTTTTAATTATTACTGTGATAGGTCCTCTTCGAAGACCGCATAGATGTCCAGTTTTTGAACTCAATGGAATATGATGTATTTTATTCAACGAACTGGAAAAAATATCGATATGATCTTAAAGAAAAGAATAAACAAATAATTCTGACTGAGATATTAAATTGTCTGGTGCATAGTTCTATACAGGATGATGAAGTTTGAAATCGAAAATGATCTATTTTCCTTCGAAAACTTTATTAAGCCTAGAATGTTTTCTGTATGAATTTCTTAGATATTCTGTCTATCGTTGTCATACCATAACATATAGTTGCATAAATAGTATCTTCTAAAAATTTGTCAAGTGCGATTGCTTCTGTCCATCCTGATGATGTATAATCACACATGTCCGTTGCTAAGACTCGACCTAAAAATAAAGTTTTTTATTTATTAAATCTCTTGATTTATTTCTTTTACTATTTTCATCATTAGGATTGAATCGAAGAAGATTGCCACATGGCTGTGAAACAATAAGTTCATAGTCTTTATTTGATAATCGTCTAGAACTTATTGTATGAATCTGATCAGCAATATTAAAAGCATGTTTCAATACGAATCGACCGGATAATCGACCATCAAATTCTTCCATAATTATTGATGTGAATATACGAATTGTTCTATCACAATAACTAATTATTAATTGTTTTTCATTCTCATTATATTCTATATATATAATTTTTTACATTTTAATAGAACAATAGAATTTCTCTTACCTTGAATAAGTAGTATTTTTGGATTACAAATCAATTGTTGACTAAATGCTACTGGAATTTGTTGCTGTTCATCATCATTTGGTGTTGCTATTGACATGTTTGTTGAACTATATAATTGCATTTTCGAATCATTTCGATTACCACTATGTAAAGTTCCACCTGCACTACGTACACGACTTCTTTGTCCCTGAAAATCACAAAAATGAATTCATTTATTAAATTTTCATTACATACAGCAGATCGTAGAAGAAACAAATGAATGGCACCTTCAGCATTTGCTACACAAATTATTGGTCGAGGTTCATTCGTATTCACAGCAACAGGACCAACAGCAATAGCTGTTATCTAGTAAAGATTAACACAAAAAACATCTTATTGATCGATATTACTGTACTTACAAATCCAAGTCCAAGTGCTCGACGCCATAATTGAACATTATTTTGATTTCGAAAAGATTTAAATATTAATAATTCACCATCCTGTGTACCAATTAATAATTCATTACTCTAATTAGATAATAAAAAACATTTACATGACGCATCTATGAAAAACATTGATCTTACTTTATTCATATCAACATCCGCAAGTAAAATAGCATTGGGTAATACATTACTCGAACAATCAAGTGTAATTGTATTTATAGGTGACACAAATGTCATTTTTTCTAAAGAATAAATATATAAAAGTTACGTTCAATTTGTCCTAATAAAAACAATAAATACTATGATTTCCCTTTTAAACTTCTTTTGAAATACAAAAAAAACAAATTCGTATTGATTTCTTCGCTAAACTATTATCAATCCCTTAACACTGGAGATAAAATATACTCAGCAGTTGTCTAGAGGTTGGTATGATCTTATTATATTCATAGAACTGTTTGCTGTTATTCTTAATTAGAGCTTTAACTGAATTGATCAAGTTGCAATCCAAATCTAGAACGTTCTGATTACACTTCACACTTTTCTATAAACAAGAAACAAACTTCTTATTTCGAGAAAATCGTTTTGTTTACATTGCAAATAGACATAATAAAAAAAAATATTTGACACAAAAAACCAACAACAACAATAAAAAGATAATATATATAAATATATACATTAAAGTACTGTACGAGAGACAAAATGTCTGATTGTCGATAAACGAGATGATTATAAAAAAAAAAAAGAAGAAAACCGAAGCAAATGAAATATCAAATAATCAAAAACCAAAACTAGGAAAGTGATGATGATGATGTCGTTGCTGTTGTTGTTTGACTATGACTATTTGTATCCGTTGCAATACCGGATGTTGATGCAGGTAGAATAGTTGTTGATGCAAAATCACTAATTGATGGTGATGATAATGATGGTAAATCTACATAATCTAAATCAGAATAATCAATTGGTGATGAACCATATAAATAACGACGAAGATTTTCAGATATTTGAGTAAATGTTGGTCGTAATGTTTCTTTAAATGCCCAACATGATTCAATTAATTGAAATCTAAAAGAAAGAAATTTTCGAATATTTTTTAACTTCGCAAATAATTTTACATTTCATTTGGACAATTCGATGGCTGAGCCATTCGATTTCCAACTTTTAAATAATCAAATAATTTCTCAGCTGATATTGATGGATAAGGTGTACCACCATAAGTCATTATTTCCCATGCTAATATTGCATATGACCAAACATCACTTTTCGTTGAAAATTTTCTATCGAATAAAGCTTCAGGACTCATCCATTTAACTGGTACACGACCCTAAATAAAATCAAAATATATATATTAGATTTCAAAACTATTCTTATATTTTACATCAGTTTGTTTTCGATAATAATATGTTTGTGTTAAATCTCTTGCAAGTCCAAAATCAGCTATTTTACATACACGATTTTCTGCTAATAAAACATTTCGTGCAGCAAGATCACGATGAATACACTAAATAAATAATAATAGTGATAATAATAATAAATGTTATTGAAGATGTTTACTTTTTTCGAATGTAAATATTCCATGCCAGCTGCAGTATGCAAACAAAATAAAATTAAATCAATTGTTGATAATGAATGTATTAAATCATCACTATCATCAGGTTTATAGGATTCATCATTTTCATCTTGTTCAAATGAACCCGATAGAACATGTCCTGGTGGACGTTTACGACGTAAATAATCACGTAAATTACCATATTTTGCATATTCAACAATTAACATAACTTGACCTATATGAATATAGATTTTGCTTTTGAATACCAAAAGAAAAAAGAAAATTTATTTACCTCCTTGAGTACAGCAACCGAGTAATGAGATAATATTAATATGTTTACCAACCATTTTCATTACAGATAATTCTTTAAGTAAATTTTCGATTTCTTCAGATGTTGCATCATCTTAAATTGAATAGAACAACAAAAAAAAGAATTTAATTAAACGATGTATTATAAATGACTGGTATTTACTAATAGAATTTTCTTTCAGAATAGTAAATAAAACATAGTCTTAATCGATGTAACTAGACGTGAAATTATTCATATTAGATAAAAATTATAATACACATAAGAATTTGTCAATAAATTCTATTCTTATAATGATATTTTTTAATAATAAGAACTATGTCAACAATATTCGTAAATATTATTTTTCATACTCGTGTCATTTAGTAATACAAGATCAAAATAAATCGTTATCTCTCGGATCTGATATTATGTTTCATTTATAATATTTATGAAGGATCTTATTAGATTGTACTGATAATCTTACAAAATCAGATAGAAATTATACAAAACAAAGAATTATAGTGTCTGAAATCTTACGTAAGATTGTCTTATAAGATCTTATCATCCGCTAAGATATTATTATAAGATTATAAGAAAATCTTATGTATTGATAAGTTCTTTCAAGATTCTTACAATATAATCTTGTTTAAGGTTTATATACGATTTTGTCTAATCTATAAGATCGTACAGCTGCTTTCTTGCCTTGGGAAATTATCTGATGACAGAGATCTTATAATAAGATAAAATATAAGATTATAGTAATAAATCTTGTCTGATCTGGTCTCTTCTTTTATATTTCGTATAAACTATTCTATTTATACTAATCTGTAACTACTTTCACATGACCGACCTGTCAAGATTATCAAGTGATGTACTTTTCGAAATTTTGTCGAAAACAAAATACTTATACTTTGAATAAATTAGAATAAATTATTTCTATGAATTTACTTACCTCGAACGGTTTTAACTGCAACAGTTGTTACTTTTTCTTCGGCTTTTATATTTTTTGCAATACCTTGATAAACAAAACCAAAAGCTCCTTTACCAATTAAATGACCAATACTAAGACTACAAATATTGAAAATTTATATACATAATACAAGCTAAAAAATATTTAACTCTACTTTTCTCGAGAAAATTCACATTGATCATCATAATATGATGAAATAATTGTTGATATTGTTCCTTCAGTAGGAAAACGACGACAACCATCATTAATCAATGGTTTTTTAGTCTTTGGATCAATATCACTTCGATAAAGTTGATTCTATTTAATACAAAAATTCAATTCATATATATTTAAAATCTATTAAACTTACACTTTTTAAATTACTAATACCACGTGTAGCTAAAATTCTTGTTGCTAATAAAGTTTGTCGTAAACTTTTTTGATTACGATAATGATAAACAAGAAAAGACATAAATGCAAATAATAATATTCCAATTACACATGCAATTGTAATAATTAATTCATCAGGTAATCGATTTGTTATATAACGTATACCTGTTGGAAAATTTTTTAATAAAGATGGACGTTCCGATGCTTTTAAAAACAAAATGTTTAATAAATAAATAAATAAATAAAATTTTATTTACCTGGTAAAACGACAAGATAATGTATTAAATCAGCATAACCATATTCATTTAAAACTCGACAAAGATATGCACCTGTGTCATTTCTTTGTAATTTTTGTATATTTAATAATTTAACTTCATCTTCTGACATTGTATGTGGATTATATTCCTAAAACAAATAAATATTATCGAAACAACAACATAATATGTTTTATATTGAATTGATATCAAATCAAATCAAATGATAGATTTATAATTGAAAACAAGATTACCAAAAAAAAAGAAAACAATTCATCTGTGCAAATCGAAAAGCAGGCAATACACACACGCACTATTTATTTATTTATTTATTTATAGAATCAATCATCGTTAATTTCTTAATTATTTAAAGCTGTTCTATCGGATTTTTTTGCTTTCTTATAGTTGTTGTAAAGTTAATTATTAGACACATACGCTTTCCATACAAGTGGTTGTAAACAGACATACGTTCAATCGTTCATAGCTTTTTATTTTGCATCAACAGACAAGGAGATGAAAGGTAATGGTCTCGGTTAATTGCTGATTAATTGAGTGGCGAACGTCTGTCTTCGCGAACATCTAAGCGAGATAAATGAGGCAACAACATCTCTCATATATCTGTTCGATGAACAGGATACAGTCGATTAGTGGATAATAGCCTTTAGCAAGACATACTTCGGTAATTTTTCAAGGATATATCATCATAGTAAGCAAACAAGAAAAGAATAAGAAAACATATGATTGTTCAAAATACAATCTGTCTTTTAGTCGTCATTCAATTATTTTTCGATAATAAAAAATCTTTCTTCTATTATCATATAACGAACTATTCCAAAACATGCTTTATATATTTTCTTTCGTCATTAATGTATTCATTATTGATGATAGCATGCAATAGACATCATCAAATTATAAACAAAAATAATGGAAATCGCAAAAATACACACACACACACTTCAAAGCATACGTAAACACACAGCATAAAAAACCAAAATTGAATGGATATGCTTTTTTTCGTTACCTGTCGTTTTCCTACACTAAATCTTGACCCATTAGAAAACTATAGATAGAGAATTTTTGTTATTTTTTTTTAATTGTTAGTTTTATATAGTTAAAATATAAATAATAAAAAGAACTAACGAAATAAATCATGTAAATATTTATTTACCTTGATAAATTCTAAATCATTATCTTCAATTTTATTTACTTGTCGTCGAACAAACCATTGAACAAATGGACTTGAATCCGAATAGAATAAACATTCAAATGTAGCATTATCACCTTCATATTGTGTTAAATTTGTTGATTTTGATGTAAATACTGGTCGATCAAGACTTCGACCTTGAACAATTAATTGAAATGATCGACTAATATTTCCTAAACTATTTTCAATAACACATGTATACATTCCAGCATCATACATTGTTGCTTTCGATATATTCAAATACATATTTTCAATTGTAAACTAAATCATAATCAATACATATATATATATTCCAAATGAAAATAAATATGTTTTTTATTTACCAATTCAGTTAATTCTGGTGTAAAAAGATGTCCATCTTTAAGCCATGTTAATTTAGCTTTCGGTTTCGCATTATATGGACATTTAAGTGAAACAGATGCTGATGTTGGATAAACTAAAGTTTGTTTTTGTTGTACAACAGGTTCAGTCCAATATGGTGCACATTGGCTTGAACAATCAATGGATTGAAATAATTCAAGTTGTTGTGGTATTTGTTGATCACCATCATAATAAGCATCATCATCAAGTGATGGATTTAAAATAGCATTTTGATTGTCTGTTACTAGACAGAACAAAATAATATGAATAAAAGTAAAAGAATAATTTTTAAAGTTACATACATTTTTTACGTGTAAATACAGTAGAAATATTAATTATTACAAGGAAAATTGTGAGAAATAATTTGATCTGATGGAAAATAATCATCGTCTAAAAAAAGAATGTTATAAAATACTTTGATTACTACTGTCTATCTTTTTTTCTAAGAGATTTATAGAAAAGCAAGTCGACACTTACATACTAGTAATATAATCAATAAGATAAACAATAAGGATGATGCTTTAATAAGTTATTATATACGACGCATATATCTGATCTATTCATGTTCTGTCGATGGTCTTCGCACTAGCTTCAATTGATTTGTCCTTGTGAAACATCAATCAAGTCGTATTCTACTTTCTCTATCTTTTCTATCCTACACACACGAACAACGAATAATCATTTTTCTTCTTTCTTTCTTCTTCTCCTTCTACATAATCCTTACTGCACAAATCTACATTTGTTTGACACCTTCTATATTTATATTCTTTAGCAAATGACCATAGGGATAATATAACAAAGCACAAGGAAATGATAATACTAAGGAAGAAGAAGTAGGAGAAAAAAATCAAATACATGTCTTGTTTTTCTGTCATTTTATGTTGTCTTTTAAAAATGATAGAAAAATAAATAATAATGATGATGATTATTTTTTTCCTATTATTATTACTCGTCAATCGATCAAACTGAAGATTAGAGAAACAGTTCTGTCCGTCTATCTTAGTTATCAAAATGTCAACCATGTCGTGCTTTCTATCTGCGTATATATATATATATATCTAGTAACAGAAAGAAATTAGTATTCTTCCAGCTTACTGTTGATGACCGAAATTCGAGATGTTCTCTACAAGAAATTATCTTTCTTCTTACTGTTTATCTATTGACAGTTCAGGGACCATTAGAGATATATTTCTTCTTATACTCTAAACTTTATTTGAGAAGTAATATTATTCTACGCATTGGTAATTCACTTTTTTTCACTATCAAAAAAATTAGGAATGATTTGCATTCATGTGAATAAAGTAATTATTCATATGATGCGGTAACATATCGATCTTATATAAATAAAACAATTGCAAGTATTTGCCCTTCGTATGTATCGGAACTCATCATAATAGATAAAAGTTTTTCTTCATCAATTTTCCGATTATAGAAATAAAAAAATTATGCAATCAACAAAACAATTGTATTAAAAATTAATCAAATAAAACTATTCCGAAAGATGAAAGAAAGAAAGAAAATCTGTTTATCAGAATATGATTTACAAGATTCTATAAAAAAGAATGTTATTAAACTTATTACTTAAGTACCTGTTACAATAAATATATATTGATTATTATTTAAAAACTTGATTTTAACCTCGACTAAAAAAACAAGTACGCCTTATTATTGTCACTGTCTTCATAAATAAACAGCAATCTATAGAAATTGTTATTTTTCTTTCTCTATTTTTTTCTCTCTTTCTCATTACTCAAAACGTAATGCATATATATATAAAAAAAAGACGAAAAGTAAAGAGAATGAGTAAATGCGTGTGGCTAGACCACTTGTCATGTGATTTCAAACTCAAACATATGTATATATTCAAGTGTTTTATATTTTTGATGTTCGCAAGAAAAAAGAATCCTTGAATATTTTAGGCATAACCAAATAAAGAAAAACATCGTTTTGAATATTAATAAATGTACGATAAGATTTATGGAAAAAATAATCGTTGTTAGAAGAAGAAGAAGAAAAAAAATATTAGAACAGCACATACGTTTCTAATCAATATTCCCTCAATCTTATCGTTTCTTTCTTTCTTAGTTAATCGGTACTTTTGATCAACCGACAATCTAGTGTATACGTATACGTATACATACTAGTGACGCATGACAACAACAATAATAAGAACAACAACAACAACTAAGGTTGAGACGATCAACCACAGCTGTAGTCGATTGATTCCTTCTTTACAATTGATTGTTGATAATAGATCTTGATTATAAAAGCGTCTAAGTATGCATTATAGGAGAGATGAACAACAAGTAAACGCGAACACTTAACTGAACATACAAACGAATGTATTGTATATATTACACGATTGTGGATAGGAACAATTAAATAAATAAATTTGTCCATTCTCGTTTGGTTACTTCTCTAATGCAATCGCATGTATTCTCATCATCATTATTATTATCATCATGTATCGTTGTCGTCGCGTTGTTTTCAAGGGCATAGACGAACGCGCAATTATGCTTACTTTTTTTTTTTTAAACAACGCATCATGCAGAAAGACACAACGATGTTCTTCTCATTGCAAATGTAATACATGCACACATACATACATATATACATATATACATTTGCATACTTAAACAAAAAAAATATTTATAACCTTCTGCTCCATCCGATTTAAGTAAAAGAAGCTTTAGTAAGATGAAATAAATGTTATAGTTCAGAGTATTAATAAACTTGACTAGAAAAGAAAACGAGGATTAATAGAAAGAAAACGAGAAGAAATAGAAAGAGCAATAAAAAGAATACCCTTATACAGATTTGATATTACTAGTATATCAAACATTTGCCTTTAATAAAAAGAGAATCATGCAGTTGTTGTTACACTATTCTGTGACAGGCAAATGTCAACGATCATCAATCTTTTGCTGGTGTATTAATATTGGCAATAACAGATTGTGCAACAATCTCGGATGCGCACATGTAGCATAGGTTCCCTCTCACCCTTCCGTTCTTTCTCCACTTTCTCGTTGATATGTGTCAACGAAACAAACAATCTATAGTATATACGTACATAAATATATATAGATATATATATATATATTTGGCCTTGCCTTATCGGAAGAAAATGGAATAAAGTTAATCTATTCGTACAACTAGACAGATGATCTTTTGTAGTTAAAATTCTCACCTGTCCGGCTCGCCGTTAAATAAGTTTCATTCAGGTTATTTTTTTAGTTCTTATCTTGCTGTTTTATTCTCGCTTGTTTGTATATCAGTGAATGAATGATGATGATGGTCATTATTTTACAGTTACAAATCAGCGTGGAAATACAAACGTGATCATATCACTTTTTTTTTATAAGAATATGTATATAGCATACTTGTTCTGTCACAGAACGAAAAGAAACCACATTTATATTTAAAAAATAAAACCTGTGAACCGAAACGATATCGTAGATAGAGATAAAGAAAAATATACCGTACTATACCTATGAATGATAACTATAGTGGTGAAGAACAGAACAAATAAAGACAACAGATGAAGTAGATAGTAAGAGAGTAAAAATGAGGCAGATATCTTGCACGTACATAAAGGCCCTAAAAAAGGTGGTGGCGTGCTTTCGTACTCGTTCTCTTTTTCCTGTCTATTCTTCTTCATCATTCTCTCCTTCTTCTTCGCTTTTCTCCTTCTCTCTGTCTTTCTTTCTCTTTCTTTTTTTTCTTTCTTCTCATCATCATCATCATCACCGCACGATATCATTTGCCTAGCAAATCATCACTAGTACATGTGAAATATGCACAATTTTACAATTAAGGAGGCAGATAACTGCTCAAACTATATATATTCATACATGACACAAGGTGTCATTTAGATGGAAGATAAATATCTCAATAAACTATGAAAAAGAAAATGTTTCATTAAAATTTATTTTCATGTTGAAATATAAATGAGAAATTCGAAAGAAAAACATAAAGTTAAAACAAAACGGAAATTCACATCCGATACAGGAAGTTTTCAGAAAAAAGAACTGTTAGATAATAACATCATTGTTCTTATTTCTTTTTTTTTCACACATAAATATACTATCCTTGGCCATTATAATTACGAGCATGTATAGTCACGTTTTCTTTTCCTACATCTGTCTTACGTAAGAGGATAATTCCTAATGAAATTGTTTTATTTATAATTAACCATCTCATAAAAAAGAGAATTCTTTCTTTTTTTTCATTTCATTTCATTTTCTATCTCTAGAAATTTTCATTGAACCATAAAATTAATGTAAATGCCAACGAACCATAATATAACAAGCACGTATAGTGAACATACACATTATAATGAGCTTGTTCTGATTGCATAAATACATCTAACAATAATAGTCAAAGCAGTAGCACGATAAATGAGATAAACAAATTACTTGTTTGAACAACATATTACAAACAGCATTGGTCTAGATAAACTTTGCCTGCGGGTGTAAAACAAAAGTCTTGTCTCTATTAACCAATATGTAGAAGACAAAACATATATAGAAATAATAGCACCATGATGAACATACACGTAATATCTATTAACTGAATACATACAGACAGAAATGAAATTTACATAAATGATCACTGAAGTGGAATAAAGATAATTATTGCTCTCACGTATCAACTATAAATTATAAATTATTATAGCGGAAATTTGATCTCTCTCTAGAGTATTTTCCTTAATATCTTTGTCTAACTGAATTGCTCAATTACAAATAAAAAGCGCAAATTTTCCCTCTTTTTTTAATTTAACTCTATTCATGTTATCTTCAAGTGAAGAACTAATTTCTACATCATCAGATAATTCATCATTATCTTTAAATCATGGTGATCAATTAGAATTTTTCTGTAATAATCATTTCTTACCAACAACAATAAACGATAATCAATGTATTGATATATTAAAAGATTTACAAATATCTTATAATCAATTAGAAAGTCAATATTTAAAATCAGTTCATGAACTTGAATATAAATTTCAAGAAAAATGTTCATATTTATTTGAAAAACGTTCAGATATAATCAATGGAAAATATGAACCAAACGATGATGAATGTCAATTAAAAACTGATTTTCTCGAAACAAATGATACACAACTATCAAATACTGAATTTGGAATTCCATCATTTTGGTTACAAACTCTTAAACAAGTGAGATTACATGTGAAAAAATCGAATGAAATCTATTCAATTAATTTAAGGTACCAATGATTTCTGATTTAATTAAAGAATGGGATGAACCATTACTTAAATGTCTTTATAATATTAAACTTCAATTACATATTGAACCTATAACTGGTTTTACACTTGAATTTTATTTTAATGAACAATCAAAAAAGTATTTTACAAATGATATTCTAACGAAATTTTATGAAATTCAAATCGAACCTGATAACGAAGTACTTTCCTACGAGGGTACAGCAATTATACGTTCGATAGGTTGTCAAATTAATTGGATAGATACAAAAACAAACGTGACAAAAAATAGTAAAACAGGTGAATTACAATCATCATTTTTTCATTTTTTCACATCAACAACTATTAATGATGATTGGCAATTAGCAACTGATTTTCAAATAGGTCATTATATACGCGAAAATATTATACCAAAAGCTATACTTTATTATACAGGTGAAATATTCGATGAATATGAATATGATGATGGTGATATTAATGAACAACAAATTTCATTAATAGAACAAGTTGGAGAGGGAGAACATTTATAAGAAAATAAAAGCATATTCTTACCAGTTTTTGCCATTCTAATATATTTATTTATAATCATAGACATATAAGAAGAATTCATATCTGCAATAAACAAAATCATTTAGATGGAATTTGCAGATAGATTCTGATATAAATTTATTAGTCCCAGGTGGTATTTGTATTAGTTGTAGTCCAACGATCATCTGTTATCTCATTTTTTATTTCATCAGTAAATTCATTGTCAATAATAGAAACTGATGGTTTTGATGAAATTTCTGATTGTAATATTTCAGGCATTGTTACTATTGGAAGACCCAATGTAAAATTAAAATAACCTAATGTAAAATCATTTGCAATAATCGCCATAAGCACACTAAAAAATAATGAAAAGAAAATATTAAAATTTATCAACGCTTTTGTTTTTCGAATGTTTTCTCTATTAAATATTTGTCTACGATTCCGTTTTATCTATATTAATAAACGAAAGAATTTTTGTGAATGTGAAAGCATGTGCAACGATTAAAAATGTCGGAATAGAACCAGTGTGGATTATTTTCACCACCGAAGCTAATTATAATATACTTTCTATCTTCAACATAAATTTACAGAATTTCTTCTTTTTTACCTTTCAATATTTTCAGTTATATCAGATGGTAATGCTAAAGATAATTTTGATTTAAGATTAAATAAATCATCAACACTCAATTGTTCATCACATGACATAGGCAAAACAAATACTAAAGGCTGATCATCTGATTGTTTACCAAGAAAAAATATCCATTTATTAGTTTCATCAAAATATACATTAAGTTTTGACCATTTACGACCTAGGAAAAATATGAAAATTCAAACATACAATGTTTGATTTACATAATCATTTATTCTCACAAATTTTTAGATCAAAATAAACTCGTTGTGCAAATGCTTTTTGTTTTGGATTACATAGATTCATCTAAAACAAGGAAAATAAACGGCAAGATTCAAGGAGAAGAAAAAAAAACATCAAAATCAACTACAAAAAAAAGGAACAAAGGTTTGATCTATAGTCTATGAGTCAGATGATTGATTTAATGGTAAATGTGGTCGATCAAATGTTTTTGGTAAATTTAAACCAACGATATTTGCTGCTTGTGCAACAGTTTTTTCACCTTTTGAATAAGTCGAATGAATTATGTGACGTTCACGTATACTTTCCAAATAAGTTAAATAAGTACGTGCAACAAATAATACTTCATCTGTATGTTTACAGTATTTAGCTGTTACTGGACGATTACGACGATATTCATCCTTAATTTTTAAATAAACTGGTGATGCACGATAGGAAAATAATGATTTATTTGCTGATAATTCATGTAATATTTTTTTGTAAACTGTAAGAGCAGATTTTGATGCCATATCTATAATAAAAGATTACAGTATATCTTCTTCTTTAAATTGCGAAATGATTGTATTTTATTAATAAAAATAAAAGTTATACAATTAAATAGATAAAAACTTGTTATTTTAGAATAGTCAAAATGTTCTGATTCCACGAATGTTCATTGCTCTCCTATTTTTCGTTCAATCATCCGTATATATATTCATTCCTAAATTAATACTCATAATCTAAAACAAAATTGAATCGAATCATAAATTTTGTAAGGCAAAACATTATTTATATAATATCTTTTTATTATCAATGTTTAAAATGCGACAGAAAAAAAACAAAACAAATAAATATAAAAAAAAATTCCAAACTGGAAAGATATGTTGAAAACGAGATTCACTTTATTTTTACTTATGGTATATCCGATGGTGTTTGATCTTTCATATAATTTGCATATCTTTCACGACAACGTCTAATGAAAAATTAAAATTTATATTATTTTATATAAACGAAAATATTCTTTTATACTTTGCTTCGGAATATTCACTTTCATATTGAAAATGAATAATATGTGGTATTGGAGAATAATCACGAATAAGTAAATATTTTGCTAATGGTCGATCAATTATAAATGGAACATATTTTATAAATTGATAATTAACAAAATAATACCAAATACAACCTAATATGGTACCAAGAACACCACCAACAACAACTTGTGCAATTGTATGATAATAAAGATAGACTCTAAAAACGAAAGATTTTCAAGATAATTTTTAAATTCAATTGTATTTTCCTCTTACCGACTATAAGCCACGAGAATAGCAGCTATAAATTGTACTATAACAAAGAAACGATGACGTATGGAACGAATATTTGGTGAACCAGGCATTTGTGATCTGTATTTTGTTTAGATAATAAGAATTAAGTATTAGAAAAAATTCTAGCATACTTAAGAATTACAAAAATAGCCAAATATGTCATAAAATAAAAAAAACTTTGAGCATGAGCACTTGGCATACCGTATATTTCATAGAAATCCATTCGATCTCGAGCTAAACAAAAAAGAGGGAGTTTTAATTCAATTATATTGAGAAAACTTACTTCTTTCCGGACGTTGTTGTTTAAAAACTATTTTAAGATAATGATTAATTATTCCAGATACAAAGAATCCACCAAAATACATAATCTAGTTTAAGAAAAAAATTCTTATGAAATAAGAAGAATATTATTTTGTACCGTTTGTATATCACGTCGAAATAGAATTAATGTACATAAAGATACAATATATATAAATGGTAACATTGAAAACCAAGCCAGAAAAAAGCCTAATTTATCACCTAATTTTTCCAAAACATCAAATCATTTACATAGATTATTTTATATAAAATCTACCTTCTTGATATTCAATAAATGTGACTAAAAATAGAAAGTAAAATTTTATAAAGCAAAATATATAATTATTATAGAACTATACTTGATAATGGTCGATAAATAGGATCGGAAAGAACGCCTGGTGGATGAAAATCTACTAAATGCTAAAATGAAATAAAATAAAATTTTATTAAATAAGTAAAATAAAAACTTTACAAACCTTATAAGCTGGTTTAAGTGTACTTGAACCATTTGGTACTAAAATTGGTGGCATATTCTAAAAAATAAATAAATAAATGATAAAAAATAATGTATACAAAAAATTATACATTATTTTATATATTAAATAAACTGATTTGCCATCCCTTACTCTCATCTATCTTCAAAGAAATTTACCATTGGTACTTCATCAGCTGTCACATAATGCATTAATGTGTTGGAAATATGTGCATTATATATTATGAATATCGTTGCTAAGCAGACAACATTTGCAATGTAACCATAAGACATTATAAAATATTTCTTTTTTTTGTCTCATATATTTTATTTGTTATAGACAAATGGATTATTTGTGTCAAAATGCAGGCCAACATGTTCCTGCTGGTCATCCTGATAAGCATTTATTGGCAAGTGAAGGAGCTGATAATTATTTAATGAATTTTTATATAACACAAAGTTCAAGTACTTATCGACCACCTGGTATACGACCAAAAGCGAATATACTTGGAGATAAATCATTAACAACAGAAAATCTTTATACAAAAAAACTTGTAGATGAACGAAAGAAAACAGGTTTTGTTAGTAATGAAAGATATTATTTACCTTATACACGTTCACTTGATGAACTTGACAATCCAATACTAGGGTAATTTGAAAGACTATGAATATTTTGTTAATATAAGATTTGCTTAGACCAGTAAATCTTATTTTCAATCGCCCAACATTTTTATTTAAAAAAATGCATAGATGAAGTAACTTGATTGTTTAACATACTTAAATCGTTACCGAAATACTTTCTGTTCATTCCACAATAGTTTAAGTACTTTACAGAGCAGCCATATGCTCTATCAACATTTTGACAAACACAAATGTTACCGAAGGTCGATTAAGAATCCCTAATCATTTCGTTTATTCTATTTCACACTTTAATCTCAGAATAAAATTAGAATACTGAATTTTACCAATAATCAGCGAAAACTTACCGAAAAAAACTAAAGAATTATTATTTTTTCATTTATTCAATTTTTAGTCGTATGTGTACAGACAATTATGTAACATCCCATCAAATACATTATCAACCCTATGAATTACCTAATGGCACAGAATCACTACCACCAAATGTTGGTAATCAAATATCAGGATTTTTTCGTGAACGTGCTGTACACATTCCTAATTCATTTGTCCCACCGGTAAAACAAATTTTTCTTAATTATTTTATTTATAATAAAAAAGGAAATTACATTTGTTTAGATTGGTGGAAAAGAAGAAACAACTTATGGTACTGATTTTAGTAAACCTGCTCAAACTGAACCAATTATTATGGGACAAGTTGGTCCAAAAGAAAGATCTGGCTTTGTCTCGAATACTGAAGTTGAACCTTTAACAAGAACAACTGGTGAACGATGGCATTATCGTTCTAGACCAGTTGGTTCTAGTGAATATAAAGATAAATTTCCACAATATGATTATCCAAAAGTAAATTCATATATTTTCGTTAGTTTCAAATAAAAATTTAAATTTATTCAGGGTGATGATCCTTTACTTACCATTATTGAGCCTAATATAAAACCAACATGTGATCGTGTTATCAATAATTTTGTTTTACCTGCTGGTGAAGGTCCTCATTCTGGAGGTTTATTTGCTCCTGATTCAACGTAAGAACGTTTTTTTTGTATTATTATTATTATTTAAATGAAAAGTTTTACATAGTGAATATCGAAAACACTATATTGGTAAACAATTTTTACCAGAAAAAATGGGTAATTTAGATGTTGGACCTAAAGAAACAACAGGTCCAGTTAGAAATGAAAAAGGTTTTACTCAACAATTCGATGATCCACGACGTTTTATTACAACATATCAAATGAAGTATAGAAAAAAAAAGTTTTCTTTTCGTCATTTTTAATTTCTTTCTTTGTAAAGTCATATTGATATGAATCCTAAAGGACGTGATCGTGAAGGTTATGTCGTTGGTGGTATACAACAACCGCGCACAAATGGTTTTACAAATGATACAAAAATATCAAATCCATTCGATAATTATCGTGATGAACGTCTTACACATTATCATCTTGATCCATATCAAGTCAGGTATATATATATATTTATTTATTTAAATAATTATTCTAAAAGTAAAAATAAATATATTCTATTCATAGGAGTTTACGTGGACGAGATCCATTTTTTGATGATTCAACACATGATAATAAAGGTCGTCTACAAAAACAAACAGAGTTGTTTTAATCACATTGAACACTTTCATTTCTATTTTTAATAAATATGAAAAAGCTTTATGATTATAAATGCGTTCATAATCCAAATTATCTTAATTTAGTAAAATATTTTCTAATTTTATTTTAATTGATTTAGTGAACTACAGTTTTTTCAATAATTTCCGATAAATTTCAAGAATTACATTTATTTTTCTATCCGACATCGACATTATTTACTTTTAATCATAGTGTACTTGTGAGTTCGCCTTATTCTGATTTAGATAAATTTTCAAAACTATTTTATTATATAATTCCTTTACTACGATATCTCTGATATTATTATGTTCTTATACTTTTCGTATATATATCTCGCTCTCTCTCGTAAATGATTATCGGTGTACAACATAGATATACATATTATATATTATTACGAAGAATGAATTCGTTCTATTGGTTCATTTTGTTTATCTAGTATCGAGATTATTAAACGACCAGTCCTCTTATTTTTAACCGTGCAATCTATATGAATCTGGCTGGCATAGTTCATCAAAATGTTAACATAAATAATAGCTGTTTTTTTCATTGTATATGAACTACATTCATCTGATTGGTTCAGCAAACTTTTCTTTTTCTATAAATAAAAAAATAGAGCAAATTCTTATAAAATACTATAAAAGTACTTTTCTCTCGAGCGTGTAAGTCTTACTTCTAAATATATTTTGTTTATAGCTTATGTTTTAAATACCAAAGAATTTTGCATATGAAACTAATAAGCTACAAATAATTGTCTATTCACATACAGTACATTAATAATTAGATAAAACATGGATTCATTATATTTATAATCTATTATTTATCTGTATTTCTACTAAATAATTTGTAAAATATAATCAAGCTTAGTTTAAATTATCTTTACTCATTAATATTTAATAACGAATGGATTTTATTCTATACTTTTACGTGCAATTATATTATAAATTTTTTTAATAGATATCTATTATCGTATATATCATATAAAAATAATATCAGAATTTTTATTGGAAAAAAAATTTCATTGAAAAGAAAATAAAAAAAGATTAAATACAATTGAAAGTATATCAAGAACACAATATCAATTTTCTGTACTATTTATTTTAGAATTAATATCTTTCCTATGGTTTCATATAATCAAAATTGATTCAATAAAGATTTTCTAGTTCAAACAAATGTAACCTATTTCTAGCGCCAATTTCTTTAGATCACGTTGAACTACACGTGATCTTAATAGACCCTATGCATGTCGCATCGATATAAAATTTACATCTGTATAAATCAACTTGAATCTCGAGAGAGATAAGCTTTTGGTCTTTGCAAATCATATTTTCTATAAATAACCTTTGAAAATGAGTTTTCACAATAGTTTTTGTTATTTTTATTATACACATAAGATCTAACTTATTTTTCCATTAAACTATCAGTTTTTTCTTTAGTTTAAAATGAACAAAAAACGACTTGTAAATCAAGTACGGTGTATTGCACAAGACGGCGAATAGAAATACACTTATAACAAAAACCCACAACAATAACAAAAAAAATGTAGAAGTGCGAGATTATATTATATGTTTAAGTTTATTAGTATTGACAACAATTTAATGTGTTGCTTTTTGTTTGTTGACTTCTTTTGAAGCAGCATGACCAGCTTCGTCAGCTTTGTCTTTAACATAGTCAACGCCGGCACCAACACGTTCACCAACAGTATTGCTTGAATCTTTTGCTTTTTCCTTGTTAGCTTCAGCTGATGAGCCGCTTATGACTTCCTAGAATAGATAAAAACACCGGTTAACCGAATCATAGACTATTGAGAAGATATTATAATACATACATTAATTTTGTCTCCGACAGCATTGGCAGCGTTTTTAATTGTTTCCATTTCTTAGTTTTACGTTAAGAGAATAAGCGTGAGTGTAGAATGAGAAATTTTTATGATAGTATGTGCGCACTAAATTCAGCTTTTTATAGGGCACCAATGCATCTCTTTTTCTCTCTCTTTCTCTCTTGCTTCTTCTTCTCTCTTTTTTTCTCTTGTTCTAGGGTATGTCTGTAACCGAACGACCAAGCCCATTTTTTTTTCTCTTTTCATTTTAGTCAAGCAGATAGAAAGAAGCATCTGGAACAAGAAAGAAAAATACACGCAGGATCGACGAGAAGCGGCATATATATTGGATGCGTTGAGTCCAATGCTACGAAACACTGAAGTGAAAGTTAGGCGAAGAGAAAGAAGAAAAAAAAAGAAAAAAGAAGCCCAAGAAGAAAGCGTGAACTATTCCAGCCGCTTTGTTCGTTCTCTTACTGCTAGTCATCAATCGATAGATAATGTCATGATGAATAATGATTGGTTCAGAATTCTAATTAGATATATATGAAAGAAAAGACAGCATGTATTGAATATCGAACTAGTTTATTTTATAAATTAATTGAAAAAAAAGACATTTTAAAAAAATATAAATTAAGTTACAACAAAGTAGTCGGATCAATCTTATCATATGTAAATGATTGTTTTCTTAATTTTGATTTTACTATTGAAGGATCTTTTCGAAAAAGCTTTATAATTGTAAGACGATATTGGACGATGCTGATAAGGGCAAAGGTCATAACAATTAAAGTGAACAACACTGCAAAACAAGCTATACGTTGACGATAGATCCATTTGATAGCTGCCGCATCATTACCATGCCAAGATGAAGCTTCAAAGAAAATATAAATAAATCATTATTATTAATTTTGTTTATATATATATACCTTTCAAATGTCTGAAAAGTGACCGTGTAGAATTATGAACATATTTTCCGTATAATTCTTGAGAAAGAACATCTATAGACGAACGATTTGAGTAAGATGATGCTTGTTGTGTAAGAAACATTGGACCAGTTGAAAACATAACTGTTGAATATCTTTAAAATATAAGACATGTATAAGAAATATTTTTGAAAAAAAAAAATAAAACTTACTTTGTAAAATAATTTCTATTATATTTTGGTAAATTATTTAAAATTTGTAATAAAAATGGATGTCTTGGTTGAGCAACTATAAAATCATTTGACAATCCAACAGGCATTGTTTTTGGTATAACAAATTCAAATGTGCGTAATTGATCTAGTGATTGTAAACAAATAATATCTAAATCTAAATAAATTCCACCATAAACGTATAAAACAATCAGACGAATAACATCAGCACGTTGTATATCATATGGATATGAATCAAATGTTGATAATAAACATGGAAATTCTTTTTCAATTAAACGACGAGCATCCGCATCTGTCCATAAACGATATTCATAGGTAGGATGCAAATCTTGACATGTTTGTGATGCTTTTTTCCAACTTGATGGTATTCCATGAACATTACGATATGTTTGATGAATTATAGCTGGAACATTTACTAGGGGCTTATTTAATGGTGATACTATTGGAAAATCAATAGTACTTTTATTCCATATTAATGCAGCATGAAACCATGGCCAAACAATATAGCCTACTAGTAGAACAAATATGAGAAATGACCAGAGAAAGAGTGTTCGAATACGACAATATATCACAAAATGCATTATGAAATTTTTTTAAATATCTAAATAACAAAAAGAATATATTAAGTTAACTAAATAATTTTGAAATAGTAAATATATGTATATATTACTTTTTCAAATAAAAAGAAGACAGAATAAAAATCGTTACTTACTATGTTAGGAGTATTTTTTATAAAAATCCTGCTGATCATAAATCGAAAAGCTACATGAGTTCTACGTTTTAAAAACAAAGTAATATAATTATTTGACTATTTACCACGCTACACATACTTGCAGATATGTAGAACTCAGGTCATCTATGATTACTATTTTACAAAAAATATGTCCTAGTTTAAATAACACGAAGTATAATAATTAAGAACAAAGATCAATATAATTCTTATCAAAAAGGAAAAAGTATTTAGTTTTACCGTGAGTATTAGCATGAATGATTAATATATCACCTGTATTATGAAATAAATTAATTTTATGCTATACTCAGAAGTATATAGACATAATACAACGAATGGGAGAAAAAAAATCTAAACTATGACCTTATATTTTCTTTACTGAACTAGTCACACAAATATGAGAAAAGTATTTTTGTTTTTCTTTTAATATTCTATATCATAAAATTATTTGAGATTAGAGAAATTATATATAATTGTGAATAGTTATATAGTATATTTATAGCAATCGTCGTATTATCTGATGAAGAGAACAGAAGAAAAAGTCATGTCTAAATGAATAGTAATTTTTACCTTATGTTATAATTTTTACCATGAAAGAAAAATAGTCTATGATTATATGATACTAAATAAATATAACAACATTTAACTCTGACGAATCATATACAATATTTTAATGTAAATGAAACATTAATTAAGAACGATTCTATAGTAATTTAAGTTTAACGTAGAATTTACTAAACAGATATAATTTTATTAAATTATTGTTTAGTAAAGATTAAACTCACTAGATTCTCATGTTTATATCAAAAAATGATTTCTAGTCATTATTTTCTATAAAGGAAAAGGAAAAAAAAAGATTTGTTTATTTCATTCGAGATACTGTAAAACGAAAAAGGAAGTCTACCATGACACGTTGTAGGTGCTTATATGTAAAAAAGACGAAATGACATATCTGTCTTAATAGATGTAATATTTTAAAGGACGACTCGACTGCTCAAAAAGACAATGACAAATAATCTACGTTTATATTCGATTTTATCCTACGATTTATATATGTATTACGCAATAGAACGCTTCGATGAACTTACTATCTATCTACAGAAAAGAAATAAAGATAAAGTTTTGATAAAAATATTCAAAATATCGAACTATAATACACAATTCTAATAAATTCTAATCAGATACATAATTACATTCTTTACCTACGTATAGTTTTGTTATTGTACTGTGTATAACTTATTATGACAGATATATGTATAAGAAGGATCGAGAGAGAAAAAATTTTTCTCGATGTAATCGAATGATTCGATTGACGTAACGCGATTTTTGTACAACAAAAAATATAGATTACTTGTACAGCGGGCGGGGTTACTGATCAGGTGTAGGATGACAGAAAAATACATATATTGTATATACCATTCACTGGATGAGTAACGCGCATAAAACCTCTCTTTTTTTATTATTGTATCGGTTAAACGTCATCAGGTAACTTGAATATATTATTAATCAAAACTACCAAGGATTAAAAATTTATTTTATAAATAAAGAGTCATTTACTAATATATATATCTGTATAGTATAACAGAACAAATACGCGCTTTTGTTTTAGGTTCGTCAAATATGAAAATTAAAAAAGTTAAACTTAAAAATAAGAAATATGTCGATATTATATATGAAATAAAAATTCTATTATTACTTTATTGTCATGTTCCGTTCTAGTATGATAAAACGACGTCTTTCTCCGCACTTTAATGATAAATAGTTATTATTTCTTTCTCTACTGAAGTGCAACAATAAGAAAAAGAAAAAACATCGAACGTACTTTTTCTGAAGCATGCAGCAAAAGGTTGAGAAAGGAAAAAGCCGAAGCAAAAAAACAACATTTAAGCAAACAAAAAAAAAAATTAATCATATGTATAATCATGCCTTTTTTTTTAATGCAAAATCAATCGATTTTTTGTCTAGCACCTAAAATCCCGAATGTTTTATTCCCTGTTTTTAATGACGCTTGTCGTCACTTTTTTCGTCGAAGTTTTATAAATTTTGTAATGTTTAGTAATATTTTTCAAAGAAATATAGTACAAAAAAAAGTATTTTTATATTAAGTTCTTTTTTTCCTCTTATTTTTTCCATCGACACTCAAAGTACTTTTAAATCGTGGAAGAGTTCATGAAGGAAGAAAAATTGTATTTGATGAAAGAAATTTCTATCGGGAAATAAAGAGTTATGTTCTATTAATAAATAAAAAAAATATAATATTCTTTCAAATATATATATATATATATTCATTAGAATGGTAATTTACAAAGTAACAGATTTTACCTTCGTATGGAACTCTTTAAGGTTGATTTCAGTGCTTTATTATACTAATGAGGTCAATATTGAATGTTGATAATGTGCATATGCATGCATATATATACATCAACACTTTTACCGTTAGCCAAAAAACAACAAAACTTCTTGCAAGCATCACGCGATAATTTGACAATATAAACTTTAACTACAAAAAAATTCCAATCTGCCAATATTTTCTTTTTTTTTGTTGCAAAAACAACATTGCAGACAAGCCCACATTGTCCTTTACTTTATAGATGTACGCAGTTGTTCGAACTCTTCGAGCAAAATATTTTAATTGATAGTGTGTTAGGTTTTTTTCTAGGTGTTTAATGTCATTTGAATATAAAGAAAAAGATTTAAAAATCCATAGATTTTTACTAAACTTCATACGAGTATGCATATACATATAAGTCATCAATTATGTCAATAATTCATTACCTTTTTGTTATTGACATGTACTTTTACGTTCTTTGAAATATGATTGCATCTTATTGATAGCCATGCACATTTTAACGTTATGTTAAATACCTTGACAGTCTATCAGACAATTTTTATCAAAATACAAATTTTTCAAGGAAAAACATTTTAAACTAAAATATAATTACAAATAAATTTCAGGTAGGAAAGGTAAAAAGAATATAACTCCCAATAATTATAATCATCATTGACACTTCATATTATTTGTATCATTGTAATTAGAGAGAAGAAAATTTTTGAAGTATTTCTTTTGTAGGTATTGCAATAACTGAAGAGATGGATTACTCACACAAAATATCCTTTTAATTCAACTATTCTTTCATACTTCATCATGCAAAATAAATATTAAAATCATATAGGACTTCTATCAATAAAAATCATATTTGTTGCATTATTAAAGAATAGTCACGACAGCCTATGGCAGAAAAAAGTAACCTAAATAAACATAAATTTTGTTGTAAATATGCTTGTTTCTTTTTCTCGCTACCATTATATGATAATATTATTTCATTCAATGGCTACCAATAACAAATAAACATTTCTGCTATATGTGTGACAATGAATAGTTGTTTCGTTGTCGATTATTAAAATTAAACATAGAACGGAAATTAGAGTGACATCATGGTTTATTAAAATTTTTTGATATTTCAGTGCACTATTCAACATATGTCAGACTAAATCAAACGGACACATGGTTCTATTTTATTAGATTCAGGATTGAAGTTTTGAGAAAATAAGAGACATCAAATTCAAACGAACATTTTCTTATTTACTTTGCTTTCTATTAAATGCAATGACCTGTTACTTTATTGATGTACTTTCCATTTGCGGTTATGGTTCATTATTCATTTGTAGTTCGGCATTTCAGGACATTTGAGCGTTAAATAAATATAAAATAAGCAAATTTTAAGTCTTCTTCTAATTTGTATTAACATATGACACATTTTCTTTTTAAACAGGATTCACTCAATCAGAAATAATCAACAGAATAAAATATTCAATAGTCTATAATTAATTGATTTATTCATTGCTATAAATATGATTCATAAAAAGTAACAATAGTTTTCTATTCACGATTATCTTTTGAAAATTTTTATTTTTTATTGATTTATAAATCAATATTTACATGTTATTCATTATCTCAAGCATATATAATATATGAATATAGAATAAATTCACAAGATCAATACATCACGTATGCAACTTCGTGTTGATATAAATATTTATTTATTGATATAAACTTCTAAGTGCAAATGTGGAAAATATTAGATGCATTATCGACAATAAAAGTTAACAATTCATATTGTAAATATAATTTTATCTGTCGAATCTATAAATAATATTCTGGCTTTATACATAAGCTGACAACATTTCTTTCCTGTAGTGCATATATGAATGTAGATTGTGAATAGTAAACATATATCTTCTAAATTTATCATAAAATGTGCTTATATTCTCTATATCTTAATGATACATAGTAGACGTATAAGTCGTACGGCTCAGACACTAATTAGAATCCCTGTGCCGTCAATGGTGTTTGAAATTTCAAAACATTTCCAGCCGCCACCGCTGTGCAGGCTTAAAATATAAAATCTGCACCGCTGAGCACTTTTAAAAATATCTTAGAAGTTGTCGCCATCGTCGATTAGCTTACACCTCTATACATAGTATGTTTATGAAATGAAGAAAATGTGTCGAAAAAAAAAATATATTAAATGAAAGCAACCCATTAGATTTTTATTAATAATTCAAAAATTCTTGTTTTTTCAACGACTGTTGACATATGATAGAAAATTCAAAATAAAAATCAAAGTCTCTTTATAGTTGTGAGTTTCCAAAATAGATTTCAATGAAGCATATGAATAATTATCGACGATAACTTCCACGATAACCTCCACGACGCAACGGAAGGCTAGCTATTCTATGAGGCATACCAATTCGTACGTTTTCATTATCATTCGATTGACACTGAAGACATGTTAATTGTTCAGTAATATCTTTAACCCACATTAAATGACCTAAATTCAATATAAAAAAAATTATATTTTTAAAAGTATAATAAAATTAAAGCAATATTCGTGATTGAATTTATTATTCTACATTAACGAATCGAAATTTTTTCATATATATTTATACGTAGAATACAAGTACTATTAGAAAGCAGTCTCTCATACTAATATCATATAATCTAGACTGTTTTTTTCTTACCTTTTGAACACATCATCCATTTGCGATCACAAATGTGTTGATCTTTTTCATACTCATCCCATTTTAATTGATCGGGTAAAATCGTTTGCCATATATCATTATCATCATCAGCATAATATAATAGAGTCTTGCATTTTTGACAGATTGATTGAGTGAATTGATTAGGGCCAAAAAGGTTGTCATTTAATGTTTGTATTTCTGACTGATTGAAGTCATTTTCTAATACTTCTTTTAATGTTTTAAACCGATCAATAAATACCAATCGATTATACTCATGTTCTAAATCTAACCATTGTTGTCGCGTAAGATATAATGAATCATTTTTCTTAACATGTTCATAAATTGCTGCTAATATTTTATCACGTTCGGACGAGACTTGTTCTTTTAAATTTCGAAAAAGACCTAGCACATGTATAAACAAATCACAAAGTTTCTTTTGACGATTATTACCATTGTCTCTTCTAATAATATCAACAATGTTCTCTGGTAATCCAGTATAGTCGATTGAACGGTTTAACCTTTGACGAAGAGTATCAACTAATAACGTTTCAGTTCCTGAATAAAACTTTTGCAGTCTTCCATGAATCTTCTTGATAAGAGCAGAGTAACGTTTACATTTCACTAAAGGATATTGACATTTTGGACAACGAGGATATTCTACATGTATAAACCCATTAGGTAAAAAGTTCCTTCAAGAGAGAAAAAAAAATGAATAAATAGTTCGAATAGATCCAGATAAAGATTGAAATGATAGACTTACTCCTGTTCAAACTTTTGAACATGTTCATCAAGTTTATCAGTTGTAATTAGATGACCACATTCAAGTTCAACAAAACAGATATTTCTTTTATTTCGTCCATTTATAGCCGCTCGTATTTCATCTGGTAGTTCTGTTTCACGACAATTCAAACAAGTAATACACGGCTCTCCACAAACGCCAAAACAGTAATGACCATCATGAAGACGTCGTGTACATTTGCTATTACATGGTAAACGATCGCATTCATTTTTACACCGTTCATTACAACGACTATGTCTGCATCTATTTAGACAATATCGATTGCATTGATATATAACACATTTATCAGATAGATAAAGTATATCTGGTTCATCTGGATGATCGCATAATTTGATATATGGTTGTTTGCAACGTGATCCAAGTTCATGACAACGTTGTTGACGACTATGACCACACATATAAACAATAAGTTCTTTTTGATCACATGGACAATGGAATCGTTTTTGATAACATGTAGAACATGTACCTTTACAAATATGTCCACACTCCTATAATACAAGATAAATCATATTTATAATCAAATACTGATAAAAATTCTTACAAGAGTAGCATCGCAAGGATGAATACATAGTTGATCTTTCAACATTTCATTTCTTAAGTCACAACATCGTACTTGTACCTTATGTCCAATAGAACATGTATATGAAACCTGTACGGCACATTCAAGTTGATTAGTTTTAGTCATAAAACATGGTATATCACTTATATGCTCGCAATTAGGCATTTTTAATTTAATCATTTCACTGCATGGTAGACATTCTGCTGTTGGATGGCATTTCTGTCCACATTGATGATCACAATCATTATATTTTTTCTGACAAGTTTTATGGCAAACTACGGTATCATGCGATGTACTATGGCACTTTAATGGACATTGATGACCACATGATAAACGAGTTTCACATTGAAGTCCACAACCACCAAGTGGTCGTTTAAGAAAATCATTTGGATGTTGACATATTATTTGATTATCGCGATGATTAATACAATGAATTGGAAGACCTAAAAATCTCATAGATCAATCTTAAATTAAATTTAAATTTACCTGTTCCAATAAGTTTTAATTGTTTTATTTTATTTATAATAATTTTCCATGTTTCATTATGTTCAACAAGTAAATGAAAATTTCCAATAACATAAAGACCATTTTGTGCACGAGATAACGCTACACATATACGATTATCTACAGCTATATAACCAAGACGTTGATCAGCATTACTTCGTACAAGACTTAATAAAATAATACGATTTTCTTCTCCTTGAAAATTATCTACTACCTAAATATATATATTTCATAAAATAAAAAATGTTTTCTTTTTTGTAAAGATAATTAGTTACGGTAATATGAATGCCTTGAAGATGTTTAAATTGTTGACTGATAGTCTTTTGAATTCGTTGTCGTTGACCCATGTATGTTGTTAAAATGGTTATATCTTTTTTGTCGTATCCTTGTTGAATTAAATAATTAGCTAATTGTATAACATAATCACTTTCATGAATATTTCTTTTCGATGAACCATCTGCAACATTTTCTTCGAAATTTTGATGATCAATAAAATATAATGGGTGATTTACACCTTTAATCGATGGACGATTAAGAACTGATTCATGATTAAGAATTGATATGTCATAAAAATGATGCGTTAAACTGGAAATCATTGGAATTGAACGATGTTGTACACATAATTGAACAGATGGCATTTGATTTTTAATTAATCGTTCAAATAAAGATACATCAAGATTAAATTGTTTAGCTAATGTATAAACATTTGGTGATGGACGAAGTTGAACATGATCACCAATAAGAATTAAATGTTCAATACGTTCACCAATTGCTGTTATAATATGTGATTCAAATACCTTAAAATTTTCTTTGTATTTTCAATATAAATATTTTTGTTTTCATCTTACTTCAGCTGCTTCTTCAACTATACAAATACGTGGTGCAATTTCTTTTAATACTTTTTGATATCTTGATGCACAATGTGTTGTCATAGCAATTCTAAAATAAGGACAAAATAAATTAAAAAGATCTACTAAATTTTCCTACATAAATGCATCATTCATATATAATCGATCATTTGTTAACCAGAGGTTTTGCATTAATTGATAATTTTCATCATATTGCTCATTTAAATTATACCATTCCTCTGAAATAATCATAAATAATATTTGCAAAACTTCAATACAAACGAATATGCTTTAATATACCTGTAAGTAATTGAACATATTTCCAAAGCCAATATCGATAGAGAGCTTGTCGTTGCTCTTTACCAATGGATCTTGACCATAAATCTATTATATTATTTACCGCATCATCCGATAGTAGTGCTGTTCTATTATATAATAAACGTTGCATAAATTCAAGTTGTTCAGTATTGATTTGTTTTTTTTCTTTTTCATTCGTTTGACTAGGAAATTTAAACGGAATAGCTACATGATCAACATTGTCTAATCGTTTTGTTTCTTCTTCGTCATCTTCGATATTAATCTGATTTTCTTCATTCATATTTGTATTATTTGTTGCTGTTGTTGTTTGTAAAAATAGATCATTTAATGTATCTAGAAATATTCAATTCTTATATCTATTTAATTAAGAGATCTTAACAGACCTTTTAAAACTGTTGCTCTAGCTTCATTTTTCTTTCTTCCTCTTCTTCGAGGTTTTTGAAATTCACCACCACCATCATCATCATCATCATCATCAACATCATCATCTATTACAAATTATAAGTATATTAAACGATAACTTAGAGATGTTTTTTTTTCTAATAGAATATACCTTCATTTTGTTCTTCGATTTGATTGATAATTGAATGTGATTGTTTTGAAGTTAACCATTGAATAAAAAATTGATTCATTTTATTTTGATCGTTTTTTGATAATTTATTTAATTTATGACAATTGGTTCGATTTTTATTTGCCTCCATTTTTTCTTCCCATGATAAAGATTCATCATTTTTTTCACTATCAGAATCACTTTCATCTGAATCATCTGACTTACAATCGATTCCACATTTACTTGACTTCCAATGATTATTAAAAATATCTAATTTTGATAGAATAGGTTCTATCATTGATAAAAATTGATTTTTATTCATAACACGTAATAGTTGAGTAATATCAAGTATTTCTTGACTACAATTATAATATTTCTCTTCACAATTATCCAGTTGTTTTTTAATAATTTTAATTATTTCATATTTATCTGATAGTTCTTTATTTTCTACACGAACATTACGTCGTTGTTGACGTAATTTTTGTATTAAAAATGGTTCAATTTCAGGATTTGTACTGCGACCACCAACACGAACAATGTCTCCAGATTTCGGGTGAAGTTTTTGAATAATTGTTGATAAAAATTGATCTAAAGCATGATTAGTATAACAAATCATTAGGATTGGACGATTGCAACCCGTAATTCGTTCACGATTATGATAAAATAATTCAGCTAATCGAACACCAAGAAATGTTTTTCCACATCCAGGTGGACCTAAAATAATTTCAATGATATTTATAGACTATTGAATTATGTAAGCATAAATTCGACTTGATCTTAAAAATCTCTTCAAAAGATTTTAAAGATAGTGATTATTAATAATAATTTAAAGGGAACAAAGTTTTCATCTTCGTCTTTAGAATACTTTCAATACTATTTCTAATCAATATTTACCGAGCTCTAATGATCATTCTCAACTATGCGATGACAGATTTTATTGAACCTATTGATGAAACATCATCAAATCTCGTTCGCTTCACAACTCATTGATATCAATCAATTACAAATAGTCATTATAAATGTTCTCTTATGATAATACCTTGAATAAGAGCAACAGCTTTAGTTAAAGCTAATTGCAATGCCCTGTATTGACTATCATCAAGTCCAAGTTGTTGAGCATTTGGCCATGTTGTTAAATCTTTAACATCACTTAATTGATCATGCAATTCACCGTAATCTTTGGCATTTTTAATTAATAAAGGTTGAAAATCAATTTTACTTCTTTCTTCAAAATAATTTGGTAAACTAACATCTGTATCACAATGAAGTAAATATTTTTCAAGTGGCAAACGATCCTCTTTAATATTTTGTAAAGCTTGTAAAATCGGTCGATATGCTTCAAAATATGATGTAGTTTCTAATAATGTAAAAGATGTTCCTGGTGGAGTTTTCATTAATTGATAACCACATAATTCTTTTTGACACTAAAAAAAGAAATCAAATATTTTTTATTCTTATGAATTATTTTTCTTCGAAAATATTTATTTTACTCGAACAGATATTGTTCCATCTTGATCAATATTTGAACGATCTTCTACAGTTAATAGAAAACAACTAGTAGCAAAATCATCAAATGTTGCAGCTAATAAATTTCCATAGATTAAACGTCTTGAATTTCTCCAACTAATTGATTTTGGTAAAGTTTGCATATCAATTTGCATTGAAAATAATATTCCAATATGAGAACATATTGTACTTTTTAATATTGTATTTCTATATAAACGTACATTAGCATTTTGAAATGATACATTTCGATTATCATCATCCATATATTGACATATAGCTTCACGTAATGGATGAAGAAAATCTTCTCGAAGAAGACGAAAATGTATCTAAAATAATTCAATATAAGAACAAGAAATTAAACGAGTATTTTATTTTATTACATCAAGATAATGTGTACCATTTTGATATTGGCCTGATGTGATATTTTTTCTTAGATAAGGTATTTGTTGCTGAAAAATTTCATCTAATGTTGGATAAATTGAAAGCTAAAAATAAAATTATTTATATATTATAATTTAAATAAAAATATTTTTATACTTCATGAAAATCATTGGGTGGTGGTTCATCAGGTTCTAAATCATTTTGAACTTTCGATTTTATTTTTTTACTTTTTCTTTTATATTCTTCACGTAAATTATCTACACAGGAGATTAATTCAGTGATTTGTAATTGAATATTTTCATCCTAGAAATAAATTTAATAGTTAAATAAAAAAATAAATAAAATAATAAATAACAAACAGAAGTTTTTTGAGTATATAATTCAAGTCGATCAAATATACCCAATGAATTTAATTGTTCCCAACAGAACGGATGAATTTCAAGTAGTCGTTGTAAAATTTCAGATACAATAGGAACGAATTTTTCTAACAGATTTTTTTCTTTTTCATTGGTTGATGATAAAGGACGAAGATGTGCATAAGTAAATTTTAGAAGATCAGAATTTGGTAAACGTAAAATAAGTTTAACCGCATTTTCTCTTGATTTTTTCATTGATTTTATAAGAAATTGAAAAAATTGAGTAAGTAATGATATATCATTCATTTGTGAATCTTCAAAAAATCGATCGAGAAGTTTTGGTTGTTTAAGTAATAATTCACATCCATTTTGTTGATATTCCAAGCGATCCAATTGATCAGAAAGTTTCTCTGTTTCATCATAGCTTAATCATAAAATATATATATATATAAATAGAGTTTATTTTGAAAATTAATTAGTTTTTACTTGAAATTATTTACTGTTGTATGATATAATCTTCTGCTAGACATTTTAGTAATCGAAATCAAACACCAAATTCTCGTACTTATTCGAAAGAGGCAAAAATATATATAAGGTAAAAAACCCAGTGTGATGAGTCATTTATTTGCAGTTATTTTAACTTTCCTTTTTTTATGTTTTTTTCAACGTGGCTTTTCATCTGCCGTAGAGATCTTCACAAAAACAAAAACAAAGAATTTTAATCAGAGGAAAATATGTGTTTTAATCAAATATTGTTAGTTAAATCTTTATGAATGAATATAATTTTTTATCCCTTGTTGTTCACTAATTATTTTATATGTTGAATAAATTTAAATGTTTATGACATCTAGATAAATTCTGACAATTAGTGCTTTGGATTTATTTCGCTTCGTTTAGAAAATGTGTGAGTGTATATAAATAATCATATTAAATGCATACTGCCATCTGTTTATCCTTCTGAATTTAAATCATCTTTTTTACAGTAATAATTCTTTTTGACATTTTGCAGGTATTGAGAGAATACTCTGGAAAATGAATGGTACTATATGGAGCAATAAATTTTATTTCAAATATACAGCATGTCACTAATGGAGTTTTTGTAATATTTTAAAAATAGTTCGTTAAAAAATGTTGATGAATTCTTTCCTTATATCGATTCTAGTTAGTCAAATACTGCAAGTTTTAAGAACTAATCTGTGTAAGTATGTATATGTAAAAATGGCATTCCAGTAAAAAATAATTATAAAAAAAGTCGGTAGAGAAGATATTCATGAAAACATGGAAATTTATCTTCTACTTAAAGCGGTTCAGCATTACTACGAGACGTTCATTTCAACTGAAAGTCTTCCCTATCTAGAAAGAAAGCATTCTAAATTGTTTTATGAATTAGTAAAATAGTTATTTTTCATTCTATTTTAAGACAGTGAAGATAGGGCTTCAACAAAATGAGATGAGTTTCTACGATGTTCTATAAAAAACAGCACATCTACGAAAGGATTCTTTGTACCGATGAACGCATTCTAGAAAACTTGACATCATTCTTAAAAGTAGAGTAGTATTCTTTGGCGTCTTCTTATTTTTTAAACACCTTCATCTGAATTTAACGCTACTTTTCATTCAAAATTAGTAATTCAAAGACACGACACGTTGAAAGCGACAACAAAAATAATAAAACCTTTAGTGAGTTGTACTTTTAGCTATTAGCCCTGATTACAAATAACAATATAGTTTGAGTTACGAAAAATCAGAGCCTACCATTTGATAGGGCTCGTCGAGTTGTATTAGAACAAGTCTCTCAATTAAGAAAACAAAATGATTTTTAAGGTATGCAGTGCATTCTACACCGTTTTTTTCTATTAGGATATATCTGATTCAATATTTTCTAAAATTTGAATATGAATATAACTGATATACGATAATTATTGTGTCCATAACAACATATTTTTCATCGTACTTAATTGTAAGAAGTACTGAAACGACCAGTATGGTACAACTACTTTGTTTACATGAATAATTACAAACTTCGGAGTTATTCATTAGAAATATTTAGTAAAAAACCACTTTTTTCTATTGTCTCCTCTTTACCGGATCGTGACCAGTTTTACTTTTTTATTGCGTTGCCATAAGTATAAATTTTTGTTGAAAAGAAGCTCAATTACCATCGAGATTATTTTTATTTCAAAACTTTGTAAAGTTCGTAATAAACATTGTAATACTCAGACGTGTTCGACTTATCTTTCTCTTTCTTCTTCTTCTTCTTCTTAATGTCGTTTATAAATGATCTCTCTTACTATATACAGAGAAATTATATTTAATCTATTTCAAACTAATGACAAGAAACTTTCACATTTTCTTTATACCTTTGACATTCAAATGAGAGATACTGCGTAGATATTTTATTGTCAAAACTAATAAGCATTCATATTTTGGTTTCTAAAATATGAATGACATTGAGTAAATTTCATAACAGAAAACAATTACTAATATGATTAATCTATAATAATTAATTTATCCAAATATAGATAATTATTAATCAAATATCAAAATTACGACAACGTGAAAAATATGTAATGATATTATGATTGGATATTTCTATATTAATAAAAACAATGGATAAATATAAAGCTAATTATATTTATTCAGTTGTCGATGACTGGTAATCGTATAATTACATTCAATTCATGTGAGACAAATCCCCCCCCCACCTTGACCTAACGCGTATCGTATATAATCGATTGTAACGTTTCAATTTACAGTCATACCGTAAGTAAATGTAGGATAAGTATTGCACGCGATCTTAAAAAGAGAAAATTTTATAATGTATAGATAAGACTAAACTGTAATACTATCAATAGTGATTTTGTTAAGTTTAAAATTAAATTAAAAATAAGTAAATTCATGTTTTTCTTTAAGGCCTGTTTCATTCAAAAATATAATTAGTTATATTTTCTAATCACTCATAATAAATAAAATATGAGTGAAACAACTCAAACTTACAGTTACCATTCACACATAGTCACATAATTAAAATTTTTAGTTATTAGTTTCAATTCAACTTGTTCATGAATGAGTAGAAACGAAATGACTTGAATTCTATTCAAATACAAAAAACAATTTCCTCACATTCCAGAAAAATATTTTATTTCATCTACTATGTAAAAGAAGAGAAATTGAATCTGAAGATCACTTATTTTTAGATTAGGTAAAATATTGTGATTCTATGAAGCATTAAGTTGTAGAAAACGAGTGGAAAAGCATGTGAAAATTGATAAGTTAATCATGATTTTTTATATTTGTCAATTTTTAAATTAAGGAAACAATAATTATCGCCGCGTGTATGTCTGCTATTCCACCCACACAGTAAATATTTATTATGCTTGGATACGTTAAAGCTCTCAAGCATTTTGAATAGAATCCTGACAATAGATCTATTCAATTTATTTTCATATGATAAGTACCCATCGTATAATGAGTTCTCAACATTTGTTAAAAAATTTTATATTATGAATGCAAAACGTATTGAGTTCTTTATCAATATATTTATTTTGTTAGTAGAATAAATATTTTTTAAAAATTCAGAGACAAAAATAAGTGATTTATATGCATAGACTTTCAATAAAAATATGAGGTTAAAGGTTTATTGACTAAATTGAAGATGATATAAAGTATTGTTTTTTTTTCTAAAAACTATTCTGCATACAATATTAGAATGCATTAAATCTTTTTCCACTTCGCTGACAAAATAAATCTTATCAAGCATGAATTTTTAATGGGCATAGATTTATTTTTATTCTTCTTTCTCTTCGAAAACAGGTCAAAATAAATAACAATTCTTTTGTAACATTACACAATTATTATCACCTGACAAATATTTTAGTGAGAATCAAACAATAAAGTAAGATGAGAATATAATGAATTATGATATTAGTTAAATATGAAAGATAATTAACTCTAATTTCTAACTGGTCACATAAGATTAATATCCTTGATAAATATAATTATATAATTGTTCCTTTTCTGTTTTTTATATTGCAGAGTTATTTATAACTGAATTTCTTTATAGAAAGAAAGCGATAAATGTGTATTTATATGACGAAAGTCAATAATTACACAGACAAATATAACATATGACCTTTGGAGTAAGATAATAGATTACATGACCTCTTATTTTATTCATTTTTTTTTCGAAAGTCATATCATCAAGTTATTTGTATATTACATAAAAGAAAGATTAAATAGTAGATCTATTTAAAGAAAAAGAACACCGGAACATATTATATATTTTTTCATCAATAGAGAAAGTACTGTAATTAAATCTATTATTATTATGTAGATATATTTAATCAGTCTAAGGTCATCATGGTAGTTAACTATAAATTATGAAGAAAAAAAAAATATAACAATCTTTTCAGATTATAAATGCTTTTACAAAGCATTTTCTACTTAACATCAATTAAATAAACCAATTCAAAAAAGCTTAGTCACTTATGTTAGCAGCTATTGTGACTACGAACGCAAAAATAGGAGAAGAAAAAAAAGTTTTTTTATCGTCTATACAAAATACCTATTCGATAAAAAAGAAACAGGTAATAATAAGCATCCTTAGAAAACAAACAATTATTTAATTAGAAAGTCGAGTTTCTTAAGAAATATACAATCGATAATATACAGTAATTATAAAAATTTATAGTCAATGATATCTACTTTTTGGCTTCTGTCAATTCTTATCATGATTAATAATATGTCATGATGACCTAATTGTAGTATTTAATGCCTACGAGATTTCTTTTCCTCATGTGAAACACACCACACATTTCTTTTTTTTTCTTCTTTCTTCAACGTTGTTGTCTCTACATTCCAATCTCATCACGGTCAAAATGTTCTGTTTATAAACACACTAACGTTTATAATAATAATAACATCACAAAAATTATAGGACATTAATATTTCACATGAACACATGCGTTTTGATATTATAGTAAAGTCATAACTTGTATATATATATATGTTTTATTTTTTATTTCAGAAAGGAAATTTCTAACTATTCAATGTATTGTTCGATTTGAAAAAATCAATAATTTTTATTGCAATTTTTTGGCCTATTTAATTATTTTTTCTTCAATAATTTGTCACTGTACCCTTACTAGCAGATTTGCGTCATTTATTAGACGTGAAATAGTGATAAACAGTAAGAAAAACATTAACAGAACAAGAAAAAAGCACGATCAGAAACAAAAAAAAAAAAAGAAAAAAAAGACACAACTACTTCAACATTACTGTCAGACGTTAACGTTTATTTGGGACATTGTAATCATTCAGAAATTATTTCATTTTCTTTTACCATACTTCGCTTATTTAATAATGAATGAGCTAGACATAGATGAAAAACAGCTGAATAGACGGTCTAAATACACGATGAAAGCCAGACAAACAAAAACTGAAGCGTAAGTTATTTTTATTTTTATTTCTCCTTATTAACTTTATACATTGACAAATATTGCTTTTTTTTCTATAATTTTATTCATTAATCTCTATGAATATATTTATTTTTATAGGAAACCTATTACAATAACAGCTGAACGTTTATCTGACAATTCTCGTATAACATTTACTATATCGTCCGATAAAACAATTAAACAACTACATGCTCTATTAGATCATCATTTACCGCCTTTATCATCGGGAAAATTTGAGTTGTATTCATATCAACGTGGTGCACTTATACATTTTCATCCATCTTCGTTTAAACTCGACTATTTTCCAGTTATTTTCGATCAATCTGTACTTCTACTAAAAATGGATGATCGTCTTATGAATAATATCGATACAAACATTTCTCGAAATAAACAACCAAAATCCTATTCAACAAAATCGAAATATATATCATTAAAAAACTTTTTATCATCGAAATCTCGGACGACGATAAAACCTTCTATAAAACAACAAACATCGTCATCATCATCATCATCAACGAATATTACTTGTCTAACTATATTAAAACAATATTTTCATAAATCATCGTCCAGTACCGTGAATAAAACGGATTCAACAAATATCCTAACTTATTAAAGAATATATCTGAAGTGTAATTATATTATAGCTATAGGAAATTGTATTATTTTGTACTTTTTTGTTTTTTCTATTCTTGAAATAGAGATATTTATGAGTATGTACATACATATGTGTAAAATCATGTTGATTAGAGAAAAAAAAGTAATAGACATTTTTATCAATGATTGGTTACATGCATTTTCTAATTGCATTGTTACTTCAATTTGACGTTATCGATTGATGTGATATTATACTTCTATGTCATGTTTTATATTACTTATACGATGCACTCTGTGACTAATAGTGAAAAAAATATATGTAAAAATAAGAAAGTCTTGAATCAAGTTGATATATACAAAACATATGGTTAATTATGTCTGCAATTAAATGTAACGACATATTTTTGTCGAATAAAAATGTTCTATTAAAAATTTCCATTACAACTAAAATCGAAGTCTTTTTTTAAGTTACCAATGAACACTTGAAACTTGGTACAGTTTAAATTTTTCATGATATAATTTATACTATACTCAACATTTACTATATTTTTTATTCATCATATTTTATATCAAAATATTTGCTACAAGAAAAATAAAAAGGAAGAACGGCATCAAAGGTCAGAGTGACCTTATTTATGAAGAAAAAAAAGTAGAAATATTTCACAATAATGTATAAAATATTATTATTGATTAACCGGTTTTTTGTATAGTTCTATATACATGAGCTAATATACAATGGTTGATTGAGTATAGTCAGATACAAATCAACAAAACAGTATATATGTTAATAGCAAACTATCAAGGTGACTTGTATGAAAACAACAAACATTTACCAGCTTGTACTTGTTTTTATGAATATAGCTTAAGTTAATGTTGTATTCGTCCTAGACCATTGATAAAAACATTCACGTACTGAGAGCACGAGTACGAGTAAACTTAAGTATTAGACATTAATCATAAAGATATAATATGACATAAATAGATATTCTATACTTCAAAAATACTATTTTTTAATTTACGCATTCCACAGACTTTTACAGTCAAAAACAGATGAGATATGTTCTCACTAAATGTTTAATATTTTGTTGGAAAAGATTCTATGAAAAAAAAAATAGTTTGTATTTATCTTTTAACAGTCATGTAAATATCAAAATTAGATAAGCATCTGTTCGTCTATGATAATTTGTGTGAGAATCAGAGCATAAACGAATTATTTTTCATTCTATCCAACAAACAAATAAAAGATACTTATCTATATTAAAAAAACATGTATTTCGATATCCTAATAAACAAAAATATTAGTTATCGATTCATCTATATTCGAAAGAAATTTTATTCACAAGATATAATAAACAATCTGACAGTAGAAAAAAACTTATTCAATAAAAAAAAAAAAAAAAACTTGATTATTATGAATGTTAGAAAATGATATCTTCATCATCTGATTCATTATGAGAATTGGCTGTTGCTAATGATAATGATCGATTAGTATATTTATTTTGTATAATTTCACCCCATAATAAACTTTTTTTACAAGATGGACATGAGCCATCTATGGGAATAATATAATGTTGTTGTGTATTATTAAGAAAATATTTTGATAAACATATAATATGAAATGGTGTAGAACATTTCGGACATGATACATACATTATTGGCTAAAAGAAAATATAGAAAAATTATATTAAGACAGTCTTATTTTTATCCTATAAATAATACGCCGTTATTCTTCCTTTTTGCCCATTAACCTTAATTATCATAATGCTTGAACACAGACTGTTCCTCTCTAAAAATAACTCAAAAGTTCACAATGTTATATTTTCTAGGAAGAAGATACTGACAGATTTAGCTAATTTATCATATACAAAAAATCATGACAAAAGTTGACGTTTCTCTTTTTTTTTGTCATTATGTTGAAGAATGTCAAATTTAACTTTAGCAGACTACTTAATAAATGAAATATTATAACCGAGGGCAAATCAAAATCTAAAATAATATGTAAAGACTAATTTAAATTTCATCTAATACTTAGCCTTAAAAATAATCTTGTTTTTTTGACCAAAAAGTTTGTTTAACCCGTAAAAAAGAACATGTTCTAAAAAAATGATAGCTAATGATTTTGATAGATAGTTCTGCATGATGAAGTTTTCAAATTAACTGTGTTGGTGTCATTAAACTTATCAAAAGTTAGATAAACTCAAGAAACAACTTGTTTTCTTCTATCTTATAAGCATCGAAACTTAAGATGAAAGTTAGAAATAGTTGAATCAAAACAAAAGTGCATTGTTTTTTTTTTGAAAGAGTGCACGCAACAGTGGATATATTATATTTCAATTCTTTAAATATAAATTATGATTAAAAATTTATAGGTCATTCTCATAAAATATCACAGTTTTTTTCAAGGGAAGAACTATTTCAATTCCAGGCTTTAAACAATTTCAATTTTTAATCATAGACATTTCATATTTTTGAAAACTTCAAAGAGATCTCAAGTGACTTTCAAAATTTAATTATTAAAAGTCTTTCTATTAGTTTTTGTCAGGCTTTTCTTTGTTGAAAAAGTCTATTTATTATTATTTGAAATTTAACATACCTGTATATTATCATTACAAAGAGAACAAGACGCAAGCGATTTTGTATCATCATTTTCTGTTGATAAAACTTGATTGTTAATTTTCTTTCGTTTTGATGGTATTGTATTTGTATTTTTCGATACATTTATTGGTCCACTTGTTATTGGCATGTGAAATGGTGGGAGTTTTTCTAAGGTTTGTTTTTTATCTGTTAACCATCGAATTGTAAGTGGTAAACGTGTCCATGGACCAATTGAAAGCATTTCTGCAAGTATTTGTAATTTAAATTTTAAGCTAAATCGTTTAGTTTTAGGTAGATTTAAATGTTTAAGACGTACAGATTGTTCAGGATTTTGCCATGCCCATTCGAACTAGTTTATTGAAGGAAAAAAGAGAGCATTTATCCTGTAAATTAAATATAAATACTAACTCGTAATGCAGAAATTTCATTAGGAAAACCATGTACAATTAAAACCATTTCCCTAAATAAATAGAAAGTTTTTTAATTAGACTAAAATTTTCAAAATTTTGTTTTTCTACCATGGTCCTTTTCCACTTGTTCGTTTAGCGCCACCAAAATCTTTTCCTTTATTATGTTGTTTTATTCGTCGATTAAGATTAACAGTAAAACCAATATAAGTTCGACCTTTACATTTTGGATTTAAACTATTTAATAAATAACAACCAAAGAAATTTTCAACTTCAGTATCAGCTATTTGATTAAATGATGTTTGTAATGAATTATCAATCGAAACGATTGTTGTCTCATCAGCAGACATCTAAAATTATTCAATTGAAATTTTATACACCCGTTTAAGACTATCATAACTATTAACTATTAAAGATTGATTACAAAAGTTATTTATGTAGTCTTTAGCTTAGAAATTTTAATTGAACTCAAAAGTCAGTAATCTTTGAACTTTATTCCGATAGTTTAGTTTTATTAAGTTATAAGTCAAGAAGTATTTTTTTTACTTAACAATTGGCTGTTTTTAAAAAAAGAAGTACTTGAGAATAATTGTGATTCTAAAATAGGTTGACTATGATATATTTTTTCAAGATAATAAGTAACAGGAAAAAAACATCCTGTTTTTATCGATTTTCAATAGAGTATGAGATAAAGATCTATTATTTCGCAGTGTATGTCTATATTATAATTAACTACCGTTTGTTGATCTAGATCATGGAGCAGTTAAGTATCATTTTTTTAGAAAACTATGTTATATATATATAAATAATGTCATTTATCTAAAATAAATGAATTTAATATCTTGAAAAAAGAAATTTCTAATTTCAGTATTCATAAAGTTCTTTATAAAAAATATTTGACAAACCAAAAAGTTTGTGATAATAGTGACTACTTTTGGTACATAGAAAAGTAAGATATAGACTTTTTTTGAATAGACCATATGGTATACAGACAGACTGTTTATATTTAATTGTAATTATTAAATAATGGAATCGTCTTAGCTTTTATCAATGATATTCTTCTATGAGAAAATTTAATCATAATATCTTTACAATAAAATAGAGATATTCTACGGAAAAAATAAAATGGTGAGTATTAGAAGAAATTATTAAGAGCTATCTAATACTTTGATATTTATTGAAATCTTTATTATTAAAAGCATCAATCATAAAGCACATGTCTTCTTCTTCTTTTTGATTATCACATCAAATATATATTTAATATTCTCTTTGTTTCTTTTGAACATTCCTCACTCCTACATACACACATAATTCTGGATAGTGTGCCACTCACATCACTAAATAGAAACGTGTTGATATAATACTATAACTCCTTCGGAAATTCATTGGATTTTTCTTTTCAATGATTATATATTTTTATTCATTGTAATAAAGAGAGAAAAAATCTTATTGGTTCCTATTCGCCATTACCCTCTCTTTTTTATCCATCATCCGGTATAGTTAATGCGTCAATATTATATTTACCTATTAAATATCTTCTCGAATTTGAGAATACCGAAATGTCCTTGAATAGTTTATTATTCATAGAAAAAATTATATATATACGCAATATGTTTAAAATTATTTTTCTATGTATAATCCGAAAATGTCACTACTATGCTTGATATGTCGTTTCTTTCTTCTCTACGAAATTTCTTTCTCTGCCTCCTTGTCTGCAATATATTTTCTCTTTTATTTTTTTTTTATAGACTTACATTTTCGATTTCGTCGATCTCCTACACGCGTACTTTATTCAACACTAAATATCGTTCGTTTTTCTAACGTACATATTTATACGAGTGTAAAGTCTATTGTGCGTGTGTGATCGACGAGGAGAGCATTCTACTTAGTCTTTTACAAGACACCGAAAATATTGTCCAAAGTTTGCTACGAATACAAAGGGTGGGGCACTTCTGTTAAGGTATATTGAAATAATTTTTAAATTAACTAAAATAATTTTATTTTCATTTTATTAATTAAATAGGGCCTTACTTCCGAAAAGTATCTATTTTCGGTTAACGTTTATCCATCATCTGTCTTGCCTGAATTCCCTTGGAGACCTGGTCCGCTTCGCTAGCACCCGCCACGAGAATTTAATCGCTGAAAAACTCCCTTTTTTCGTTTACGTAAGTTGAATATTATTTTATTTTTCGAAAAAAATTATATTATTATTATTATTCATATATAGTAATTCGACACTTCATATTCAATACAATCAGCACTCCCTCTTTCGTATTATTCTTGCCTAAATAAAAACAAAAATGCATCTTATAAAAGATAATTCAATTGTTGTCACAAAAACTCAGTTTACAGCTGAAGAATTTATTCAAAAAAAAATCGAACTACTCGTAAGACAATAGAAGAACTTTTGTTTATTAATATTCTATGTGTTGAATTTTTGTAGAAAGATGAGGTCGAACCTTTCTTTGCTGTTGATCTTGAAGACGTATGCAACAAACATATTCGTTGGCTTACTTCAATGCCTCGTGTAACACCACATTATGGTTAATTAATTACTTAAATCTATTTATATTAAACTCATAGTTTTCTTTTCATTTTTATTTCTAGCTGTTAAATGTAACGATGATACAAATATTATTAAATTACTTGCTTATCTTGGCGCTGGCTTTGATTGTGCAAGCAAAGTAAATTTATTTTATTTTCCATAGTTTCCTTATTATATACATTTCGATATTTTTGTCAAATAGGGAGAAATGAAAAAGGTCATGGATTTAGGTGTATCAGGTTAGTAAATGTCATCTATTTTATATTTTGTTTTTGTAATTATTAAAAATATGTTTAGCTGATCGAATAATTTATGCTAATCCATGCAAACAATCATCCTATATACGTTATGCACAAGAAGTTGGCGTTGAAGTTATGACATTTGATAATGAACAAGAATTAATGAAAATTAAACAAGTATATCCAAATGCAAAGTAAATAATTATTTCATTTAATCATCAATTATTTATTATATTTTGATTTTATTAGACTTGTATTACGTATTGTAACTGATGATTCTAATGCTGTTTGCCGTTTTTCAATGAAATTTGGTGCTGATTTAAAAACAGCATTTAAATTAGTTGAAAAAGCTCAAGAAATCAACATGGAAGTCATTGGTGTTAGTTTCCATTGTGGTAGTGGACAAATGACAAGCAAAGCATTTGTTGATGCAATTCAAAATGCACGAACATTGATGAGCTATGGAATTAAATTAGGTTTTGATATGAATCTTCTTGATATTGGTGGTGGTTATCCAGGAAATCTTGGAACTGAAGATTATTTTGCTGAAATTGCCGCTGCTGTTAATAAAGCACTTGATGAACATTTTCCAGATGATGGAAATATTAGAATTATTGCCGAACCTGGTCGATATTATGTTGCTTCATCATATACATTAGCAACTAATGTTATTGCTTCACGTGAAATGGTCGATGCAGGTTTGTTTATTTACGAGAGCAAAAGATACATTAGGAAATTACTTTTTTTTCTATACAACAGAAACGGGTAATTCAAAATATATGTATTACATCAACGATGGTGTTTATGGTTCATTCAATTGTGTTCTCTACGATCACTATGTACCTACACCAAGCCTCTTTGCTAAGGTTAATAATATATATATATATATACAGTTTCTAATCTTTTAATATATTTTATTTTATATACAGAATGATTCAAACGAAAAACATACAACATCAATCTGGGGACCAACATGTGATGGTCTTGATTGTATCAATCAATCGATTGAATTACCAAAATTAGCTATTGGTGATTGGATATATTGGAAAAATATGGGTGCATATACAATATCAGCAGCTGTTCAATTTAATGGACTTCCATATGGCAAACCAATTTACTTTATGTCCAAACAATTCTGGTACGTAGTGATAACTTATATAGTTGAATTGCATATAACGAACGTAAGGAAAGGACCTATGTTCGAATCTGATTGGCGGTGATGATGTTTTAATCCGTTACGCAGTTTTCACTCGAATTTCTCACATGTGAGGCCAGTCATTTTACAAAAATGCCTTCCATGGAAGTCTGAGCCAATCTATTTTATAAAAAAAACTTTTCCGAAAATTCATTTTTATTAAAAATAAATTTTTGTTTTTTCGTTTGTTTTAGGGATACAGTCAAAGCTGCATTTCAAACTGTTCCACGAAAATATCAAGTTGAAACATCAGCTACTCGTGTGAATTCATCGGATTGTTCGTATGAAATTGAAGATGATATGTTACCTTGGATACCTGAAGATTTTGCTGAAGATACAACAGTTGTTACTATTCAATGATCAATAGAAAAAAAAGGCTTTTTTTTCTTTTCTCTCTTCCTAAACTTTTCAACTTCCACTCAGATAAACAACGAATATAATGATGTCGTTAATTAATATTCTTCATCCTATGCTGTTTGGATTGAATATGAAGTGTCGAATTCGTCCTTCCTATTTCCTATCCCGTCCCAAAAAAAAATACAGGTCTATTGTCCTTCTTTTCTTATCGGGGATTTTTTTTTCTCTTTTATTTTCAAATTTTTCTTTCTTTAAGGTTATGTTGTTCGTTTCGTTTCTATTATTTTTTTTCCTTTTTCTTGGTTTTTTTAAATTAGGTTTTCACATCTAAAGCAGTAAAAAAGCAAACCAAAACAGTGTGTTCTACTGCAGTACACATTTGATAAAAAAAATAAGATCTTAACAGTTTATTGTTTCATTTTTTTCTATTGGTTCTGCTATTATGTTTTTCGCCTTTATCTATCTATCTATCTATCTTTTTTTCTCGTTCGTTTGTTATTCTCAGTATTATTATTATTCTTTATCATCTCTGGAACAAATAAAAGAACAAAAATATCTATATTTGATAAAGTATTTTATTTCTTGTTATTGACATAGATACACGTACTATAATACAGATAAATATAATATTTATGATGTACGTAGATAAATTTAGTTTGTTATTCTTTGTTCAGACATTGAATACAAAAAAGACTGATTCAAGTCTGTTAACAGACATTGTTTTGATTGCAAAATGAACGTAGGAGTAAGAGCTTGTTTCTTTTTCTGTCTGGAAAATATTGTATTTATGTGCGTCATCAATATGTTTATTCAAAAGTTCGTCAGTGCAATAAAAATAGTTTTCTTATACAAGATAATTTAGTATGATAAAAATCATTTTCTGAAGAGAAAAATAAATACTTCAATCTAAGTTTTTTATGAATGATTTTTCTTTGTTAAGTATGCTAATACTTTAATCTCTAGTACTGTTCATATCTCATTATTTATAATCAATAACATGTAAACAAAAATAACTTCGTTATTATTGTAATTGTGAATTATAATATTAATGCGCAGTTATATGATATTTGAAATATTTGACATAAAATCATGAAATGATAAAGTATATAACAAATATTTTTATGAATGACGCATATGAGGCATCTGGTTTGTTTTTGATAGATAGCATATGTTGTTTTTTATATGAATCAAGGTAAAAGAATGCATCAGATGAAAACGAAGAAAATAATGTGTATTATGTTGATATCTTTATTTATATGTGATAGCTCATTAAAAAAATCTGGTTGTAATAAGTATAGATACTGTTGGGGAATTACAATAAACTATAAAAATAAATTTGTAGTTGTAAACTAAATATTACATCAATGTAATGATAAATTATATTGAAAATTCTCTTTTTTTTTGTATACATTATCGAAATAAAAATATCTATATCACTTGTAAAGTTTTAATTTATTCGTAGTGTTCTTATTATTTGATATCAAAATGAAGAACACGGGTGGTATCAGTATACTTCAAGATACATAACATTCTAATATTGATGTTCGTAATGAGTTCAGTGAAGTACGATTATTTTGAAATATATATATTCGATACTCTCATAGCATCATTATTGAATAATATATCATTACATTTTTACTTACATATTTATTCTATCTACAAAAGATACAAATGCTTTTCGTATTATTTTGTTCTAGCATTGAAATTTATAAAACTTGGTTAATATTCTATTTTAAATAAGTTTTGCATACAAGTATTGAGATTTGATAATTTTAGCATCCAAAAATGCTACTATAGATGCGATCAATATTACTTTGCTATAAATGAAGATCAACGATTAATGTATGAATTCATAACAGTCTAAACAAAAGAAACAGTAAGTTCATAGAAACTCCGAAGTATTCGAGAAATAAGGAGACTCAGAGAGAAGTTCTTTGAATGTAAAATATCCTTTCCCTTCTCGTTTTAATATATGATTGATAATTTCTTAATAATCATTACAAACTTAAAACAATTGAGGAAAAAGGCTTATTAATGGTAAAAAAAATTTAGTTTATTCGATGAGATCATAACGCTAGAATGAAAAATTATGACTAACTTCATCTATTACTGACCTCTTTTGCGTACCTGTGTGTTGTAGTGTTTTTCTTTCCTCAGAGGTATTACTAAGAATAATAAAAAGAATCATGTCGGACATATAATTTTATTTTATTGCAATAAAAACAAACGAAAAATGAGTGATGATGAAGATGAAGTAAGTTCAATTATCTAAAAGAAATGAAACAATTAACATTTTTCCAAATCGTATTTAGCCTCGTATGGTCCATGACCAACATTATGATGAATCTATGGATGTAAGAAATCTATGAATGATATTTTTTTACTACAATATTTTATGTTTTAAAGGTTGGTGATGGAGAAGATGTAACTAGTGTGTACACACCACAAACAAGTAGTCGACGACCTGCAGGTTTGTATTAAATTTTAAATAAAACATTTATTCTAATACAAAGTAATATATTTGAAATATCAAAGGTCAAGGCTCACCACGCGGTGGTCTTAAACGTGCAAAAATTCTTTCTATTCCAGGTTTTTTTTCACTGTTAGATATTGTAAATAATGTGACACGTATTTAAATATTGTCTTGTGTAAAAAAATTAATTATTTCGAGGATAGGATCTAAATTTCTCTTAGATGGTTCTACTTCAAATTTTTTAGCACCGGATACTACTATGCCTACTGCAGGAATGAGAGTTCCTCATGGACAACTAGCTCATCATCTACAAAATGATAGCCCAGATGATAGTCCTCGAGTATGTATTCTCTATTCTAAAATAATTTTCATTATTAATTATATAATAGAGTGGTGAAAATGATGAGACACAAGGTGATTCAGAATCTGATCCAGATTCATCGCAAGCATTACATGGTGGTGGCGGTGGTCAAAAAGAATATAAAGCACCTGATCCAAATGCATACGATCCAAAAATGTATCGAGACTTACCAGTATCAGCAGAAATTAAGGATTTATTTAAATATATTGAAAAGTAATGAACGATGTCGTCTTGTTGGTTCTTTTCAAAAACGTTTAATTTAGATATCAACCACAAGATATTATACTGGAAACAAAATTAAAACCATTTATTCCAGAATTTGTTCCAGCTATTGGCGATATTGATGCTTTTCTTAAAGTAAATATAATTTGTCTTACAAAAAAACTGTAATAGAAAAGTGTGTTCCTTTTCAATAAAGGTACCTCGACCTGATGGAAAAGAAGATTTACTTGGTCTTACTGTACTTGATGAACCATCATCACGACAAAGCGATCCACATGTGCTTAGTCTTCAAATGCGTTATACATCCAAACAACCCATGGCAACAAGTGTACCAAGTGTAAGAAAAAGAAGAAGAATTATCTATTTTTATCTTCTTTTTTTTTCATTAATATAAGAATGTCAGAAGTGTTACAAATGCCGACAAAAATCCAAAAGCAATCGAAGAATGGGTTCATAATATTAGTAAATTACAAAAAAGTAAAACAGTTGATACTGTTCAATATAGAAAGTATGTTCGTCATCAAAATAAAAGATATATAAATCATGAAAATTATCTTCTAGGCCTATGCCAGATGTTGATAATTTAATGCAAGAATGGCCAACACAATTTGAAGAATTACTTAAAGAGGTTTTTTTCTGATATGTTTATATTAAATAATCTATGTTATCATTTTATTAGGTATCTGTACCACCTGCTGATATTGATACTGATTTATCGACATATACAGATATTGCATGTTGTATGTTAAAATTTATTTTTTAAGAATTCTTTAATCCTTTTTTTTCTAATGTTTGATTATAGCACTTCTGGATATTCCTGTATATGAATCTCGTATTCAATCATTGCATGCTTTATTTACGCTTTATCTTGGATTTAAAAATTCCGAAGTAAGGATAATTTTAAAAAAAAACTATCGATTAAAATTTGTTGACTTTTCTAGCATTTCAAAGCAATGATGAATGTATCAGATTTACCAATACGTCGAGATGGAAATAATCATGAAGCTGACCAAATGTTTATTGATTAATACTATTATATTATGTTTATATTGTTATTGTCGCTTTTTTCAATTGAAAAAATAAAGGTTCATTTTTCTATCATTTATGCATAAAAAAGAAAATGATGAAAAATTTGAAATAAATCTAAAGATTTTCAATCAAAGTTTCAGATTCCAGACAGATTTACTACTAATAGTAGTATTAGTATATGAACGAAATCGTAAAAAATCTATATCGATAATATAAATTCCAACTAAACCATATGATATGTCTTCGTTTTGTTACATTAGAAAGAAAAAATTCTATGACAGATTGCGATTAGACTATTTGCACTGGTAATTGCAACAGAAATAGTTGAATAGTCTTGTCAATAATGTGTTGTTAGCATGAAGTATTTCAAAGCTTCGAAGCGCGAAAAGCGTTTTTCATTCTCTATAATCAAAATAATTACAAATAGATATCACTCTCATGCTGCATAAATCAAAGATAGACTAGACATGCTATTTAGAAAAAATAGCGCGGACTTAATCAACTATATTTTCTATTCGAATCTCTCTCTTTCTCTATATTACTGATATAATTTATCTAAAAGAAATAAAAACGTTGATAAAATTTGTCTATTTAAAGATTATTAAAAATCAATCTTATATAAGTATGATAAAAATTACATGATTATATTGAGCAAGTGTCAAGTATTTTATAGAATAAACATCATTTTAATCTTAATCTAATCTTTTCAAAAGCTATTTAATTAGACATTGAATGATCAACTAGCGACCTCTCTCAAATTTAAATCATTATGAAAAAAAACTTATTGAAAAAAAAATCTTGTTTAAATCTCTTATTTCATCTTTGAATTCTCTTTTGAATTCAATTTAATTCTAATAGTAAAATATAAAAATAATTGTTTGTTCAAAAGAGTATCCATCCAATATATACCTTTTGAATATTCAATCGATCCTTGGAAACATTCTCTATGTACATGACTCTTTCTGTCTTTTTCTTTTTGCTCATATTATTTAGATAAACTTTGTTTTAATTATGGGAGAAAAATTAAAAATAAACAATGATTTATCAAATAAAGATTTTGTCTTTTATACATTTTATTCCTTCTTTTTCAGACATTCATAATGATCGATATTGTCCATTCTTTCCGTCCTTTATTATTTTGTTTTATAAATAATGTTATTATATATCAATTATAATTTATCTTTATCGATTATTTCTATTAATCATTATCGAAGTAAGAATATTTTTTTTCAAATATCATTTCTTTCTCTATCATCATCCTTATACATATTACCTCTAACCTAAAAGAAGAAGAGAAAAAGAAGAAAAAAAAAAGTTTCGAAGGCAAAAAAAAAGTAGAAGAAAAAAAAAGAAAAGGACGGCAGCCTCAATGGATGAGAGAAAGAGAACATGCATTTTCTCTTTTATGTAATATTGAACGTGTGTGTGTGTGTGTATGTGTATGTGTATGTTTGAATATTTAACAAGAGGAATCATACGATGAACAAATCGTCATTCATTCGTTTTTTTTCTTCTTATTCAGATTCTATGGCATCGATCGAATGAAGAAAAGAGAGGTGATACAATAAATTCATATTAAATTTTTTGTCTTCTTCTTCATTATTATCGAAAAACTTTTTTCGTAATGAATTCGAATCCAAATGGAACTGCTGTTAATGGTGCTACTTCACGTCCAGCCACAGCGAATCGTTTATTACGTTCAACAACGACTACACTCGGCTCAAATTATCAAATAGGTCGTATATTAGGTTCGGGTAATTTTGGTGAAATACATTTGGGAAGAAATACGGAAACACATGAACATGTGGCTATTAAATTAGAACAATCATCAACACGTACACCACAGTTAGCACATGAATATCGATTTTATTCTATGTTAGGTAAACATGATGGTGTTCCACAAGTACAATTTTATGGACAAGCTGGTCCATGTAATGCACTTGTAATGGAATTATTAGGACCATCATTAGAAGATCTATTTGATTTATGTTCAAGACGTTTTTCATTGAAAACTGTTTTAATGATTGGCTTACAATTGTTAGATAGAATTGAATTTGTTCATTCAAAAAATCTTATTTATCGAGAGTAAAAATCATGATTTATTTTAGTTTTATTTTTTATTTTTTAAAAATTTTTATTGAAATTTTTAAGTATTAAACCTGAGAATTTTTTAATTGGGCGTGGTAGTACAAATCGTCAACATATTATACACATTGTTGATTTTGGTCTAGCAAAAGAGTATCGAATAGCTGATGGATCACATATACCATATCGTGAACATAAAAGTTTAACTGGTAACAACTTTAAAATCAAGAAAATACATATATATATATATTTATATCTTTAGGTACTGCTCGATATATGTCAATTAATACACATCTTGGTATTTATTATTACAAATTATATTTAAATATTTATTTGTTGGATATTTAGGTCGAGAACAAAGTCGTCGGGATGATTTAGAAGCATTGGGCTATATGTTTATGTACTTTCTACGGGGTAGTCTACCGGTATGATAAATTTTTTTTATTGTAGACAAATTGATAACAAAAAAGAATGCTTTTAATCTTGAGAAACATGACATTACTCATTTGTTTGCTATTATTCATAAATAGTTTTATTATCATTCAGGAAAAGCATCAATCATAGTTATATGAACTTTGCAGTATTCTAATAATTTTAATAATGATTCATATGCACTTTTATTCTCATTTCGTAATAGAATAAAATTTTTGGTAACCTTGACGTTCAGTTTCAGGTTATAACTTTAGTGAAGAAGCTGTTTGAAATATTCTAAGATTCATGTAACGTTAAATATAGCTCGTATATGTTTTATCAGTATCTTTAGTCATTTGATTGGAATACTTTTTTATTGATCTTTTATCGTGTACCTGAAAACTATTGAACTCATATTCGATTCCCACCCATTGAACCCGAACGTTCTTGTTAAATTCATGCCTATTACTATCATATAAGACCTTGTATCTTCTATTGTAATAATAATTATTTTTTAAGGTTATTTAAATTAAATTTTTTCGTTAAAAATAATCTTTTATTATGAAAGAATTTTATTTTATTCTTTTAGTGGCAAGGCTTAAAAGCCGATACATTAAAAGAGCGTTATCAAAAAATTGGCGATACAAAACGGTTTACAACGAATGAAATGTTATGTGACGGTTATCCTCGTCAATTTTTAACTTATATGCGAACTGTACGTCAGATGGAATTTGCTCAAGATCCTGATGTATGTATTTATGTTTTGATTATAAACAAAAAAACAACAAGAAAATACTTTTTTTAGTATGATGGTTTACGTCGATTATTTCATAATGCACTTAGTGAAAATAATCTTATTAATGATGGAGATTTTGATTGGGTAAGACGTTTACAAGAACATCGCTTAAATCGTAGTAAAACACTAACAACAGCAGCAGCTAATACAAACACAACTGGTACAACATCAACGAATCCTCCAACCGCCTTATCCACCGGTATTACTAGTAATACAACCAAAAATACAAATACTCTGACAAATTTATCAACATCAATTACACAAACCCCAACCACACGTCACAATCAAAATGAATCTCGTAATCGTTCAACGATGCAACGAAATGCATATCAACATCATCAATTACCATTAAGTTCAACAAATCGATCAACAAATGCAACAACAGCAACATTAAATGGTGGTTCAAAAACCACTTTATCAATGGCAAGTACAAGTAAAATTCAACCAACACTTCCATCTTCTTCATCATCACGTATAGCAACTGAAAATCATCGACCTGGACCACCACCAACAAAACGTCGTGGATTAGTTCCACAACCACCACCATTACCTTGCTATTCCTATCATCATACACATCAACAACAACATTCAGCTAATGTAAATAATTCTAATAATACACATATGAATAAAGAACAACATTCATCAGTTATTGGTCCACCATCTGAACCAACATGTTGTTTTTTTAAACGTAAAGCAAAACGTGCCTTACAGATAACATCAACTACACCTCGAAGAACCTAGCGATCTTTTTCTTTCTTACTATATATATATATATATATAAATATATATTATCTCAATGTTAAATAAAACAAAAAAATTTAAAACGCAGCAGGCGTCAGATAATTGAAATTTTCTTTTTTTCTTCATTTTTTTTTCGAATATTTATTCTTTCGTTTTTGCTCCTGCTGCTCCATTCCTGCCTCGCGCTTTCATATAATCACTCTATATTCCTTTGTTGTGGTCTCTTTTTTTTTGTTCCATTTTTTGCTATTACATACTTGATTATTAGCTCAATCATTATCATACACTATATTTGACAACACTGTTTTGTCTATTTGATTCTTTTTCTTGCAATATGTTTTCTTTAATTCCTCTCATTCTTTTTCTGTATTATTTCATTTTTTTTTTCTCACACATCTTGGGATAAATAATAAACAACCATTTAATATATGGTTATATTTCAGACAAGAAAATAAGAGAACTTTTATTCATGTCATCTGATCAGAAGAAAACAACGACAACATCAAGTGATGTTACCCCAGGTTTTCAACTTAATCAAAAAAAGTTGAAAGAACTTGCCGAAAATGCAAATGCAATCAAAATTGGTGGCAAGGTCTATTGAATTTAAATAAAAAAAAAATTTAGTTTGTTTTACAAAAAAATATTTTCTTTATATTTAGGGTACAGCTCGTCGGAAGAAGAAAATTATTCATCGTCCAGCTAATGCCGATGACAAAAAACTTCAAAGTTCATTAAAAAAACTTGCTGCAAATAATATTCAAGGCATTGAAGAGGTTTGCATTCAATAAAATTTTATTTTCGAAATATTTTTTAATTTTTATTATATTTTTTAGGTTAATATGTTTAAAGATAATGGTGAAGTTATTCATTTTGCAAATCCTAAAGTGCAAGCATCACTTGGTTCAAATACATTTGCTATCAGTGGTCCATCAGATACAAAATGTATGTATATATATATATATATATGTAAAAGAATGTTTGCAAATGATTGTTTGTTTTAGCTCTACAAGAAATGTTACCAACCATTATGTCACAAATGGGTATGTCAACTGATAGTGGTTTCGGCAGTGAATTAAGTGGACGTAAATTCGGTGGACGTAGTAATCAACAACACTCAGGAAATGAACAAAGTGGTACAACAAATGAACAAGCAGCTGGTGATGCTGATGATGAAGAAGTACCAGGTATGTTAAGAACTATATATCGAGATTTATATTTTTAATATTTCGTCTTTTTTTTCTTTAAAGATCTTGTTGAAAATTTTGATGATGTATCAAATTCAAAGTGATGATATAATCACTATTATTATCAACGAGCAGCATTTCAAACGTATTACAGTTGTTTTCTGCGATTTTTTTGTTTTTTTTGCTAAAGAAGACAACAAAAATAAAAGAAAAAGAAATAAAAAACCTATGAAGTAGAGAATCCATTTTTTTGTCAAGTCAAATATGAAATCTTTAATGACAAATTTATTATTCATCGCACATATACATATACAAATGTAATATAATCATCGGTAAAGAAAAATAACAATTTTTATTTAACAGATGCTGTAATGTAATCAATAATGATTCGATAGTAAACTATTCATGTAATATCATGTATGATAATGATATTCTTTAAAATAATATAAATGTCATTTCGGCAAACGTATGTTTACTTATGAAGTAGTATAAGCGAAAAAGGTGGTTTTGTATTGAATAAGTTAAGAGGCGAAGAAGAAGGAGAAAAAAAGAAACGAGGTAAGAGAAAGAAGGTAAAGCAAAATAATGATTGAGGAGACCTGTCTATAACTGTATGTGGGTGTGTTTACTTTCAAATACGATTGATGATACTTTACTATTCATATTTATAACTTATATTTCTTTTTTTTTTCTTTTACTGATTTCTTTTATTATAAGAGCTCTTTTAGAAACACGAAGAACAAATGAAACAACACATACATATATTATAAAACACTTATACAGATCAATTTGCTATTTACAACTTGTCTGTTATATTGTGGTGGTAAGCTGTATTAATTTGTCTGAAGCACATCCATATACAATGTATATATAGATCGAAAACGAAAAGAAACGAAGGTTATCTTATATTATAGATATTATCATGCATCTTTCACATACAATATTTCTTATTTGTTTATTGTTTACATATTCAACATCGAATAATATACGAAAAAATGATTATAATCAAACAATGACCTCATCAAGATCAATTTATGATTTAGTTCAAATACGTCTTGCAGCTCGTCGATTAGCTGGTTATCATAATAGAACACATCGAAATAATCATACAGATTTTTTTAATGGACATAATAACTATTCATATCAATCGAAAAGTAATTCAATGTATTCAAAAGACAATCAACAACGTTTTTTACTCGAACGTTTAAAAGTTGTTGTTATTATTAGTAGTATAGCATTAGGATTTATGATGCTAACCGTTACTATATGTATAGTAACGAGATATTTTCAAAATAAAAATTCAATACCAAATACAACAATCGTGCAACAAAAACCATCGAATTCATTTACACAGTACAAATATTCGCAACCAAAAGATCTTACACGAAATTATTCACGAAAACCAAGAATGTCATCAACGAATGTATAGACAATTTATGAATGACTGAAAATATTTCTTCAATATAAATATTTTTGTTTTATTATAGTGAAGACTATTTTGTTTTTATTTTATTTTCTAACTATATCGTTCAATTGTTTGATTAATCCATCTTATATAACGAGATACACGTGTATAAACTCCATAAGTACCATGCCGAGCACATTCTACTCCCCATGATACAATGCCTATTAATATTGGACCTTCATTAGAATAACAAGTCAATGGACCACCTGAATCGCCATTGCATGCATCGCTACCACCATGCCAATAACCAGCACATATATGAAAATCTTTAATACGTTTTGGTCGATGTCCTCGTGCACTAGTCAAGAGAAAAAAAAATGAATCGAAAATTTATACAAAGAGAAAGATAAACAATTCATACCATTGTTCGCGTTCAACAATAGGTACTGTTAAATATTTAAGTATATGACTTTGACGTGTATCTTTAACAGTGCCAAAACCTGATACAATGCATTGTTGCATATTTTCTGAAGATAGTTTATCATGAATAGGATTAGGTAAACGAATAGGTTGAACACGACTTGTATGTTGAATACGATTTTGTAATTTTAATAAAATTAAATCATGATCATTTCGAGTTATATTACCATTATTTGGATTACCCCTAAATATTTTATTTTTGAAAATAAATAGTATGGTTTTAATTCGATATTTACCAAGGATCATATCTTGGAAATGGAAAATATGCTATAATACGTGAAACTTGCACATATTTTGGGTCAGCTCGATCCAAATAAATAGCACCCATAACTGCATAAAAATTTTGAGTTGACGTAAAACTAAATATATATATATATATATTATCTACGAGACAAAATCAGGTTTATTAATGAAAAATACTTACTATTTAAGACAATGTGCTGCACTTAATATCCATTTTTCATGAATTAAAGCTCCGCCACAAAAATGATCCCCATTATTATTGATCGATACTTGATATGGAAACTAGATAAATAAAAATATGATATAAATTCAATCATTGATCGAAAATATTTTATAATTACTTGTTCTGGTTTAGCTAGATGACCACGTATAATTCGACGAAAGCGTTTCAATATTATTTCATTGTCTATTGTATTTGCCATTGTTTCATAATTATAAATTGTATATATAAGAATTATTAATAAACTAATAATATTCGCATTATATTTCATTGTACTAGCGTTTGTGTATCTTTTTTATTGCAAACAATGATCAAATTACCTTGGCGAGATGAGATTAGACTATGTCTCTATTTTTTGTATTTGGCAAAGAATATACGAGAATAGGAACTATGTTCTATCGTTAAAATATCAAGTTTTGAAATCTTATTGATTAGTTTAATACTTTCCAAAAAAAAACAATATACCGGAAAATACAAAAGATCAATAATCAATCAATGATGATAATGTCAAAGAAATATTCCCATCAGAATTGACATAACATTTCCTATAGATTGTGATATATATATAACTAAATACAGATGATATAGTCCTATCTCGTATTATTCTCTCAACATTCATGATGATATTAAAACTTCATTTATTTTTTTTCAGATTGTACCTATATTTATTTGTAGTACAATAATATTTTGTCAATAACATAACAATTCTTTTTATTTCATTTATAAGACATCCATATTTACGAGTATAGTAAAACAGTACTATAGATCATGCTTTCTTTTTTTTTTCTTATTCTCTTTTTATAGACATTTGTTTTATACAATGAATATACATTATTGCAAAAGAACGAAAAATCTTTTTTTTTCTCTTTCTATAAAATACACGCTGCTCTCATTTTAATATTTCCGTTAAAAAAAAAAGAAAAAGAATGCGGTTACGAGAGAGAATAGAAGAACATGGTGCAATTTTACCTTTTGCTCTAAGCAAATTTAATCGAAGCAAAGAATGAAAAAAGAAATACAAGTGATCATAATTTTTACATGGTGACAAAACGATGGATACTGATACCGATCAACTACAGCTGTTGCCAGATTCATCAGTACATAGAAATGATACAACAATTACTGAAGAAACTCTATTGATTGATGATCAACCAAATGAAGATGAAGGAAAAAACACGGCATTGGATTGGAGTACAAGTATGATTAGTGAAGTACGATTGTATATTGACATGTGTGATATTTTATTATCAAGTGTTTTATTTCTTTGTTATAGATATGTCGTGAAGGCAATTTAGTTCGTTTACGTGATTTTATTGAATATAGTAAACAGACATCACATTGTGGTCGACATGCTGCTGAAATAGCTGATCGACTTGATGTAGAAACAGGTCTTTCACCACTACATCATGCTGCTCGTTATCAACAATTAGATATTTGTATTATACTTTTATCTAATATTGCATTCAAGTAAATACGAAAAAAACAATATATAATATAGTAATAATGAAAAAATTATTTCTTTATTTTAATAGATTAGGTGTTAATATAAAAGATGCATATGGTCGAACACCAATTCATTCAGCATTTCGTTCATCAAATAATTCAAATTCAAATAAATCAAATATAGAAAAACCATTTGATATTGAAAATGATTTAGGAGATAAAGTATTTTTATTATTTTATTTTACTAAATGTATATATATATCTTGTTCATATAAGATTCAAGCTACCGATATTTGGCAAGACGAATATAAAAATAAAATTCCTTCCAGTGATCATCCACTTATTTATTTATTTGCTAAAGCTAATGGAAATATTCGTGCAGGTGATAAATATCTTCTTACACCACTTCATTATGCGGTTGCTCGTAATAATCTTGCTGGTGTTAAACAATTGATAACATTACAAGCAGAGATTGAGGTAATTTTTAGATAAAGAATTCATTTTATAAAATATTTTTATCTGATTTAGGCAGAAGATCGTCAAGAGATTCGTCCATTACATTTAGCATGTAGAGAAGGTTATTTATCAATTGCTGAATATTTACTTGAACAAGGTGCAAAAATTAATGCTGAAGATGCTGATAAATGGACACCGTTACATTATGCATGTGCCAAAGGACATATAGATATAATTAAATTAATTAAATCAAAAGAAAAACTAAATTTTGAAAACTTTATTGAAATGAAAACAAATACAGGTGCATCATGTTTACATTTAGCTGTACAAAATGGAAATACTCAAACAGTTAAATATATTCTTACTGAATTTAATAGTAGTGCTTTAAAAGAATTACTTAATGAACAAGTAGAATCATTTGGAACTCCTTTACATATCGCAGGTAAATATCTAAACATAATATTACATGTATTTTGTTTTGAAATATTTTTATTAGCAAAATTCTGTGATCCATCAATGTTAGATCTTCTTTATGAAAATGGAGCTGATCCATTAATATTAAACTCACGTGATCAATCATCACTTCATATTGCTAGTGCATCAAATCGTCTATCTATTGTTCAGAAACTTATTTCTCTTACTGAAAAATCTTTATTAGAAATAAAAGATGATCAAGGTCATACAGCTCTTTCCGTAACAACTAATTTTGATATTATCAATGAATTAATTACATATGGTGCTGATATTTCAAGTCTTAATAATAATCATATGAATGTATTAATGATTGCTGTATCAAAAGGTCAATTGTTAATTGTTGAACATTTATTACTTATGATTAAAGATCAATTTAAATCAATATTTGATCAAGTAACAAAAGGAAATAATCGTTCAATATTTTTAATAGCTGTAGAAACAGGTTCGATTGATATGTGTTCATTATTATTAAATCATCCATATATTCGTTGGGATACAATCGATAAACAACGTATGAATGCATTTCATATAGCTGCTCGTAATAATCATTATAAATTAATTGAATTTCTTAGTGAACGTTTACATAAATCTGGTCGATTAATGTCAATACAAAGTCGTACTTATTCTATGACAGATACTGATTTAATAAATATTCCAAAACCATCACCTATGCTACGTTTATATATTGATGCACAAGATGAAGATGGCGAAACACCATTATATTTAGCTGCTGAACATGGTCATACATTATGCGTGGCAGTACTTATTAAACATGGTGTTGATGTTTTACTTCCAAATTATCTTGGACAATTAGTACTTCATATTGCTATTCAAAATGGTCATAGTCAATGTGTTGAATTATTAATGAATGCTTGTATGAGAAATATGACTGATTTTCAATCTGCTCTAGCAAGAAGACAATCACCATTGATAACTGCATGTCAAAATGGTTTTGCTGATATTGCTCGACTATTACTTGCTCATCCAATTGAAATATATTATGATGAAAATAAAGAAAAAGAAAATCCATTGGAAATTGCGATTAAATATCATCAAATTGAAATTCTTCATATTCTTTTAGAACATCCTCATACAGAACATTGGCTTATGGCAATAAAAGATACAAAGGAATATATCCATCAAACACCATTAAGACATATGATTCGTCATATACCAGAATGTGCAAAACATACATTCGATAAATTATTATTAAAAAAAGATGAAATTGATACTAGTGGAAATATATCTGAAAGAATTACATATAGATATAAATATATAGACGATTATTTTACGTAAGTGTCTTTTGTAAAACCCTGATCAACTAATATATATTTAAACGAGAATAATTATTGAATTTTTATTTTTGTAGTGATGATGGTAAATTATATACTCCAAATAGTCATCAACTTTATCGTAATCATCCACTTATAATCGCTCTTGATACTGAACATCATTCATTACTGCAACATCCATTAGTAAAACGACTTATATCACATAAATGGAAATTATATTGTCCATTTTTTTATATAAGTCGTATACTATCATTATTATCATTACTTCTATTAACAATCTATGTTCTTAATGTACCACTACCATATGTAAATTCATCAACAAATCTACCGTCAATATCAATGAAAGAATCTATGTTACCAGTTCGATGGATAATTATTATTTTAGCCGCAATGAATTTATTTAAAATAATTTTAGAAATTTTTCTTTTTCGTGGTTTACGTGTTCCATTTGCACAAATATTTGGTATTATATCATATCTATCATCAATTATTGCGTTTATACCATATCAACAAAGTATGGAAATGATAAAATGGCAATGGCAATTTGCAGCATTTTCCGTATTATTTCAATGGTTTAATACAGCATTCATATTACGTTCAGTTCCATTTATTGGAAAATTTATTGTTATGTTTCAATCAGTATTATTTAATTTTTTTTCATTAATATTTGTTACTCTACCATTACTTGTTGCATTTACCATTGGTGCACAAATGATTTTTTTTAATCATCAATCATTTTTTACTGTTATGATATCAATACATAAAATAACAGCAATGCTTATTGGAGAATTTGATTTTGAAACATTAGTTTTTTCTAAACCAACATTTATAGCAGCAAAATTTCTTTTTATACTATTTATTATTATAATGACAATGTCTCTGATGAATCTTTTATTAGGTTTAACTGTTAAGGATATACAAAGTTGTATGAAAAATTCTCGAGCACAAGCACGTAAGAATATATTTTTATAAATTTATCTATAACCTTTTATTTATGATTTTTTAAGATGCCTATCGAATTCGTGAACTAATTTATATTGAATCAATATTACCAAATAAATGGTTAAAATCAAAGATAATTGAAACTGAATATTTTGATAATTATGACAAAGATTTAACAACAAAAAATAATGATGACATTGATGAAGATTATAATGAATCTCAATCAAAACGACAACCTATTGCTGAACTTGGAAGATTACTTGATATTCTTGATATATTATGTAAACGAGCAAAACAAGTTTTAGAAAAAGAAATTAATTTAGAAAAAATACTTACACAATTATTAGCAGCTAGAAAAGCTCATTCATCAAAAGATTCAAGTATAGATACGATAAATACTTCTGGACAGTAATAAACAATGTTGAAAATAATTTTGATCTGAAAAATGTTTTTTGAAAAAATAAATAATTGTTCATAATAAATTCTTATTTTTCCTAATTCATCTTAAAACTCATTGATAGAATACATAACAGATGGTTGCATGACCTTCAAAACAACTGGCATATGATATCTTTATATAAAGGTATATTATTTGCACATGATTTATTCAAGTGTTTGCGATAACAGTTAAGAATCAAATAGAAGAAAGTCATGTATGAATTCATTAGTAAATTGAATTTTGATTCGATGTTCAGAACATTCAGATACTTTTAATTGAAATCGATTATTCTTATGGTTTATGTTACTTTTTTCTTCTTTGATATACATGATAGATTTCTTATTGAACTGTGAAAAAAGATATTTTTATTAATCTTTAACGAAGTGAAGAATGTGAGAAGGTTAAAATTTTGTCTAGTAAGACAGTTCTTGTCTCATCATTACAGACCTTTATCAACGGGTTCAAGCTATATTTTCAGATAAGAATCTTCTACTAGAGTATATATTAAAAAAAGAATAAGTTCAAGGATATAGATTAAGCACATATCTGATAAATATACTTGTAGATTATCATTGTTTAAAATTGATAATATTATAACTAATAGTCAATATTTATAATCTTTTTACAGTTGAATAAGAATAAGGCATCATATTACAGTATAACAAAGGATTAATATACTAAAATCTTCTTCAACATCATTATCATACGTACAAATAGGATTTATAATGTTCCTATACTATTTTGCTATTTAAATATTATCAATAGGTTACTCTCAAAAGAATATTGAACTTTACAGTTGAGAAATTTTTCGATAAAAGAAGTGTATATGTATATAAACATATTACATTCTACTCTGTTGAATATTGAAGTCATCTGTCAATCGATTTCTTTTTTACTCTTCTTAATTTAATGTTAATCTTAACAAGCCAATATATGATTCGAAATAAAAACAATAGCGATTAATAATACATCGATAGACAACGCTCAACAGATAATGATAATAAAATAATTTCTATCATTATAGATCAATCAAGTAATGGTGAGACATAACACAGACATAGAATAGGATAAGAAGAAAAAAAATATTATCTGACACGATCTATATTGTAATTCAAATAAATATGTAGATATTTTTCAATAACACATTAATTAATCAATGTCTAATGCTTATCATTTACCTTCTTTTTTTTTACATCAAATGTAAATTTAAGATTCGTTATTAATGAAATTCCTTGGTTTATGTAATTGAGTTTGTGAATAAGAAGGTAAGAGAGAGAGCGAGAGATTGGGAGGGAAAAAAAGAGGGAGAGAGGAAAAGAGAGACTGAAATGAGTTGAAAAGATTTTGTGGTTTTTACTTATGTTATGATACGCCCGACAACTACCTCAGCATAAATCAACAAACACTGTTGCTCATTGTTTGTATATATATTAATCGATAGTATGCTATTTAAAGCTTTTACTCAACATTAAAGGTTAAATGCAGCAGAGACGATTGTCTCTTAAGCAAATACCATTTTGTTAAAAGTATTACAATAACTTTGATTTATACAATGCATGTAAGTCTTCTATGCTAATATTAAACTAACACTGTCTTTTAAATCACTAATTAGAAAAATAAAATAATTGAATATTTCTTTTATTTAAAGTTGAAATATTATAGATGAATTAATTTAATTTGTTATTTTTTATAGAGAAGTTTCGTCCGCGGTAGTATAGTGGTGAGTATCCCCGCCTGTCACGCGGGAAACCGGGGTTCGATTCCCCGCCGCGGAGTATTCCTTTTTTTTCTTTTTTTTTGCTTATATTACAAATGTTACATAGAGAAGAGCGAGAGAAAAGTCGTTTTGTCTTATATTCTGATGATTGATCAGTTTATAATCATACGCTGAAAGATAGATGGCTTCGCCTTTTCTATGTATCAACAGCATGGAAAAAGACATATCAATAAAAGTAAATATTATTTTTATTCATGTTTGTAAGTTTGTCTTCTCATCTCTTTAATTAAGTTCTGATAAGCAATAGACCAGAAAGATGCCGTCTACCACATACATATATATACCAAGAATGTATTCTTTGTTCATAGAATAAACAAGTTGTTGTATTATTGTTAATATGAGATATTAATGACGAAAGATTTGAACATAGAAAAAATTTCGAATACGAAGAAAAAGTTATTTATTATTTTTGTTGATCATATCCAATAAGTGCACAGTTAATAAGAGAAACAGAACGAATTCGATCAAAGACTTGAAGGTAACTGAAAATTAACATAGTCATTCAGTTTATTGACGATTGATGGCATTGATGAAGGTAGTAATTTGAAAAATATAAACGCTTCATTAATATAGTTTTATCATATATACTAGAAACAAATCTGAGATTACAATACATATAAGAAATATTATTATTTTAATGTGTGTGTTATTGATGTGATAAGTAATAACTAACTCAGGTATAGTAAAAGTAAAAAAAAAACGAATATTATTGAATAGATTTAAAGTATCTGAGATATTTTAATGAAAGAAAAGAGAAGAGAAGAATAATTATATAGAATAAATATATTAATTGAATGTTATTCATGTTTATATATGATCAATTGAAGGACACATAAATAGTTTAAACTTGAAGAAAACTACCAAAAATCTGAGGATCAATCTTTAAGAATACAACAACATAATTAAATAGTAAATTTTAAAAAACAGAATATGTCTTTCGAAATGATGCTTCTAACATAAATATAGAATGATGTCATAGACGAATTCCAGATGTAACAATATGGACAAACATTTGTAATGATTATGTTTAGATATATAAATAATCGAGAATCATTGAGTTGTTACAAGGACAGGAATAAGATTACCAATAAACTTCTAATTGCATAATGACCTTTGTATGAATTGCTTCGAGCTCAAGGTAATCGTTTAGAATAAGATATCATCTATGAAACATAGTTGAAAAATAAAAAGATACTGTGTTTATTTGATGACTTAGATTTGTATCTGTTATTTATGTATATGTCAAAATTATATCTTAAAAATTACGAATTATATATAAAATAAAGATTTATGAGAAATATATCTTCTTCAATGACGTATATTTGTTATTTTACATTTGTCTTTTGTTTTGATAAGATACTATGAATCATATTTATCAAACTAAGGTATTTATATGATTGTTTTTCTGATCAATCATTAGAAATAAGATACATCTAGAACAATATTGCTCAACTTACATATAACTTGATTACTACTCATTAGTAATGAATCTCACACATACATTTAGAAGAGAAAAAAAAAACTATGAGAATAATATGAAACTCGTTTTCATTGACTGATGATATATAATTTAAATTTCTATACTCTATTTTTCACAAATTCGTTTCTCTTATTCTACCCACTATTTAACTAAACCTACAATTGAAACTGTAGGGATATAGTAAATGTTTGATAATTATTGTTCATGAATATGTTTAAAGGTTATATAAGAATTTGACAAAAAAGAAAGAAATTCATAGTTTCTTTTGAGTTGATATTGTAAGAATACAACATAAGATTATGCTTAACAAGAAATATATCAATAAAAAAGAAAACGAAAAAAGTGTGTAGTATCATAGCATCGTTTTAGACATTCATTGAATTTTATTGAAAAAAGAAGGTTAGACACATTTATATACATGTACAAAATATTTATATTCATTAATACATTGATTATATATTTATGTGTATATAGATATAGTTTGATGACATTCTTTTTTCTTCTTCTTGTATATCAGTAACTATTTTCTTATTGATGAAGAATATATTCAATATTATTTTATATTATAATTTAATAACCGAATAGTATCTTATTATATATACTTCTCGATAGGAAAAAAAAATGACAAGGACTTTTTTGACTTTATCAATACGATTTATAGGCTTTTTTTTATGTCAGAAATATTCATATAACACAATCCTACATAATAAATTCAATAACATTCAAAGTGTAATCTCTGTGTTATTTAAATTTTATTTTTTATTCTATTCGTACAAAATTTATTTTGCCTTTTATTCTAATATATATTCGTAATGTGCAATATAACAAACTTCAAACGTGACGAAGGACATATTCTTTTATACAGGTAATGACTGTATGGTGTAGGTTGATTAGAGCTACCAAATTATACGCATAGTTATTCAATACATGATGCATACTCGTTATTTATTTGTTTTTTTTTCTTTCTTCTATCAACCATTTCGATACACTGACACCCTAGGTTGGACCTTCGGTTTCTCTTTTTTTTTAACGTGTCTATATGTGTATGCCTGGCTAGACATCAACTGCCTTCTTTTCTTCGCTTTTTTTTGCTTGCTTGAATTCTTTATTTGCCTGTGTATATCTTCTAGGCCAATCGACAACCGTATAATACAGAATACTTTTCTCCGAAAACGATGGGTGTAGATCATCAGTATTATCCAAGGAAACACCCACATTCGTCTCCGACTCGTCTTCTTCGTGTAACAATTCCTTCATCATCAAATTTTCTATATGATAAAAGCGATTTTATATGGAATAATCCAACAGAACTTAATTTACTCGATGTTAAAAAAGCACCATTAACAACACCAGTTGATGAAAATACTTTTGTAAAACTTTTACCATGTATACGTCGTCTATATACCGTTTTTAATGCATTATGTCCAAATATTTATCGTATACATAGTTCGGATTCGTCAAGAGTTTTATATGAAATAATTTGTTTAATCGAACAATATCTTCATATACATCCATTACCAACAATATCAATAAATGAACTAATTCATAATGAAGACTATTTTCATAAATTTATACATAAACTAACATTATCACCATCCTATCAACCATATCTTGATACATTTTTATTATCAACAAAAACTGAAATACGCTGTTTTGGTCAAGGTATACACGCATGTGACTATAATAATCAACTTAATCAAACAACATTATTTTGTTTTGAATTAAAAACATCACTAAAAAACCTTTTATTATTACCAATTGATATACGTATATTAGATTCCGAAAAAAATATTGTACCGAATGATACTAAACATATAAATACATACAATCATGGATATACAAAATTATTTTCCTGTAGTTATAAACCTGTAACACAAGCAGGAACTTATACAATATCTTTTTTTTACAATCATATTGAAGTAACAAATAATCCATTTACTGTTTTTATAAGAAATCCATGTCAACAGAATGAAGAATTATTATCAGTAGACGTGAAAAAGATGAATGGGCAAGGTAAAAATAATTATTTCTTCTCAAGGATTTTATATATTTTTATCTGATAAACATCGTTGATAGAAATCATTTAGTTCGAATATATATTTTTTTTATCATTTCAAAGTTGGTAATACATATATAGTATTAACACATAGGGGTTTGCTTTTTGTTATTCTCTGTTGGAATAATAATGATTCATTCTATCAATCAAAATAGACTATTTGATTTAACTACTGTAACATTTTCGAATTAACATTTTGGGTTCTATGTATAGAAAAAAAAAAAATATAATAGGAAGAGAGAGAAAAATATATTCGATGTATAGAAAAATCAGCTGCAAGAAGATCTATTCAAATCACGCAGAGAGGAGGAAGCGAAAAACATCATATAAAAGTGTATTACTAATAAAATTTGATTCTAAATCAATATTAGAATCATGACAAATTCACCATATCGTTCACAAATGCTTTCATGGATACGTCGTCCGAGTAAGAGATTTAATCATTTCTGATTTTCGTTTATTTTCTCTTTTTGTTGAAAACAAAAACAATAACTTCTTTTTGTTTTTAATTTAGAAATTCCTTCATATGAATTAGAAGGTGATGGTTGTTCAACAAAAGTTATTGTAAATTCAATAGCACGTTTTCGTCTACGAATACTTTCACCAGTGAATTCTTCACAGAAATCAACAGTTGATTCATTTTCTCTTTCAATTATTGATCCATATGGTCATAGTATTGTTGTTCAACGTCGTATTCTTTCTCCTGATTTACTTGAATTAACATATCAACCAATGTCAACAGGTGAACATCAATTATCAATATTATTTAATAATAAACTTCAACGTCAACTAACAATTGATGTTAAAAATGATGAAACAAATTATTTATCAAAATTAAAACCATTTGGACCTGGTCTTAAACGTGCAATTGTTGGTTTACCAACTGAATTTTATGTTGATCTTAATCAACAAATAACAACAAATGCGATAAATAATCAAAATCATATACAATTTTCTTTACAACCATCATATCATGCCGAAATTGATTATGAACAACAAATGGCAACATTACGTTATACACCACTTAAAGAAGGTGATTGTCCTATACATATACTTGAATATAATAAAGATACATCACATTCACCATATATTGCTCATGTTAAACAAGAAAATCTTTCACAAGAAAAACCTCGTATACATGTTACTGGATTAACACAACAAATAAGTATTCATCGTCCTGTTGAATTTCGAGTAAGATTTTCATAGTTAATAAATTATATTTATTTTTTGAATCAAAAAAAAGGTTTTTGTTGATAATCCATTTGATGATCCAACACATTGTCTTCATATTGAAATATTAACACCCGATGAAAATTCACCATCTGTATCGATTCGTCGTCAACATGATTCATCCTATATATGTTCATTTATTCCAGTATCATTAGGAAGACATTTAATATCCGTTGATTATGCTGGAATTGTTGCTGAAAATAATCCATTTTATTGTCATTCTATACAAGAAAAAGATATACAATTAACTGGTCCAGCTGTAAATAATCAATGTTTAACATTGAATACACCAACACATTTTTATTTTAAATTAAAAGATTTTCTAAGGAAAAAATCTCCGGAAACAAATTTAACATATGAAAGTGGATATAGTTCATATGATGATACTTCATTAAATTCATCATTAGCAGATGGTAATGTTGAACTTAATAATAATGAAGATAATGATTATCGAATAACAATAACAGATATACATGGAAATTTAAAACCAAATGTTTCAATTAATGAAAATATAAATAATAATATACGAGTAGATTTTACGCCAAATGAACAAATTATGTTTATTAATATTTCTTGTACTTGGTAGTATTTTGTTTAGTTTAGAAAGAATTTTTTAATAAATTAAACAGTTAAAATATTATTGAATGTATTCTTATTAAAAAACATAATAAGAATAAGTAAGTATTTTCAATTCATCATTTATTAGGTTCGTAGTAACAAAATCAAATCTTATGACATCATCATCTGATATTTGCTAATATTGATGATGGGATCTATGTAAATTCAAAATACAATGAATTGAAGCAATGTTTAAAGCCCTTTATACACAATTAACATAGTAAAAAAGATTTAGATAATCCTTGACAGTTCATGTCTCTCTACCATTCATTTTGTTTCATACGACATTATCTATCTCTTATTGTTAGATGAATTCATTGTAATATACTGAATAGAATGCAATTTTGGCGATTGCTCTATCAGACAATATTTCTTCCATCGTTAGTGTAGTAGACACTGAGATCAATCACATCAGTGCATATGATGATAATTAGTTTCATCAATATGATTTTGGATGCATTCAAGAAACTTCAAAGAATAGAGACACAAATCTTTTTGAATATTATGTATGTCTATGTCGACTAATCTGCTGTATCATTTACGTATTGTGTTTAGTATATATATTTTCAATATGATTTTTGCATAAAGTCAAACAACTATTTCATATATATTTATTGACTTTTCTATTGATAATGGATTTGATGACCCAAAATATTTATACGAAATTGACATTCTCATCTTTCTGATCTTTAACATTCTATTTAATACTTTGAAGAGACCTTTACATTAGATTGAATTACAATATTTGTTTTTCTATTTTTTCCTTAATCGATAAAGTTATCAGTGAAAAAAATGGAAGAGATAATAGTTGTTTATTAATAAATTCCTAGTAGATAGTCTAACACATAGACCTGTAAGCCGTCGGCTTTCGCAAAAACGTTAACTGCCAACCGTCGGCTTCAGCAAAAATCGGCTGACGGCTTAAAACTCTACTCATATTTAAAAAGAAAATATCTCATTATAAAATTTTCAAAAAGAAATCATTCTCTTCTCATTTGATTGAATATAAACGAGAAACATTCTCATATCGTCTAGTATCATTCACTAATTAATCAAAGAAAAAGAGAACATAATGTTGTTCTTTTCTGTCTAAGACTATTAAGCTCACATTAGAAACAATTACATCAATTAACATTTTTGATCACATCGAATAAATTATTATTGGCTTCTATTATTGATTGCAAGCAATTCTCTACGATTATAATTAATAATTATAACTTCATCCCTATTTAACTACCAGTATATCATCATATTTATTTCAAGTTACTTATTCAATACTTAAAATAATTTCTCTATCAACAATATTTATTATACATACACACATATATCTACAATGAAGTAAATATTAATATGATTTAATAATACAAATAAATTTAACATATATTTTCTTTTAGTTCTCATACATTTGAACCACAATGTACATCAACACCAAAAAAAGTCGATGCAACATCTACTATTATTCCAAATTTATGTTCTACACCTCGACCTGCTCACATTCGTTATTCATTATCAAAATGTACACCATTACCAATTGATTCTTCAACTCCAAATACGAAAAAAATTAAAAAATCATTTACACCAAATATTCATCGTCTAGTTTATCCATCAAACATTACAACAAGATACACAAATGAGATTTGGATTTGATAAACGCTTTTTTTTTCTTTGTATACTTTGTTTTTATTTAACTGTTTTTATTAAATTAAATAAACTATTTATTCTCTAAGTAAATGTTTCATTGAGTGATAGAATATTATAATTTGATTATTTAAGTTTATATATAAAATAAGACTTAATACATTAGAAATATTTTCGATTGAAGGGAAGTCATATTTGTTTGATATAATGATGTATTATATACACGTAGCTACTATTGACTCATGGTGTTTTTGAGTTTTTTGGAGGTAATATTGTTGTTTACCTTTACTAATCATAGTTAACATGCTGAATAAAAAAGACGCGTCCGATCGAGGTTTGTTAGTCAATAAAGGAGCCTTATATTATTTTTACACAATGATTAGTACAGATAATAACATAAATAAGAACTAGTCATGAAAGAATACATAAATAAAGTAATTATTGATGAGGCTGTTATTTAGTATAGAGAATATCGTACGAAAAGTATTACATTTTCATTAATTACATTTTTATATTGATGTTTACAAATTTTGACAACATTAAACATTCTGTTTACTAACCTACATCGATGTTTATCAATGGAAAATATATTTATTTAAACTAAATCTACTTTAACAAAAAACGAAATATAAATAACATTTAATATCATATATAAATGGTTTATAATTCTATTTTTATTAAATATCAAGATATTTTATACAGTGAATAGAAATTCATAAAAATGGCTGTTTTCGATAATGAAACAAGCCTGCGAATGTACTTTTAACGTAATCGTCGTAGACGAGATCGTGAGTTTTTTATAGTTTTATTGGAATAATCCAGCATATGTAATTGATTTATTAAATTTTTTATATGTTGTCTTTGAATATTCACACGATTGATTTCTTGTTGTACTAAATATTCTTCACATTTAATCTGTTCGATTTCTAGCAATTTATCCGCTCTTTGACGATATTCTTCAGGTGTTAATTTACGTTTATGTCTGTTAATATTTGTTGATAGTGAAACGAACTTTTTTTCGCCAGTTGGAGAAGTTTCAGATTGACACATTTGAACAGATTCATCATTGATAATTATTGTTGAATCAGTTGAAGATGTCGAAGTACCAGCCATGATATATTCTGTATTTTATGATGTCGGGGTGTAATGACACACAAATCGAATAAATACTGTGTTTATATAGACGTTTGTGTACAGTGAAGAGAAAAAGGTAAAGTAAAAGAAAAAAATTTAATGAGAACGTTAAAAAAATGTGACCATATGTGCGTTCGTGTGTATCGATAATCATACATGACGATAATTTAACATGATGATATGCGTACCAGCTGTATGTTTTAAGATACACTGCTAATTCTTAGTGATACATAGCTTGGTAAAAAAATTTAATAAAGGTAGAAAAATGTGTGTTCGATGATAGCATACTCGTCATTACCGTAATACGAAAATGATTAGTTATAGGCGTTGACAAAAAATATATAAGGTTAATATTTGGTAAGTCTATATTTCAAAACTAATAACTTCTATATTATATTGACAGTGTTTATACAAGAAATGTGTCATCAATAGTCTATTATATTAGGTACAAGAATATTCTCATGCTTGACAAAGTCAGTTATTTTATTTTTATTTTTATATATTCATAAATTTGTTTTATTAGAAGAAAAGTGAAACAAAAATTTTTTTTTGAAAATATTCCAATTGATCAAAATATAAAAAATTATAATGTCGTTATCAATTCACTAAATTCAAACAACGAATGAATGAAATTTTAGTTATTAAAAAATATTATTCATATATAGTTACACTGGTAAAAAAAAATAACAAATGAAATATCATTGGATAGTTAAATAGGTAATAAAAATTATTTATCATTATTATTTGCTTTCTATTCAGATATCAACCAAGTGAATGTACTATTAATGATTTGAGAAAAAAAAATTGTTGTTTTTAAAATAGAATATCACAAGTATCTTGATTTTACATGTGAATATAACTTATCATAAATAATGACTCATAAAATTATTAGTTTTATGTTTCAAAGAGAGGTTTTCATACAATAATTTATCAATTTATTCAAATGTTGTCTTTTCTACGTTTATTAATTAATCACAAGTATATTAAGTTAACCTTTGGTGTCCAAACGAAAAGTCGAACTGGCTTCACCTTTTAAGTTAAATGCAATAATTAAATTGCTTTGTATATTTTTTTCACCTTTAATGAATCATCGAAAAACATCAGTAATTTTTTATTTTTTTTTAAACTTAGATTACACTACAATATTTCGAATACAACTGTATTCTTCGATAATTTTTCAATACAATAAAATCAAATGAATAAGCACTTATTATTTATATTATTGGCGGAGTAATTCAAAAGAATGAGATAATGATATGGTAACACGAGATTTATAGAATTCTTTGACATGAAATGAGTATTTTTCATATATGAAAAGTAGTTAATTGAATATTAATTACTTTTTTTCTCAGATGAGTTTCTATTTAGTTGATGTATTCATTAGAGGATAAATTGTAATGTTACTATATGAAATGATAATAATTTTGTGTGAAAACCTTTTCATATAATTGAATAATTTCGTAATATAAAATTAATGAACTATTGCAGTCAATTAAAGTTTCTATATATGATTTTTTTAAAGTAGAATAGACAGATATCAGATATTATTTTAAAGTATAACAGGATATAAACAAAAGTAATGTAAATCATATGATAATGTAATAAATTATATATAATCTATTTTCTTCAATGGTATTTTTTCTACTTAAATAATCATTGTATTAATATGCATCTGCTGATAGAGTACAACTCAAACCCTGGATAACGTAATCTTTACAATATTTTTTCTTATTACATAAGTATTTTGTAAAGTTAAAAGTTAAATTAATTGTTTGGTCCATATATATTTATTTTCACATACTAGTTTACAATTAATTAATCGAAATAAAAGTAATAAATAACAAAAATAATACTAAATAATATCAAAGTTCTATAATTCATAGAGCTATAATAATGACAAAAATGTTTTTTCATTATGTGTCATAGTTAATATAATTTTTTATCCCGCTTAATTTTTAACAAAAAAAAATTTTGATGATTAAATTAAATAATATAATTTTTTTAATAAATCTGACTTTTATATTTTGTATAAAGACTGATATAAATTTTAATTTATATAATGTACCATCATTATTACGTTGTGAAAAAAATGGACCGCTGTATTATTTTAATAGATTTCCAAGTGATGAAGAATTTGATAAGATTTTAAAGACAAGAAATATTCCATGTGATTTATCATTAACACGAACTTATCATCGTGCTATTATTTCAATAGATAAATTAGATTTATTATGTGAACATTTTAATAAAACACAACATGCCAATGAATTTCTTTTTTTTTCAACAAAATGTTCTGTTGATTTATGTAAAAGATTTCTACCATCATCAACAATAATTATTACTGAATTTGAGAAAGGAAATGTAAATATAGAACGAATAGATGTAGTTATTCAGATTAATTATTCGACTCAACTAATTATTGGTCAATTAACCAGTATGAAAAATTTAGTAAGAAGATAAATATTTGTATATATAAATTTTTTATTTTGTTTTTATGAAGAAAATAAGTAGGTCGTTAAGAAATGGGCAAGTACGTACGAATCAAATTGTATTTCAATATGCCAAAAATATTTACTTAAACATGATGTGTGAGTATGTATTGCGTCGAACCTTTTTAAATATGTATTTATTCATATTTTTTTGTTGATATTCGTATATGATTAACCTGGAGTCGAATAATGGGGTTTGTCAACAATATTTTTCGAATCAATCAAGTATAAAAAACATCTGGTCCTGGATTTGCTGTATGTTTTAAAATGGTAACATTATATTATAAAAATTATTTTCAGATTATTATCCATCTGAAACTGAAGATCCATTAGATCATAATATGATTTATCGAGCTGTAAGAATTATATATCAATCATTATTTTTTATAATACTTTTTATATAGGTTCAAGAATTTCAACAAGCAAATCCAACAGCAGATCGTATCTTGTATGTTATTGTATTATTTTGCAAGAATAAATCTTTTTGAGATGGCAATCATTATAGATTAAGAAAATTTGATCTGAATCTAGATAATTCTTCGTTATCATTAAATCAAACTAATATTGATCCATCCAAAACTTCTACATCTATATTATTGATTTTCATTTGTTCAATAAGTATTTGTGGAATTTATTATTGTTGTAAAAATAAATCGACTAATCAATTAACAAACAATACTAATCGATCATCTAAAGAATCTCAAGATTCACAAGAAACATTAGAAGACATCTACATTGACTGATTTGACGTTATTCTTCTTGCATCAAAAGAAATCGGTCTTGCATATATTTGTTTTTTTTCTCTCTTTCCGATTCTTTTTCGTAATTTGCTGAGAAAAGAAAAAAAAATGGAAGGTATATTTGCCGTCATTCTTTTTCCTTATTCTTTCTCTTTTACGCGCCATTCTAGAACAATCGCGAAAAATCGATACTTCAATTCTTTTTCTCACAACTATATATATACATCAGCTCACTAATATAAAAAATTTATTTTAACATGATGAATATGTTTTCTACATTCAACAACGATCCATTTTTTGCGGGTGCTGATCCATTTCAAGGTTTTGCAATAGATCATCATCAATCAAATCATGGCAATCGTGATCGACAACTAGTACAAAATCAACGAAATAATAATCAAGAATTAGATTTATTTAATAATCCATTTTCATTTATGCAAAATATTATGAATAATATGGAACAATCAATGGGAACAATAATGAGTAGTAGCAATTTTGGTGAACCAAATGGTCATGGTGTTTCATTTAGTTCATCAACGGTTATGAGTATGGATAATCGAAATGGTGGACAACCAAGAATTATTCAAGCAACAAGAGAACAATTACGTGGACCAGAAGGTAAATTATAAATTTATTTTGATAGTTTAGTTTTATTTTTGTATTTAGGTCTTGAAAGAACACGTAGAGCTGTTCGTGATACAGGTCGAAATTTAGAAAAAATGGAAATAGCTCATCGACTTGGTGAACGTGGACATCGAATTATAAAAGAACGTGATCCATCAACGGGAAAAATACTTGAAAATCGTGAATTTGATCATATTGATGATGAAAATCAATTTGAAAACGAATGGGTTAGCCGAGCTGAAAAATTAGGAGTGAAAAATCTTGGCACAACTGGTTTTAATGCAAGTACAAATAATATATTGCCAAAGCCATCAATATTTCAACGACTTCGATCAAAATCTCAAGGACCACAACAGTTAGCTATTGAACCAGCATCATCAGATAATACAAAATCGACTCGCAAAGAACGTCGAAAAAAATAAACGATTTTATTTATTAAATTAATTTGTATATAAATTTATTTTCTGAAGTTTTTTTTTCTTTTATTTGAAATAAAAAATAAAGAGATCAAAAATCATTTGTACTTTTGTATCACATTTTGAACAATAGCATAAAATGAAGCAATATAAAGGAAAAAGTATGAATCCAGTAGTTTCTATAATTAACTTCATGCACAGATATATATAGATAATTATTAGTAAAATTTCCGGTTGTTTTGCTAGTATTAATATTCTGTTTCAATAATTTACAGTATAATGAACATTCTAGGCTTTATTTCGCACGCTCTTAATGTTATCTTCTATGCATTTGATTCTTATTTGAATTGGTCAACTGTATGATTGTTTTTTTTTTAAATAAAGATTGATATACGCCTACTTTGATTTGTATTTTACGCAGTTTCTTTATTCTAACATCGATATATTGATCCGATTTAGTAATAAAAGTAGTAAGATGATATAAAGTATACGTTATATTGTTTTGTAGTTCAATCAATAATTGAACGGAAACGCTACGGAATAAATCGGTTGAAGTAGAATTGACGTCATCTTCAATCGAAATTAAATATGTACGTTAAGATTCACAGTACATCAGTTTTAGTATTATACTTTCATGTTATAAAAGATATGTATGTTGATCCGTATTACTCAACTGAAGCAATTCTAAGCACGACAAACTATTTCTTTTATATATTAAAATCCTCTCAAAATAGTTTCAACATTAAATTTCCAGTTGTTTTCACAATTTCCTATTACGATATAGGAACATGACCTGTTAACGGAGAAAATATTCTTCATTGATATAAATAGATCATAGTCGTTTTCTTATCATAACCATAACTGCATACTATTTCAACTATGTCAACATCAATGACGAATCATATACAATTAGAAAAAATATGCGTTTCATTACATAATAATGTCAATGAACACATACCTTTGTATTCATTCGAATTATTAGTGAAACGATATCACATTACATTGATATCAATATTGTTTCTTCGTATCATAATAGTTTGTTAAATATTCATGACGATGTTGCATGGAAAGATCATTGTCACCATAGGTAGTCTCTTGTCACCATTAGTACATTTATTTTGTTATTTAATCAAACACATCACATAACAAGTACTCATTATAGACATTGCTTTCGTTAAAATTAAATGACGTTAGTTCGAACTTACGTAGACAATAACAAGATATGCATCATTTCTAATATGAATTACGTCACAACATTTACCGAGAGTATTATTCAGACGTACTGTTTAATTTGTGTGACAAAATCTAATTAAAATAGATATATATATTCATCTGTCATATTGTCATCATTGATAAATCTAGTTGAATCAATTAATTAATTTAAAACATAAAAAATATCTTTTCAATATTGACAAAATCATGTTTAGACAATTGTATATAGAAAACTCAGATCCAGCAAAATATCTTACTGATAAATAAAAAATTATTATAATACTACATATTGTCAAAGTAACGGCAAGTTCTACATAGATTATTCAATAGAAACAATATACATAGACAGAAGTATTAATGAACGATTATAATCATAAAATACAATATTTAGGGTTTTCAAAAAATATATATAATAAACCGTTATAATTCTATTAAGAAAATCTAATATCATTGGTGAACAAAAGTGATGGACTGAAAAAAAATTTGAGATATTTTTTATGAAGGAATGGATTCAAAATTATTTTGAAACATTTTTTAATATCTAGTTTCGTTGTTCGAAGAGCAGATCAATTCATTGTTTTTTTCAATAGATCACTTTGATGGCTTGTTTTAAAAGGTCATAAACATAACTTGTTTGCTCTATTGTTTCACATGATCGATTTTTTGTCTATACAATCATCATGAAAAGATGATTGCTATGGTTGACTGATCGAAATAAAGAGATATAATAAATCGGTATATAAACAAATAAAGAAAGATTAATATAGTATGCAGCCATAAATACTAAAAAGTCGTATTTATCGAATGAAACATGCCAGCGCATAGTTACATATAATTATAAAAACTGAACAACAAATAATCATTTCAAAATCAGCAACTTCCACATTCAGAGAGTGGTAATAAGTTTTTTTTAAGTTGAAATAAAACAAAACAATTATTTTATTTTCTAGATTGACACGTAGACAAATGCTTTTCAATCGAATATTTTAGTATAATATTTATGTCATTTTCTACATATCATGAATAAAAATTTTTATAATCCAACCCAATAACTATATAGAAGACGCATACCAAATTCAAGTTTGTTCAATATTTCAAACATGTCAAAAATTTTAAAATCCATCTATCGCTTCATTCAAACAAACGTTAACAGTGACCAAATTAAACATACGGTATATCATCCTTGACTTTCCTTTTACTTAAACACAATATATTGAGACATGGCCATTTTATTCAAATAATCATACTTTTATTGATATGTATTCCATTAGTTGTAATTCTAAGTTTATTTACCACTTATATTCAAATATCAATATTATTTCAGTCGTTACTTATAAATAATTAATATAAATGCATATGATTATCATTGTTGGCTGAGAAACCACAGCGAAGATCGATTTAGAGACATTTTCTTTTGATTCATTTTTACGTCAAAGAAAAATTTATTGTTGTGAATATGAAAATAAATTATGTCAAAAAGAGAATTGTCAAGAAGCATTAAATCCCATTTTGAAATTATCCCACAAAAATAAAGTGCGAAGCGGATTTCAAAAATATGACTCATTTGAAGTTCTCATGTTTTCTTTTTTGCTGATTTGTCATTCGCAACGGATTTTTCGTTACCCATATCTTTTGTTTCAATAAAGCTTTAATATTTACGCATGATCAATTTGTATTGTTCATATAAGTTCAGAATACATTAAACTACGTCTTCTATTTATTAGAGTTTAAATTATCATTGCACCATATGTAAATAATTAAGTAAAAGTTGTATGACTAAATATATCATTTGACAATTATCACGGCAAAATAAAAGGGTTAAAGAATTAAATATAAGGTTATATGAAAACAGGAAAAATCAAAATCATTCTTGTCAATATCTAAAAAAAATTTATGCTGAACGAACAGGTTCAACTTTTGATTTGACGGTAGTCGATGGAACTTGATATTGTTTCATTGGTTGTGGTGTTCCATATCTTTTTTAAAATTTCAAATAAAAAAGATATGAAGAATAAAAGATAAATTTTTACTTGTAATTAAGAAATCTTGCTAATTGCATTAATTGTGCACATTCATTAGCAAAATGGCAAGCAAATAAAAGTCGATTTTTTGGTTTAACTTGAAGAGCAAAACGCATAAATAACATTGAGTAAAGACATAAAGCTTAAAATAACAAAAAAGAATGTTTGTCAAAAAAAGAAAAAATAACAAAGTAATTTATTATTTACCAACAGTCATTTTTGGACTAATAATTTCCGGATCTTTCTTTAAATCAGCTAAAGCTGCTAATGGCAAACCCCAATTGGCAACTATAAATAAAACATATCCTTTTAATTATGTATCAATAACCAATTCATATTTACTTGGTCCCCAGAAATGCTAATCAGATTGACAGAAAAAAAATCATGAAAATAAACCTATTCATATATATGTTTTATCTTACCGTGCTAGAAATTAAAAAAAAAATATTGAAAATATTGTCTATTAACAGATTTATATTATTTACCTCATTAAATAATCACGCATTTCCTTGCTTTTCAATTGAGTTAAACCACGACTTATTAATGATGCCATTATTGGAACAAATGTTTTCCTAAAACAGGTCAGAACAAGCTTGATTGAATAATAAGAAAACTAGCGTTTCGATTTGCTAATCTTCAAAACCAGACAGTGGATATCCATGATTAATATAGCGACATCTGCCTATTAATTATCAATAAAATAATAAGAATCAAAAATGAAAATAAAACTTTTTGATTTAAAATTTATCACGTAATTAATTAATAAATTAACTTTTAAATTAAACAACTTTACCAAACAATATTTCTGAATCACTTATTTTCCAATTTCCCTTAATATATTCTTTTGTTGCTTAGTCATATAAGTTCTCTTGTCTATAGTTTTTTTGAACCTATCATTATTCGAATAATTCTTATTTTTTGATTACCTTTTGCAATATATTTTCAGTTCTGAGAGTACTCTTCTTGTAAAAAACAAAGATCTTTATATATATATTAATGTCTTGATTTATGTTTTGTATTGAGACAAAAATATTATATTTATATAAAAAATAAAGAAATACGAGAATAAGTTAATGAATTGCATGCTACTCCTTGCAAGATCCCTTGTGTATTCAACATATGAAGTTTTCATTCGTTCGTGCATGTGTAAAAGATTGAGTAGAACTCTCATCAAAATAAAACGGAGAGAGAGGGAGAGAGAGAAGGTCAACATTCACTTCGTTGTATAGTTATACTAGTTCAAGATCACTTGCTTTTCTCGTAACGTTGAACAATATATGCATATATTCGATGTATACCTTACATACCAAACATGAGAGAGACTGTTCGTTTTCTTCTGTCTTTCTCTTTTTCTCCCACAATAGCAATAGTGATGAACTTCAAGCACTTATTCGTTCGCATACTTCAACTCATTCTCTCCTTTCGTATGTACGTATCTAAGCTTGAACATAACATTGTTGTCGAGGCGGCGGCGGCTACGACATAGTTGTTGATAATGCATTGATTGACCTGAGCCGTTTGAACAGAAGAAGACGGACAAAAACAACAATAACACTACCATACAGGTATAGCTTCTTTCGATTTACTGATCAAGATTATTTCTCTGTTTTTTTGCTGTAATTAATTGTCAGATTTTGCTTTTTTTTTTGCTTTTTTTTTGCTTTCATCCATAAAACGGAAATAGAATATAAATAGTACAGGGAATGGCTCATTTAGGAAAATAAAAAAAAGCGCATATTATTCCGTTTAGACGTTGTTGAAAAGGAAAAGAATGGCAATATGAAAAACAACAGAAAGAAAAAAAGTCTCATCGAGCAACTTGTAGTCATCTACCTTGAAAATTATATTTTATCTATCGATCCAGGCATCGAGTACATACAACTCAATTGATGTCGACTATCGATAAACTATGTCATAGTCAGTGTTTTCAATCTATCTATCTCTTTCTATCTCTCTCTCTCTCTCATTTGCTTTATGTTCATTTTATTATTTTTCCCTTTTCTATATTTATTTGTTCGTTCATTTCTATTGAGACTGTCGAGAACTTTAGCAAGCATGGTTATTGTTGTTGTCATCTTTTTCCTATAATCTACTCTATCCAACCAAAGAGCGGCAAATAAATTGAAAGTCCTCATCATCATCTTCTTCTTTTTCTTCTTCTTCTTTTTTTCCGAAAATATCGGATCGGAAGAAGAACAGGAAGAAAAAAATAAGTTGAGTAAGAGAAACTTGATCGAAAATAAGGACAAGAGAGAGGGAGAGAGAGAGACATAGAAAATACGCAATACGGTTCATTTGAGTTGAATGAAGTTGACGGGTTCTGTTGGTAGAATAACGTAACGTGACTTAAGAGAAAAAAAGAACTTTTCTTCCGTGTTTTTCTTTTCCTTTTGTGTCTTTTTTTGTGAACATAACAAAAGTTCTCATGCAGTATTATTTTTTCTCGTTCTTCGTCAAAAATAAAAGTAAAGACATCGTCACTACGTCCGTTCGTTCTCCGTAATTGAATGAACGGCATATGTAGTGTTAGCAATGATGATGATGGTGTTATGGTGGTGGTGGTGCCTGCTTCTTACAACGATTCTTCTTTCTCTTCTTCTTCTTCTTCTTCTTCTTCTCCTCTTCTTCTTCGATTATACGTCACGATGATAGAAGTGTTTATATGTTGTTGTGAGCGTGATAGTGATGTTCCATGCATCAACATTTACCGTGGATTAAATGATGATTCTTCTTCCTATCTTATTGCATTGTTGTTTTTTTTCGTTTGACGATTTTTTAACAAATCGAAATATAAATATCTGATTTTTTTTTCAGTCATCAAAATAAAAATCTTTTTTATTTCTGTAGATTAGTCATAAAACATTATATTTTAGATTGCTTTACTCTTACACTTTTATCCATCTATAAATCCATTATGGATACAGGAGGTGGTGATAAATCTAACACTGACAATGATCTCTATTTACCACCAACAGATTCATTCTGGGAGGTTTGTATTAAAAACAAGACAAAAACAACAAGTTTTTTTTTTTATTGATAATCGTTGTTCTTTTTGTTTTTTAAATAGGTTGGTAAATATAGTCGAGCAGTTAAACGATGTGATGATGGTAATAAATTAACAACTGATCTTATTAGTATGGTTAATGAACGAGCTGAATTGGAAAAAACATTTTCAAAAATGCTTAAAAGTTGGTCAAAAAAATGGTCGGATTATGTTGCAAAATGTAAAAATAACATTTTGTTGTTATTATTATTACTATTAATTTATTTTATTTTCTTTTTCAGCATCGGAATTTGGGTCAATGACATCAGCTTGGAAAGCAATAATGGGTGAGGCTGATGCATCAGCTGAAGTTCATCAAACAGTACATGATGAATTACAAAGTGATATTATACCAGCTATTAAATCATGGCAAAAAACGAAATATGTCAAATCAATGATGCATATTAAACCAACAAAAGATCTTGATGAAGAATTTAAACGAGTATATATAATCAAATTTTTTAATTAAAATTATTGTGTTTTTTTTTGTTCATCTATTTTAGGCACAAAAACCATGGGCTAAATTATATGCTAAAGTTGATAAATATAAACGTGAATATCATACAACAACAAAAAATCTTAAAATGGCTGAAGCACAAGACAATAATTCTAAACTTGATGGATCTGTGCCACAAGATCAAGTAAAAATTTTTTTTTTTTCTTTTATTAATTATTGAAATTCATTTTATTTAGCGTGCTAAATTATCGGAAAAAGTTGGGCGATGTCGTAAAGAAATAGAAGTAGCAAAAGGTAAATATGCTGAAGCATTACAAGAAATTAATCGAGCTAATCCGAAATATATGGATGATATGAATGAAGTATGTATATAATTTAATTAATTAAAAATTAAGATTTTAATCATTAATAGGTTTTCTCCCGGTGTCAAACATTTGAAAAAGATCGTCTGGTAAAATTTCGAGAATTTTTGGGTGCAACTGAAAAATGTCTTGATCTTAGCAGTCGTTTACAGTAAGTAATAGAAAACAAATCAAAGAATTTACAAATATTTCTCCAGAGACTTTTTTTTCTCTCATGATTTGTTAATTTAATTTATTTTGAATCAAAATATTTTCTATGTGTTTTCGGGAATATTTTTAGATCAGCAAATTTTCAACAATTTTCTCAGACAATTAAAAATTGTGATCCCGATAGAGATTTATCATGGTGGTCGGATACCTATGGTGCCGGTATGAAAATGAATTGGCCAACATTTGAGGTATTTATTTTTATTTTTTCTTCATTTATAATTTTCTTATCGATCTTATCAAATTCTTCTTCTTGGCTTCTTTTTTTTATTTCTATTCTCTGATAAAAAATATCTACTTTAATCTTGCTTCTACGTTACAATGATCACCCTTACCACTCCTTAGGAATCAACAAATCTAGATCATCATCAACAACAAAATCAGTTTTCTTATTGTGCTAATGATTTATCTATGGGTTATGATACATATCATCGTCGACAATTAGCACATTTTGTTAGTCAAACAAGTGCTGCAGTTGCATATGATACACGAATATTGGTTGTGGATTCTTATGCAACTATTCGTCGATCTATGCGACGAACTGCTGCCGTTGTTACACGCGTTCGTCGAGATCTTATCAAGCGTGAAGTAGATTATCACATCTTTATAATTAGTCTGCCACTTTTAGATAGAAACAAAAAAACTTATTTATATTGGTTTCTTTGCGTAATTTTTGCTGCACATTTACTGACAATTTTGTTTTCTCTTCTTCTTTCTATTTTTGGTATCTATTATTTAAATATTTATATATCTATATATTCTTTATTCCTCTTATTTTGCTATATAGTTTGGCTCTTATTCTCTTTCGGTTTTTTGCTAACTCATACTGACGTTAAATCTCTCTATCTAAATAGAATTATTTCTTTTTTTAATATATATGGTAATTGATATATTTGAATTTTTGTTTTAGGAATATACGGAAGCACAACGTACACTTTCTCGTCGTGCTAAGGGCGAGATTGAAAAAGAAAATCCAGTTGTTGTTACAGCTATTCGATCAAATAATAATGGACCATCAAATGTTGCACCTGCTGATAATCGTTTATCAACTAAGTAAGATAATTTTTATAATGAACTTTATAATAAAACAATAAATATAATGAGCTGTCAGTTTATGAGCTTTTTTATCACACACTTTATTTTTACGCATTTTTGTATTAGCAATGCTGCATTCAATGAAGAGACTGATTCAGCACCGCCTTCACCCTATATGGGTTTTCATCAGCCGACTTCAGCGCCAGCTGATTCATCACCCGGTTGGGCAGCTAATTCTTGGGCTAATGAGTGGGTTTCTTTCTATTATTATGAGCTTATGTGTACAATGTTGTCTTGTTTGTCAATATGTTTCGTGTGCTTATTTCCGCATTTGTCTAGTTATATTAGTTTACCATGTATACATTATATATCGTCAACTAGTTTGTCCTATTTTGAATACAAATATTAGAAAAATATCGATGAATGTATATAATCAAAATTGATCAGTAGAAACGATAAATAAAACTTTTAGTCTTTTTCCGTACATTTTATTTCTTTACTTGTCATAATAAATAAATAATGATATATTTCTGTTTTGGTAATCTCATTTATGTTTAATAATCTTATTTATGTCTTACTAATGCAATTGATGTTTTATCAAATAGTAATAAGGATATGTCTATCGAGCCACTCGAGCTAAGCTTCTATCTTTTGAACGAGAAATTTATATGTATTCCTTTTTTTAAACTATTGTAATGATATGTATGTATTTGTTATGTGTTTATTTAATGTTTTGAAAAGTATATATATATATTTAGAGATAATCAAATGTTTATAATTTTAGCTATACAGCAGCAACAAATAATGGTAGTCATTCGTCATTACCTTCTTATCAAGCAAATAGTGCCCCATCATATCAAAGTCAACCATCATATCCATCACCGGCAAATCCATTTTATGAAGAGGATGATATGAACAATGGTGATTCATCATCACCTCATCAATTTTCACAGCAACCATCAGTTTTAACAGGTGGTACATCATTTGATAGTAATGGTGGTGTACCTGTTCGAGCTCTTTATGATTATGATGCACAAGAACAAGATGAATTATCATTTAAACAAGGTAATTTTATCATTATATCTATTATAATTCTTATGAAAGATTATTTATTTTATTTTAGGTGAGATTTTTACAAAATTAGAAGATGAAGATGATCAAGGTTGGTGTAAAGGACGTGTTGGCAATCGAGTAGGTCTTTATCCGGCTACCTATGTCGAAAATGCTTAAAGACAAATAATCTTATAAGAATATTCATTATTCGTCCTTTTATTTTATTTTTTCTTTATTGTCATGTGGACTATTTGTATCCTGCTTGTGCACACCTCGTCCATTCGAACAGTAGCAGTACCCAAATACGAATACGTTTTACTTAAATATTATATATATATACATATATAAATGTGTCTACCTTGAACATATATCTTGTCGTGTTCCTTTGTGTGTGCCTTTCTTTCATTTCACATGTGTATTTTCATTTTTCTTTCTAGTTGACATCGAAAAATTGTTGTGTGTATAAAAGAAAACAATTTTTCTTCATTATCTTCTTTTTATTTATTGTTATAAAACATTGTATAGATATTTTACCCTTCATTCTTTCGTCATTGGCTAGTATACATACTATAAGCCTTGTTCTTTAAGTTGATCACGTTTTTTCTAAACCTCATTGTACTCTTGTTCACACGCATCAGCTTATTTGGCTTTTGTTCATCTTCATCATCTTCCTCTTCTTCTTTTCCTCTTTAGTCTATTCCGTTCTTACACTCCTGTCATTTTTTTTTTGCGTATTTAAAAAACAAACTAAACAAATATGAATATTTATTTATAGTTTACAATTTATTTGCTTTCGGTAAGTATTATAAAAAATCAAAAGCAACTTAAGAAGATAAAAGATTGCCGATTGCAAAGGATAAATAAACTTTATTTTGAGATTTTCTTCTTTTATTTTTTTACAAATTCTCTTTCATCAAATATATATATATAGATATATAATAAGTTACTTACACTTTTATAGGACATTTCTATATCATAAACCTAAGTCAATAGTACTTAAGTAACCGGTAAAATTCTATTGATAAAAACAATCTATATTTTACGATACAATAGACACTTCGACATGTAATAACCTATGTTTATCAATGAAAAGTTTTATGATATAAATAGATAGTATACTAATTGCTAGTTATTATTATTATTATTCCATCAGAAATTTATCAATATGATTTATATTATTTAATACAGTAGAAAGAGAATATTTAAACATATTATTTTCTACAAGTATAAGTGCATTGAAAAAGGTTTGATTCAAGTTGTGGACATTAATGTATGTAAGATGATGATAGACCACTTTTACTATTGAATTGATTCTAGAAAGACTGTCTGATCTGAAAAGTTTTGTAATAGAAAGATTGATTGAAAACAACCAAACAACAATGACGTCAAAATTTTGTACTCAAAACAATGGCGTATACTAAAGAATATGTTTTTATTTTCTGAAGTGGTATTATTAGTTTGACGTGATGTAAACATTTGCCTATCTTTCTTTTTATTTAACTAAAACAATGTGTTTTTCTATGTGCATTCATTTATTGAATTTGTTGTATAGGTCCATGTTGAAGTCGCGAAAAAAGATAACAACAATATTTTGTGCTTCAAACTCAATAATAAAATATCGTATCAGCTAAGTGTTTCCGTTCTGTACTTTTGAGTTGCATCAGCCATTAAAGTAATTCGTCTATATTTTCATTCGAAAATACTTCAAATAATAAAACTGTAGTCTCATTAATGATATTATTTTTTAAAACGAATTTGAGCAGATGTTATCTATAGTTTTTCGAGCTGTTATTCGTTGTATATACACACACATCCTCAAGATTATCCATCGTATCATAAAATGAAACGCTCCAATTTCAAGCCGGTTACAGGTGCTTCTGTCGGGGTTAAATAGTCGACGTTTTTTTGAATACAACTAGTTTTCCTTTTATTATATATATACAATACGATATAATAATAGAAGATATAAATCTAACATTACTACATACAATTAAGTCACATGTGCAATTGAATAACAAAACATACTATTCAGAACATGTTTTCAATGAAAATAAAAGAACTTAAAGTATATTTTTGTGTTTTACATATATTTATTATCATTATCAGTTTCATCTTATAATAAAAGCATTTGTTTGTGATATCTATTGAAAAATATTTTAAATACAATAAAAGAAAGAACTTAGATGCATATGAAGAATATTATTTTTCCGTGAAATTGCTTAAAAAATTGAAGTATATAACAACATTTTGTCTCCATAAACAACGTAATAAACTATGCAATTTCTTAAAAGTACTTTTACATCAATTATTTGATATTTCTCAAAGGACTAATAATGGTTTACTGTAAAGAATAAATTTTCAAAAGAATACATTTATTAAATAAAGAATAAGTTAATAAGATAAATGACTTATATTTTCAGTAATGTCTAATATCTCATTCTAATAATAATGTAAGAGACGTAGATTATCTACTACGATTCATAAAGTCATAATTTAAATGTTTCGACTTAAATATTCATTCTATTTATAACTAGATTGGATTATTTTTTAATACTCTTCTACTGTTCAGAAGATGATTAATTAAATTCCAAGAAGCTTTACAAGATAAATAGAAATCATAATAAAGAATTTTTTTCTTTTTCAATATTTTATTAACCAGTTGGCATTAATTGATTATATGAATCACGAAAATTTGTAAAACGACGTCGATAATCTTTTAAAATAGAAAGAACAAATTATTTATTAAACAAAAAGATTCTATACTTTGAAAATAATGAACTTGTGAATGATAAATATCTGTACTTATATTCATTAAATCACTCAGATTCTCAATCCAATCTTCAGTAAGATCAATATTAAGTTTAACATAAACTGTATTATTATAATTCGTAATGTTATTTGTTACAAGAAGAAATTCTAAACAAGAAAATGACATTCGTGTTTTTTGAAAATATGATGAATAAAATTTACTAATTTCTTCTGTTTGATTCTGTTGATTAACAAGACATAATCGTTTACAATCACGTTGAAAACGAAAATAAACAAAATTTTCTGTTTGATTAGTACTCTGACGACAATGTTTAAGATTAGAATCATAAAACCAACGTGCAAAAGTCAAACGTTGATTATGATCTATTAAAATCCTATAAATATCATATTGTAAGAATGACATTTAAAATAATTACTTAAACTAAAATGTCGATAATGACAAGAATCTTTTTGACATTTCATAACAACTGGATAACATGGTTCAATTTTTTCCTATTAATCGAAAAAAGAAAATGATCAGGTTTTGTTTATTCAAAAAAAACGAGCCTCTACATACACGACATAGATTTATCTTTTGACAAAAACCATAAGTATTATTTGTAATAGTTAAACAATATGGAAATAAAATACTGAAGAAAATAAATTGAACTAACATTTTTGACATACACGAGTCACTCTATCCTTCCGTATGTATATTAGATCGATTTTGTCATGCAATAACAACAACAACATAGATAATATATATCTATCCGTTCACGTCCTTTATTAAATTATATTCAATAACTTGATGATCGTTTATATATATATATTAGAAAAAAAGTATTTACAATAAGAGAAATTTTCGAACTAGTAGGTCATTCAATAATTACACGCATTTGTATAAAACTATAGCGCGGTGTAGCTTGTCTTTCTGTTATATTAATAAAGACAAACTCTGGGTCGTTATCATATATAAAATTTTGATTAATTGGTTTTATTGAAACTGATTTAATCATATTAATACTTGATAAATATAAATGAGTACATGTATTTGAAAGTGATGTTAAATCAAGCATGTTACCTATATGAACTAAATTATTTGTGGGTAGAGAAAATGGTGAAAGACAAAGCATTTGTCTTAATAATATATATACATCAGTAATGAGAACTGGTTCATTGATATATCCTTTTTTAAATAATGGTCCATGAGCAAGAAATGCTGTACGCATTGAAAGATGACGAGGATCATCACTATGATCTGCTAACTCTACACAAAAAAGCAAAAAATAATTTGTCTATATAATTATAATTAGTAAATTTACTTGATGGTTGACAGTTATTATTATTATCTTTCTGACAATATGCTGAATTTTGTTCTTTATTATAAGAAAAATAATATTTTTCTTTCGCAAATATAATAATTGGTGATGGTTTGTCATCTGTAATTGGTAATTGAAGTTTTGGTGGTATATGATTATAATCATTCGAATAGATTTCTATTTGATCATCAGGTAAATTCTTTAATTGATTAAGTATTGCTTGATGAGTTAAATCTTTGAAGAGAGAGAGAAAAAAGAAAACAAGATCTAATAAAACCATTAAAATATTCTATTTAACCTGTTTTTGGATAAAATACAAAACTAAAACTAGTACCACTATATCGATCTGTATAAAGATTTAATTGTTGTTGATTAAATAAATAATATAAATTTATTGCTTGACGACAATCAATTTGTTCCATACCATGATCACCAAGAATAATTAAATTAATATTATTTTTTATTGTTATTGATAATAAACGTCCAATAAGTCGATCAATATTAAGCATTGTTCGACGCATACTATTAGAATTTATTCCATGATGTAATAATGTTGTAAATGGTTCATCAATAAAACTCATGATAAGATTAGTTCGATCAGTATCATTAATTAAACTATTTAACATTGGTGTTAAATATTTTAAAAGACGTTGTAAAGGCATTCGACCATGATTTAAATATGATTCAATTATTTCTGGTTGTCTTTTACGTCCTGAACGTAAATGTTCATAGTTTGAATGATTTTTTCGACGATCAAACCATGGCCAATGAAAGAGACGTGTATGACCACCAACATGTTCATTAAGAACAGGAATTGTTTCAATAAAATCATTTCGTGCATGATGTTTAACATGAAGACCTGACATAAGACTAAGAATATTTGTTTGACTACCACCAAATTCTGATTCAACCCATAGTGCTCTTGAACCTGTTGTTGCAAGACGACGAATATTGGGTAAATGTGAATAGGCATATGGTAAATCCCATCGAAAACCTTTTAAACATAGAACAAATACTAGTGGACGTTGTTTGGTTGTTAATGATAACGAAATTGTAGTATATAAGAGAAAAATATAAAAAAGATACTTTACAAAAGCCATTTGTCCGAACAAAATGACGTTGTCTCAGCCTTTACTGATTGCCGATATTGATTGTTGAACAGAGAAAAAAAAGAAGAAGACCTTGTTATTCAATTATGCTATTGGAGAATAAATTGAGTAGATATATCCATATAGTGTAATATACGACAGTTCATAAGACAGCTAATTATTAGTTATAGTTCTTCAATCAATAAGTACTCCACTCTTGTCGTCATTGTTCAAGAAAAACTCATATGTCATTTCGAAGGATATTGATGTCAACAGTATTGACTATCTAATAGAATTACGCATATAAATAAACATTTCATATATACATATGAGATTAGATGTACAACATCATAATCTTCTGTCACATTAAATCAATAAAATGATATATATTTATTAATCTAATGTAAAACTCTGAGGAGGAGAATAATAATTATCTTTTTGTTAATTCAATGTTAAATATTGACATGGTTTCTTTTATATAAAATTTATTCGAGAAAAACAATGAAATATATACGAAAAATGCACTCTACGATCGACAGTTGTTCGAATGTTAATATTATCCATATTCACTCTTTCATTATCAATGCCCTTTTTATCTTAAGTCAATCCCTTTTTTTCATTATATCACCTGAAAAAATTTCCCTTAATATCGAAAAAACATATTTAAAAAATAGTCTTGAATATTCTGAAAACTGATAATGAAAAAAATCGGACCATTCTGGAGTCTTCACCTGTCATATATTCTCATCACCCACACTTTCAAACATTCCATTATTTAATATCAGTTGAAAAATATTTTTTTTATGCTCATTTATCTTTAAATCTTCAAATCCGAAGCAATGCGTTCACTTTTACTTATACTTCTTCTTGTTGGTAGTGCACATGGTTTATTCAGTGGAACTTTTTCTAATGCACTCAGTACTCTTACTAATGCAGTCTCAACAGTTACAGGTCATGTTACTAATGCAGTCACAGGTGTTGGTAATGTAGTTACCGGTTTAGTGGGTGGTGTCACAAATGCAGGTGCTACTGTTCTTGGTAATGTAGTCGATGCTGCTGGTAATATTCATGGGCAATTAGTAAGCACTGCTAATGGTATGCAATTTATGGGTAATTTCCTTTGGGATAATGTAATGGGTCCAGCTTATGACATGATGATTGAAGGTAAAATTAATATTTTCTTTTCATCAAATGTTAATATCTTAGTTCGTTGCAGGTGGTCAATTATTTCTTGATGAGCAATTCGGAAACCTTGTTAGTAGTATTGGACGTCGTTCAGTAGTACCAGAAAATGTTCTTTCAGCAAAATATACTGAATTAACAGCTATTTTCAAAACAAAAATTCATGATTTATTTCAAAATTTAATTCAAATGGAAAAAGATTCTTTGATTGCATTACAAAACGGTGAAAAAACATTAGAAGATAATATTCATGCATTCATTAATCGAATGAATGATATTCATAATCAAATCAGTCAATGGGCTGCTGAAACTAAATATGAATTACAAATGCATGCACAAACTGTTCAAGGTGATTGGGTACTTATTCTTAATCAATACAGTCAAAATATTGATTTCAGTGTTAAAACAATGAGCACAATGTTTGAACGATTAGCACAAGATTTAATGAAAAATCTTGTTGAAACAGCTCTTAGCGTTGTTCCCAATGCATTAGCTATTGTTGAAAATATCAAACAACAAGGTCTTCTCTCATTTTTAAATCATTAAAATAAGATTAAATGAACAGTATTTTGAATAAAATTTCTATTCATTTATGATTTATTATTTAAGAATATAGATTGATCCTTAAATGTCAAAGAAAAGTTGAATATATATATATATCGATCATATTTTCACTAAATACACATATAATTTCCTTTTTAATATTGGTTAAAGGATATTTATCCTTAATATTCATGAGAAAAAATGTTGCCTTGAAGTATTATTCGTAGTATAAATATTAGTCGGAAGTTTTTTCTAAGTTATGAAGGAAATAATATTTTATTAATACTTCGCTCAATAACATTTGTTGCTGATGACTATAAACTTAAAATGCACTAAGTGATATGAGGTATATATCTATGATAGAGAAACTTAGACCATAATGACACTTGTTTTCAAGCATTGCTTTAAAAGATTCAGCATTTTCTCTGTGCAATCACTCGAGTAAATATATAACTTTGTATAATGCATGAATATCTCTGCTCTATATTCTTCTTATTAATAATAATAGTTAGTAAAGAAAAATTGAATTTATAAAACAAAAGTATGACGGAAATTTATATGCTTTTATTCTTCATATAATGAATTTTCAATGAAATTCTATTAAATATATGGAAGTTTCTTAAGCGATTCATTAATTTTTTTTCATAGATAAGGTTATCTGTAATGATATAAAAAGGTCATTTAAGAACATTATAATAAACTATTCTTTGACATTAGTTATACGGAAAGAATTCATGTATTTCTTCTTTTTTTTTCTTCAAATAAAAGAATATAAAATTAACTTCTAACATAATCTAATGCATCCTTTTAATATTTGTTAATAAGTAGTTTTTTTTTGTTCTCGAGCAGTAAAGTGCTGGAAGCTCTTTACAAGAAACATTTTATTTATTTATAACAATATATATATACTATGCATTATAGACTAGAGTGTTCTTTCTTTTAAGGTTAGACATTTGTTTCTCATTTCTAATGAGTTTCGATATATATCAGTGTAATGTGACCTTTTATGATTTTTTTGATATTATTTATTGAATTGAATTAACTTTTTGAAGCAACCTATTTTTCTGTTGTTCATTTGAATAGTTGATTGTTAATAGATAATTGAAAGTTTTACAATACGTTTGAGGCTCATCGATCTTCTACTAGCAACCAGTATCATCTATCACATCTAAATAATAAAAATAATATGATTGAGAATACTCAAGAGAACCTTTGATCATTTATGGTTCATATAGTTAACAAAAATTTAAATATGAACAGATTATTTTCTTCGAACTTGATATCTTGATATATTATAATAATAAATATTCAAACTAAAAAATCTGTATGCAAAAAAACATCACAATGAGATATATTTTTTTTAATATGTACACTATTATGATATATTTTTACCATTGTTTATTATAGTCAACAACTGTTGTTCGTTCCTATGCCCAATTAGTATGGAATATTTGTTGTTCCTTATTAAAAGTGTTTGTTTCTCTCAAGAGAAATATAAGATGTTATAATTGTTACCGTCAATAATCGATTTATTCCGATTTTTTAAATATACAATTTAGTTAAACATTACAAATGTATGCGTGCTTTTAAGTACTTTTCTTTTTTTCTTTTAAGTTACATATATATTAATACTTGCGTGCACAAATGAACGTTGATAATCGTGAATTATTCACTTGTTACTATGTCGTCAACAATCGATCGTTCATAGGAAAAACATTCAACATTCTTTCATACGTAGAAAAAAAGAGAGAGAAAAAAAACCCAATGAACACCAAATTAATATGTAGGAGATCAATCAGAACAACGACAAATGCTGAAATTCACTGTATAAAGCAAGAAAGAAAAATTCTGACATAATGTGCGTGTTGTTGAATAGCACACACATGCGCGCGTTTAAACGATTTCCTGCCTGCATCCGGACATTCTCCTTCTTCTTCTTTCTCTCTCTCTCTATTTAAAAGAGGTAGAAATCATTGAAAAACAACGAAAAAGAATAGAATAAAGAACAGAAACAGTAAAAAAGAGAGAAATAAATCATGAATAGATAGAAATAGAGAATAAGAGAGAAAGACAAAATAATCTTCTAATGAAGGAAAAAGAGAGAATATAAGAAAACTGAGCTGACTACTTTTTTTGATATTATCCTATGTGACTAGATAATGTCAGTTGTTTTCATTATATATTAAAATAATGTCATTTAGAAATTATTTACTATAATTCTTTTCATATGATGATAATCTATTAAATATTGACAATAAGGTATGTTAAAAATAATACATTTTTTGAAAAAAATAAAAGATTAAATAGAAGAAATGTAGAATAAAACTATTTATGTAAAAATATTCAAACATTTTGTCTTCTATATTCAACTATTCATTTCATTGAAATTAAATACATTTATGAGTATTTAAAAGTCAAGTAAGTCATATTTCTTTATTTTATTCTGAAATAGTTTCCTAATCATCATCATTATCATTATTATGAATATATATTGACAAGTGATTAGAAGTCTGCTATCTCTATTAGCAAACAGTGTTGACACAGATGAATGATATCATTATCTTATGCTTGTCAAGTCTTGTAGTTATATCTATATACCAAGGGAAATAATACTTTTTTTTTCTAATCAATGGTTGTAGTATTTGTTGTTGTAGTTATACTTTCTAAATATGTTGATAAATATCTAACATTCATAATTTGTTCTTTGTAAATATTACAAATACATTGAAGAGGTTTCAAATAAAGATATAGAATGTATCTATGTTAAGATGCACGCATGTTCTTGGGGCTGTTCAACAGAAAAAAAAATATTTGAAAGGCTTCTTCTAAGATTACATTTTCTACAACATACATTATAGATAAACAAAATATCTTGCTTGCAGACAAAATAAAAGGATCCTATTACGTAGATAGACGGAAAACGAGTACTATGCTGTCATGTTATGTCGGTTAGGCAAATTTAAATACTTTCTCTTTTACATTTCCAAAAACTAGTTTTTATTTGCTTTGATAGAATACACATACAACAACAACAACAGCAACAAAAAAAAACACAATGTCAACTGAAAAATCTGTTCTATTACTAGTATAAGAATAATAGATTGATTCAACAAAACATGACAGTGATAGCGACAAGTTTTTTCTCACCCGCCTACATTCTTTCACACTCGTAGTTCATCAACACTATTGACAACAACATAGAAAAACTGTCTTTCCACTGTCTGTCTCTTTCTATCTTTCATTCAGTTCCCACCCGTTGCGCCTCACTGATTGTGCCTTCTGTATGTTCTCTTATCACAGTAAGACATTTTGTAACATATTCAAATATGTGCGGATGAATGATCTCATATGTAGTCACTCTAGAAGAACAAATGAATCTGTGATGAAGTAAAAAAACGGGAATTAGAAAGATTGTAAAATGCGTTTGCTTTTGTTGTTCATTGATGATGATAATTATGTTCTGAGTTTGACTTTTTCCGTTACATTCGTTGAAAATAATTCGTTTCCCTTGTTGTATTTTGCATGCTATTACTTCTTCCTTCATCATTCTCCGTATGTTCTAACTTTACAAACTAGATGTTATACAAACGGCAAAAGAACCCCAACATATATATATCTCATCCGAGAAGGCGCAACAAAGAAAAACAAAAAGAATCTGCAAACATCACTTGAACGTGCGTTTTCTCTCTCTCTCTATGTGTGTTAGCGGGAAATATGACTTTCCGACTCTCGCCTTTCTTCTCTAGTCATTGTATTGACAACAACAGTAACTGATTAAAGGATAGAAATTTCTTTCTCTCTTTTCCTTTAAATAGTAAGGATTGGTGAAATATAGCCAGATAGACAACAATATATACAATACAATAATATATATATTTTTATAGATCTGACTGCGAGTGTTTATATGTTCAAGATTGTCAATTACTTTAATAGTATTCGAATTTATGCTTGAACTATTGCTTCTAAGAACTAAACTATAAGTAAGTTAATCAAGTTGAGTGGAGTGAAGAGACATCATATAAAAAAAACCATCTCGTTTCTTTTGTTTTTCAACAAGGACTAATATGATTTACGAGCTTGGAATATATATATATATATATAAATAGACAGATCTCATGTTAAAACAGGTATTATAATAATAAAAAATTAAATATATATGTATATATATCTATATAATTGATTGATAATGACAGTAGATGTAACGGAACTTTGTCAGTATCAATTTTTGTTTGGTTAATAAAGCTATATGTGCGTGACTTTGTTCTAGAACGTTATTGTGAGTGGAGGAAATTCTTTCTATTACAAATTCTATGCAATATAATAGAGTGAAAGAAAGAATCTTTCTTAATGATATGCAATACAACAGTAAGACTTAGTTTTTTGTATAGACGCAATTCTCAGTAATTATAGATGGGTTTCAATATAGATTAAATCATTGTTAGATAAGAGATTTTACTAATTCTAAAGTGAACTTGTATTTTATAATTCTTTTCTTTAGAACACAAAAAAATATATATATATATATAACGATAACATTTTATTAATTGTAATAAAAGATGCTTTTCATTTCATTATATAGTTTTGTCATATTCGACACTTCAATTATATAATGAAAAGAATATATCGAATGTAAAAGAATTTTATATGTATATCATGTTTTTATATATAGTCTGAAGTATAAATAAGAGGGATTATTGACCTTGATTCTCTGTAATTAATCTTATAGTAATGATATACATATAGACATGTCTTAGTTAATAGCAATCACAACTGAATAGAATAGAAGACAAAATATTTAAGAGACGCTGTCATTATTTCCTTGACAATAATTATTTTTAATACTATTATGAGAAAATATGATTTTTTTTGTTTCTAAGGAGAAAAAAAATACCTGGCATATATCTAGTGTGTTTGATTTCATAAATCTAGATAATCGCGCGGAAAATAAAACAAAAACTAATAAAATGAAAGTTCACAAATCTAAATATATATTTATTGAAAAGATATTAATCGTTACTATAATTTTTCATGTGAAAAATAAGATTTTTAAGCGTATGTTCTATTAGCTGAATCAATAAACTAAGCGCGTAATGTGCTAAACTGATAAGAACGTCATTGTTGCCTCTATCAAATCTATCGTTCTATCTCAATTTTTGTGTCGACAGCAATAGTAATAATGGTAAGTATAACTTGTCTTGTTGTGGACATACAAGAAAGAGAGAGAGAGAGAGACAAAAACAGAGGGGAGAGAAAGTGAGAAAAAAGATGACGGAACATTTATAATAATGGTTAGAAAAGACGTAAATCAGATTATTATCGATTACTAGGACAAGTGTTTAGACGCGAGAGCAAAAAAAGAAGAAGAAGAAGAGACAAACAGGCAAAAGAACTATGTTACAACATATTCTCATGTGTCAAATAAAGTCCATGAGTAATTGATACCAATGAGATATTTATCGTGTTAGTCAATTTACGAGCACGACATACATAGATAGTTGTACTAAAGTGAAAATGTGCGCGGTCAAAATTCATAATTAGGTTGAAACATAGAACAAGTTATTGTTTTTTTTCTATACAAACCAAAATGAATTAATTTGTTTATATTTTCATTTGAGACTAATTAAAAAAAAATATAATACTCTATATATTTAAATGAATATCTTGATTTCTTTGGAGACAATCGCAGGGTTTTCATTGTTTTCTTTTTTTTCTCTCTCTCTTATTTTCGTTTTATTTTATCACATAATATTCATATTCCATAGAGTATTTCACGTCTCTTCTATTTATTTGTTGGCATGCATTCTATTCAGCTTCTTCTTTTTTAATATTATAATCAAAATAATACTATCGTGCAAAGAAGTAGTAGTATTATTAAGATTCATTCGTATTATAAAGTAAGAAGAAAATGACAAATGAATATGATTAAAATTAAGTAATCGGCATGTTTGTTCAAATTTGAATAGATTTAAATGAAAGATGAATATTAAAATATATTATCTCGATATATAAAATGAATTCTTTCTTTTTTTCCTACTATTGTGTTACAAGATTTCTCCTTGAGATTGATATACAAAATATGAGAAGTATCAAAGACAGAAAGAGAAAAAGAGACAAACGTAGAAGAAGGAGAAGAAAAAAAAGAAAAAACAGATATAGATATCTATCTATCTATCCTTTTTTCACTTCTACCTAACTCCCTTGAGACAAGTGTTTCTATAGAAATCTTCATTAAATAGGATTAATGCTCATTCTTCTGATGCTAAGTGCATTGAAGAAAAGAAAAATAGAAGAAGTTAATCAGCCTTATCAAAGGCTATATTACTGGTAGGATGATGAAAAAATGAATATTCAATCAAAGACGAGATTGAAAACAACAATATTTTTATTCTTCTTTTATTAGTTTAACATCGATTTGTTTTATTCTTTAGATATAAATTATGATTATGTAGGTTATCATAATTATGGCTGATATTAATAATACTACTACTACTACTATACATAATAGTACTATTGTTAAAAGTAATATTATTTATGTATGTATTCGTTTAATAATGCCATGTGCTGTTGCAATTGGTATTATTGGAAATCTTTTATCTATATTGGTATTTGCACGTCGTGAAATGATCAAATTTTGTGTATCTATATTTACAATTGTTCTTGCACTCAGTGATATTCTTTTGTTAACGACTTCATTATTTAACATCATATTACCCGATTTTTTTGGTGGAAGAAGTATGTCAGATAAATCGGCATTTTGGTGGTAAGACAAATCTTCTCTATTAGAAAATTAACAAAAGGATTATTAGATAGAAAACAATCATTTTAAGAAAAAATATGATATGCTATTTTCGTTATGATTAATGATTTATGCTAAAGAAGAAGAAAGAAAAATGAGATAGAATAGATGTGGATTGTATGAAAACAAAAGTTTTTCAAAAAAACAAACCGGATAAACGGAAGGAAGGAAGTATATAGATAATCTTGATTTTTAAATAATGATTGAATATCTTATTGAAAGCAAAGAAAAAAGAAAAACAGGAAAATTTTTCGAACTATATTATTTAATTGATTTCTATGTTAAATTTTAGTCATTTTCATGGTTATTTTGACCTATTATTTGCTGCACTAAGTGGTTATTCAATGGTATTTATATCAGTTGAACGTTGGTTTTCAGTATGGAAACCATTTGAGAAAGCAAAATATGTCACATTTAAAACAACAATCATTACTGTTGTTAGTTATGTATCAATATCTATTGTTGCTTTTTCATGGTTTCCATTAACATTACATTATAATCCAAATGCACCAAAAGGAACAAATATATGCGACTTGACAAGACCTACAATATATAAAGTATTTGGAACAATATCGGTGATTTTTACTTACATTGGTAAGAAAACGAAGAAAAACAAATCGATTTTATTTTTATCATCTGTCTGATTTTATATTTTAGTACCATTTATATCTCTTGGTATACTTAATACTCTGATTGTTTATCGTTTACAAGCTCGTCAAAATACATCTATTCAACGTTCAATGACGACAACAAGTAGTACAAATGTTGATCCAACATTAGGGTCAGCATCAACACGTAAACGACAACGTCAAAGAAATATTGATCGAAATATAACATTTATGTTAATAGCTGTGGCTGTTGCATTTATGGTTATGTCATTTCCATATCAGTAAGATTTCTTAAATTAGAATTTTTCTATTATTGAAAATTCTTTCTTTTCTAAATAGAATTTATTGGTTCTATTTGCAAACACGAGAGGCAGAGTTAAATCAAGCTTTATATACATTAACACAAACATTTAGATACTTAAATTGTTGTTGTAATTTTTTTCTTTATTCGGCAACATCATCATTATTTCGTCGAGAATTACAAGAAATATTCAAATGTACAAATTCATTAATTAATAAGAAAAAAGAAACGAACAATTTACAAACAGGACTAATTACTCGAACACGAACAGCATCATCGCCTCCACTTTATGCAACTAATTTGGATAATAAACAAGCCGAAAGAAAAAAACTTTTAACTACAACAACAACAACATCAACAACAATTACAACAGCAGCCGTAGATAACGTTAATCTTGCTTTAACACCTACTGAACCAAATAATGGACATGTTGTCTCATTTAAAACATAGTCAGTGTATCCTATTTCTTTTCTTGATTTTTATTATAATTATTATTAAATGATGATATATTGTGTGCTCGTTCATTTCACAAATGTTTGAGAAGTGTTCAAAAGAAAAGAAAAGAAAAATGAAAATCAATATTTGATTTCAGTGACTGTATGCATATGGACGGACAGACAGTATGAATCTGACAGAAAAAAAATTGTTCATTGTTACCACGTCAGAATAAATATATAAAAAAAAAAGAATTTTTTTCGATTAAATCATTTCATTTTGTTGTTGTTGTTGTCGTCGTATCATCATTCATTGTCTAAACAGAAAACAAAAGACACATTAATTTTAATTAAATAGTATAGAAAAAAATAACAATTATATGAAAATAGAAATAATATTTAATTCAGTTTTATGTTTTTCTACAATAAGAGTAATAACAATAACAACAAAAAAAACAAGTAATTTCCTCAGATGAATAACAATAAGAGAGATTAGATGCGATATTCTTGATATTTATTCATATAATCACGCTTTGCTTGTTTAACATAATTGTCTAATAATTGGTACCATTCATTAATAATAGATCTATCAGCATGTGCAAAATGAAAATTATGAATAGTATTTGAACCTTGTGGTTGTTCAACCGATAAAACAAGTAAGTGTTTATCTTGTTGTATATTAATACCTAATATTAAATGAAGTTGTATTCGTTCTATTAGTGTTTGTTTATCTTTTGACATAATATTAAGAATTTGATAATTATCAATCGATGAAAGAATTAGTGTACGTTGAATATAAGATGGAAATTGAATGAATATTTTTTCATGTTGTTGTTCTTTGATTTTATTCATTAAATAATTTATTCGTTGAATTATATTTGAACATAAATCATATTCATTCTCAAAATTAATAACTTCAAGTAGTGAATTAAAAAGACAATAAAGACGTTCATAATGATTTACACATATTGTACGATTAAATGATGATGATGTTTTCAATGGTATAAAAGAATTTAAATAAATAACAAGTATAGATGAAAATTTTGATGTTGAATTTATACGTTTAATATGTTTTTCCTGTTCATCATATGGCTGAGATTTATCTTTTAATAAATAAAAATAATTCCATTCTTCTGCTAGAAGTAAATTTAACCAAAATTTATATTTTTTTTCATAACGTTCCTTATCACGATTAACAAAACAATTGGAGAAACTACGACGAGTACCAAAACAAGTTGATGTAGATGATTTTGATGAATTAAGTATCATATTTGAACTATTATCTGATGAAAAAGATTTATCACTATGATGATTTTCATAATGATGTGATGGTAAATCGACTGTTTGTGAAATATCATCATATATTCGTTGATCCTGAACATATAAGAAATGGGAAAACCAATTTGAGTTTATAATTCTTTCTTTTTTTGGTCTAAAATCCCATTTGATTTCGTGTAATATACACATGGGGAATTAAAATAATAACACAGGAGAAAAATAGAATATAGGTCAAAAACATAAAACTTTCGAATATGATATATTGACAATAGACAAAAAAATCAAAGAGGAAAAAAAAGAAAATCTAAATATTTTGCTTTATTAACTTACTTCCAGTTCTCGCATAATTTGATCAATAAAATCACCTGTATCACCCGATCGATACGCATTTGCAAGACGTATAGCATCACGAAAAAGTCGAACTACATTAGTGCCATCAGCAGCCGATACAAAATATAATGGCATATCATGTTTTTTTGGAAATGAAAATGATTTTTTTGTTACTTCCATAGCCGAATCAATTTTATTGACAGCACATAAACATGGAATATGTGGACGTATATCACGTAATTCAGTATACCAACGTTCTAAATTTTTATATGTTACTTTTCTTGTTGCATCAAATATCTTTTAAAATAATAAAAAAAAATCAACATATATTTTCACTAGAAATATAACAGTACCATAATACAAGCATGTGCTTGATGAAAATACGAATGATGAAGATTATCAAATTTTTCTTGACCAGCTAAAACAAACGCATTTTCTATATAATAATTAAAATATAAGATATATATATGTACAAACCTGTATCCCAAAATTCAACTTCTACTGTTTTATTATCAATTTTAGTTGTATGTTTAAAAATATTAATAGCATATGTTGAATATCGTGAATCCTCACTAAATAGATCATAATAATTGATAATCAAAAAGAAAAAAAGAAGATAAAACTTACTAGTTTTTGACAAGAAAACGTTCAAGTAATTTTGATTTACCAACAGCACTATCGCCTAGAACAATGATCTTAAGAGAATCCGTAGTTTTGGTGTAACTTGTCGAATTTGATACAGATTCACTCATCTAAAAGAAAAGAATATTTACTACCAATATTTACATCTAAATTTTTTATTTGAAAAATAGAAATTTAAAAAAAAATATTTACTTAAGTTCAAATTCAATTATTATATAAGAAAACAAAAATAAACAATCGAATCTAAACGAACTTTTTCAAATGTTCAAGTGTTTATTTGTATTGATTTATATTTGCAGTTTTTCAATAAATATAAAATAAGATTGAAAAAATAAATTTACATATCCAAATTTTACCCTGTTTACCAATGATTTCCTATCATAGATGGCGTTAATCGAAATTCTACATGTTCAATCTATATTTTTTCTAATAATAATTGACAGATTTCTATTAGAATAAAATTAAAATATATAATTTGTTTATTTTCTTATTCATTGGTTTTAAAAAAACTATTTTTTGAACATACTCATTGATTGTTAGTCCTTACTTGAACGTGTTCCGAAGAACGGGAATAATAGTAGAAAAACAATAATCGTCAGTATAATTGTTTAACGGAGGACAGAATTTTATAAATGGTTTTTCCGTCAAATTAAGTTCTAAGACTTCATTTTCTTTATAAATGTTAAATTCTATTAGTTGCAAATAAGAACTTTTGCTAGAAATTTTTTTTATTACAACGATTATGGATAATTCACATGAAACAAATATTCAAGACGACGGTAAAATATCCCTATCGTAGTATTTAATACTATATAAAATCTTTTATTTTTTGATTTCTTAGAACAAGAACAAGTTCGTCAGAAACTTTTATGGACTGTCAAAGGAGAAGTTCGTATATAATATATTCAAATTTTAATTACTAACTATTTTGTTTAGGTTAAAAAAATGATGGAAGAAGCTGTGATGAAAAAATGTATTCATGAAGAAAACTGTAGTGTAACTACACTTTGTGGTTTGTACATTTTTTTTGATCTTCTTATAAATAAATATTTTCATTGATTTTGTTTTTGCAGGTGCTGTTGAAGCATGTTTATTACATGGTCTTAAACGACGAGCTGTTGGATTATTTAAAACAAGTACAACAATGGCACTTTTACAAAAAATTGCTAAAACTTGTCCATCAGCAGCAGATGTTGTTAAAATGATTGAGGATGATCATCGACAAAATGATGAACCGGGTAGTTTACTTGTTTTGTCAAGGTAAAAAAATACATCGAATATTATAAATAAATTAAATTCCCCTTCGTTTTAATATTAAAGAAAATTTTCAAGTATAACTCAACATCAAACAACAAGCGTTGATAATAATCGACAACGAACAACTCGTTCAGCAGTACAAAATCGATATTTATGGATACGAATAGCACTTATTCATCGATCATTACATAAAATAGTTGAATATATTGTTGATAATAGTTCGTAAGTATTCTAAAATTATTTTCTTTTGTTTTTTCTTCTATCGAGTTAATTTTTTGTAGAAAATATTATGAACCATATGCACTTGTTCATAATACTGTTCAAGGACCGATTTTAGCTTCTCTTCTTGGTAAATCAAAAAATAATTTATTTAAATTATTTTAAAAGTATTTTTTATTAAATAGTTGGTCCATGTGCACTTGAATTTACTCGAATGAAAACAAGTGATCATTTATGGACAGATCCACATGCTGATGAACTTGTTCAACGTCATCGTATGCATAATAATAATCGAACGACAATAAATTCAACGACAATGATGATGAATATGAATAATTCAAATTCAACGAAATATCGACCAAGTTTACAAATTAATGTAATCAAAAAAAGAAAATTATTATTGACTTTTCTATATATATATATATCAAATGAATAAATTTTAGTTAAAACGTCATGCAAGCTCATCAGGCGAAGAAACACAACGACATAATCAATTAATATCAACGAATACAGCTAGAGATTATGTTGAATCACTTCATCAAAATGGTAAATCACAATTACTTTACGGCAAAAATAATGTTCTTGTACAACCAGTAAGAAGAAATAGAATACTTCGATTTTTATTACATGAAATTTATTATTTTCAGATTCCTAGTCATGACCCGATACCTGGTTATTTATCGTTACATCATAATAAACATGGTTTAACATTAAAATGGACACCAAATCAATTAATGAATGGTTATGAAGGTACAAAAATATTAAAAAATGATTCACAAGAAATAAATGATCCAAATGAATCTCCAAAAAAATATAGGTTTATTTAAATTGAATAAAATTAATCGAACTATTCATTTTTTTTCTTCTATTAGTGTTTATTGGGATTATGCAATATCTATAAATATGTCTTCTATTGTTTATCTTCATTGTCATCAACATGGTAGAAATAAAACTATGATTATTTTCCTTAATTTTTAAATTTTCTTTTAGTTGATGGTGATCGTATTGTATTTATTGGTCGTGATGGTGTTCAATATCCACCATTTCATATTAAAAATAAAGGTGGACATTTATTAGCATTTCTTACTTGTTTAGAAAATGGTCTTGGACCAAATGGTCAATTAGATCCACCATTAGGATATGAAAAAGGACAAGGTTAGTTGAATTTATTCTATAAAATTGTTACTTACGGTATCTTCTATAATTTAATTTTGTTAGGTAAAATATTACCAAAATTACATCGTCGTACAGATCGCTCTTCAACATCTACAATGTCATTCAATACAAGTGATGATGATTCAAATGCACAAATGAATTTAGATATAACAGATGAAGACGCATCATCACCAACAGCTGATTATGTTTTTCGAATTGTCTTTCTTACTGATCGTTAGTGATCTATATTGTCTAGTATCTTGTTATTTGTACGTGTCTGCTTTATTTGTATCATAATAGTATAAGAAAGGTATTTATTCATAGTTTGTTATCACTATGAACAAATAGTCTACTTATACTATGAAGTTTTTAATAATGAAATTTTTATTATTGTCATATTTTATTACCTAGACGAAGCAATAAACAATCGTGAATCCAATCGAAGGCAATGGTCTGCAGGAGCAACTAATTCATCGTCATTATCTTCTCAATCATCATTATCACCATCAGCACAAATGAATAGTGCTAGTGTACCATCACCAGCTTCACCTACAGATACAGCATTTTCAACTTCAGGTGTTTATGTATCATCAATCGGTAGTTTACCTAAAAGTCATTCTGTTAGGTAAAGAAATAAATTTATATACGATAAAATCTTTTTATGAATTATAAATAATCTCCAAATAAAATTTATTTAGATCATCAATGTCTTATTTATGTGATACAATGCGTCATCAAATTTTATCTCGTGCATTTTATGGTTGGCTTGCATATTGTCGTCATTTAAAAACTGTTCGTATACATCTAACATCTCTTGTTAATCCTGTATCAAAAGTAGACAATACTGAACATGTAAATCCAGAACTTTATTTGACATTTGATGCATGGTCAGAATTATTTCTTAATAAACAAGCTGAACATCTACCAATTGATAAAAAAGAGATTTATCGAAGAATTTATTCCGGTGGTTGTGAACCATCTATACGAAAACAAGTAAATATTATTAAATAACCAAAATATTATTTTTGTATTTTATTCAAAGGTATGGCCATATCTTTTTTCTCATTATTCATTTGAATCAACAATGGATGAACGAAATGATATTGATTGTTCAACAATTGATCGATATAATTTATTAACAAATGAATGGCAAAGTGCTGAACATATTGTTATGCAAATTGATCTTCAACATTCAAATAATCGTAAAAATGCCAAAGAACAATTAGTTAATAAACCACCTATTGAAGTGAAACAAAATTCAACTGAAATAACATTAACATCAATAAAAAATGCTCTTGCTAGTATACCAGAAAAAATTTCATTACCAAATTTTAATAATCTTGAACGAAAAGATTCAAGTCAATTCAATGATGTTTTTTATGATGTATAATTTTCTAAAAAAAGAAATTCTCGGTTTTTTTCTAAAGTCTTTTTATGTTTTATTCATTAGGATTCTTCAATACATACAGTGTCAATACCAATTTTAGAAGAGTCTAGTCCCCCAGGAACACCATCTGGTGAACAACGTTTATTATCATCTTCATCGAATTCTGGAGTACTTATTGCTCGAACACGAACTGAATCTGTTATTGATCGTTCATCACCTTATAATATAATTGAAACTAGTATAGATATGGATGATATTGATGATGATGCTATTAATGATGATGATGATGATGATACTACGAATGAAGATGATGTTCATATGAAACCAATTGATAATGATAATGATAATGATAATGATGAAGTAATGATGAAAGAAAAAGAGAATACTTTATCACCATCATCAAGTTTAACATCTGGAACTGATGTTTATATGGATGCTGTTGAAATTTTTAGTGATGAAAATCAAGATAATAAATCTGGTAAATGATTATTTTTTGATTAATTAAAAATACGTATTTTTGTTTTTAAAATTATATTTAGATGGTACAATAACACCTATATGTTATGGATCATTTACAAAAGATATTATTGATGCATTTACACTAAATCTGCATAGAATTGATAAAGATGTAGCAAGATGTGATCGAAATTATCCATATTTTACTAATCTTAATAATCTTAAAAAATTACGAAATGTTATGTGCACGTAAGTATTAATAGTTTCTAAAAAAATGCGGAAACTTCGGATTTTATCTGAGAGTTATGTGTACTGCCAAAAGTGTATACGGAAATATCAGTATTTTTGCAATAACTCAAGAATGGCTAAGCCAATGAGGCTCATCTTTGAACTCGACTGAGATCTAGATGAGATTAAACTGTGTACAAAATTTCATAAGAATCGGTTTATCCTTTCGAAAGTTATCGAGTAAACGGACACACTAATCGACTCGAGAGTGTACTCACTTTTTGAGTACACAACAAGAAAGTCTTACAGTTATTTGAATAAATTTACTTTTCATTTCCTAGATATGTATGGGATAATCTAGCAACTGGTTATATTCAAGGAATGTGTGATCTTGTAGCACCATTACTTGTCACTTTCGATGAAGGTTTATATAAACATCTAAGAAAATTATATCCAAAAAAACTTTTTCTTCTGTTATGTTTTTTCTAGAAGTTATAACATATAGTTGTTTTTGTTATTTAATGAAACGTCTTTTACCAAATTTTCCTCATGGAGCTGGTATGGACGAACATTTTGGTCATATGCGTTCTTTATTACAAATTCTTGATTTTGAACTTTATGAACATATACATCGTACAGGAGATTTTACACATTTTTATTTTTGTTATCGATGGTTTTTATTAGATTTCAAACGAGGTAAATAAAACAAAATGTGTTAAATAAATTATTATTTACTTTGAATTAATTCTATAGAATTTGTTTATGATGATATATTTTTGGTATGGGAAACAATAGCTGCAGCACGACGTACAGTTTCAAAACGATTTGTTTTATTTATTGCATTAGCTATGTTAAAAATTTATCGAGAAATTATATTAGATAATCGAATGGATTTTACCGATATTATAAGATTTTTTAATGGTATAGAATTTTTTCTTTTCATTTATGAATATATCTATTCATGTATTATAGAAATGGCTGAACGACATGATGCTCGAGATATATTACGTATAGCAAGAGAATTAGTACTTGAATTGCAAAAATTGATTGATAATAAATAAGGGAAAAAAAGAAAGATTAAACGATGATAAGAATAGTTCTATTTTTGTCTTGTTGTCATATTCTATGTTGTTAATCACATTTTTTCATTTCAAATAAATCATTATTTATTAGTATATCTATTATTATTATTTTTGTTTTTGACGTTGTTTTCATCTATTCTTTCACATAGATATATGTGCAATTGTTTATTTTCTTTTTTTTGTTGTGATTTAAAAACAAAAATTATTTTAATGTTGTTTTATTTATCGTTGTTGTTTTCATTAAAATATATAAAAGTATTTATTAACAAATTTTACTGAAACTATAAACATTACATAGAGAAGTTTATGATAACGAAAATTTTTATTACTTAACTATAGAAAACAAAAAACAAATTTATTTCTTATTTTTTGATTTTAATAAACGATTTTGTTCGGTTTGAATAATTTCTCTTGCAATAAATTTTTCTTGTTCTAATTTAACAGCTAATTTATTTATTTTATTCGTTGCATTTTCTTCTTGTTGTGTTAAACGTTTTTCTAATTGTTTTAATTCAGTTGTTTTCGTATCCAGTGCTTGTCGTTGTGCAACATAGGTTTGTTCCATTGCAAGTGTTTTCGTATATAATTCAGAGTTTTTACGAATTTCATCAACTGTTGTACGACGAATATGTTGTAAAGATTTTTCAAATTCTGCACGTTCAAGATCAATTTTTGAACAAGCTTCTTCTAATACAGCATAGGTTGATGTTAATTTTGCATGAACATCATCAAGTTCAGTTTGAAGTTGAGTAGAAAATAAATTTGCTGCATCAAGTTGATTTTGTAAATCATTTGAATGAGCTAACGATGTATCAAGTTGATTTTGAAGGTCTAATGAATGAGCTTGAGATTGTTCAAAACGTAAATTAAGTTCATCATAGTCCGCCCGAGGTACATGTGCTCGTGTTAGAGAGTCACGGAGTGTTTCTATTGTTGCACGTTGTGATGCAATTACAGAATGAAGTTGTGATTGAATAAAAGAAGATGTACTTCCATCCTATATAAGATAATAGGAAGAATAGAGATTACTTAATAAGCAATTCATTTGGTTGAATGCATGATAGAAAAAACGAAATTAATTTATAATATTGAATAACCATCGAAAAGAAATTCTTAATTGAATTATTCTACTGTTTTAGTAGAGGTTTTGTTAACATAACTGAGCATTCAGAATATTGAAATTTTCTTCTCGATTATGTATACAATCAGAAGAGCAATGTAAATATTAGAATGTGAGGAAAAAATAGGAGATTGAATTCTGCCAAATTTTGCAGTCAATACATTTAAAACTGATTGTAAATTATTAGAATTCTCAACATGTTGTCTACGATAAGGAACGCACATTAAAGTAAGTTCCGATAACTTTCTATTTATTCTAATTCATGAATATTCAACAGGATGTACGCTTTCCCTCTTGGAAAATAATTACTTATGTGACTGTTTATAAAAACATATAGACACATCTTAATATATACAGAAAAGTTGTCAATCAACCAAAGTAAGTATTGAACATATATCTCTACATCTAAAGGTTAAACTTAATCATTGCGAGTGACTACTCAAATTAAATAAATATTATAAAAGATTTATTCCAACTTTTTCTCCTTCTCATTTGTAAAAAAAAAGTAGTTCATATATTTCTATCTATCGTTTACAAATAAGAAGAGAATAAAAAAAACGAACTAACCTTTGTTTCTTCCATCAACTTTGAATTTTATTTTTTATTTCAAAGAACATTAAAAAAAACAGCAAATATTTCTAAACAAATAGCAATGACCTCTATAGGAAATATAAATTTAATAGTATCGATTAGAGCTTCAGTCTAGTTGATTGGATCAATAGGAATAAATGTCTTGAAACCATTATCTACCACAATATAATTCATTTTATTTCTTCAATTTACATGTAAGATTTTCTTGTATAAATTTTTCTTGTTGTTGTTTAACATAGATTCTTCGATATCTAATCGTTATTTTATTTAAATCTTGTTTTGTATCATTTAATTCTCGTTTAAGATATTTTTCTTTCTTTTCAACATGTAATTTTTCAATAGATAATTCGATATTTTTCTCTAATTCATTTTCTAATGTTTGTCGTAAATCACAAATTAATTTTTCAAGAATAACTCGTTCTTTTGTTGAATGTTCATCAAGTATTGATAGGGCATCGAATATTGCGGTACATTTATTATAAGCATCTTTTAATTGTCGACGTAAAGAATTACATTCATTAACAGCAATTTCATATTTAAGATCCGTTGACATTCGAGAAAATTCTATTTTATATCTGTTACCACGTCCTTTTATTCTCTTGTTTTATTAAGCCGATTTATGCAATTGATGTTCTTATCTTTATCGAAAGAGATATTGCCTAGGATAGAATCATATTTCATACATTCCTTATTTTCTTTTTGTCCATAGTGAATGATTATTTCCATAGTTTCATATAATAGAGTATTTGTAAAGTAACAAATTTAATTTAAAAATGTAGCTTTTCATGATACTAATAGTTAGATTTGAAATTTATGACATAAATAGTTTAAAAATATTTACGTTAGACATCTGTTACAGAAACGTTCTATTTTAAAAAAAAGCACGTTCGAAACATTATTGTATAATAAATTACTTTCTATTTCTTAAATGACTTTTATCGTCTATATTTCAAGGGTAAAAATAAGATAAAGATATACTTAGCATTTATGTATAGTTTCATTCTCATCGATTCATTGAAAGCTTTACCCGTGAGATAATTTTAATTTACTAGGTACAGAATACAAATGTATTAATTCTGGTAGTTGAATGTTAAGAAAATAGAAATTTATCTTACGATCCATTTACATTCTCGGTAAGATTTTGTCAAGTGTAGTTTTTTCTATAGTTGTATCATTAGATGTATCTATTAGCACGCATCTTGGTTGAATACTTCAACAAAATTGAGTTTTCTATTGTCTGATGCTTAAAGAACAATTCGTGTTCAAGAATACTATTGTCATGTTAATTATAAATAGAATAATATTTTGTTATTCTTCACAATTTATTAATTAAGAAATATTGTTTATAAGTATCAGGTACTTTTCTTCGTACTTAAAATTTTTTTAAATAATGAACGCATTAGATAAGATATTCATTCAGACAAAAGCGGAATGTATTTAATATTTTTTTCATTTTTTAGACTAAACTAAAAATGAGTAATAATGTTGATATGATCGAAACAAGTCCTATGGAAGAAGTAAGTTTGAATTTATTATTTTTTGTAATTTTGACCTATTTATTATTTAGTCTTCAACTAAAATACATCAACAAAAAGAAGATGATGATCATCATCGACAATGTGTTGATGAATTACGCACTATATTTCTTCAAGTTCATCGTTATCAACAAGAACCAGATAAACATGTAAGTTACAAATTTTAAAATTGATTTTATTTATTTTCCTTTTTTTAGAAAGATGAATTATCACAACTTCATGCACGTGGAATGCATTTATGTAATAAACTTCGTTCACTTAATCGAAATGGTCGTATGCGTATACAAAAAGCTCGAGAATTAACTGCTGAGGTTTCTTTATTTATTTTTATAAATTTAATTTAATATATGTATGTTTTTTTAGCATCGTAATCGACTTGATGATCAAACACTTGAACAACAGAATCTTCTCTATGAACTTTCACATATTAACAGAGAAATCGCACGTTGTGAAGAATTTAAGTAAGAAAATATTTTCTTTTTTTAATATATATAATCTTATTTAATTTATTTAGATCGAAAGATCAACAATTAGAATTAGTTAGTGTCGAAGATTTTTATGCAAATGCACCACCTGAACTTACTGATTCAGTAAAATAATATATATATTTAGATTCTTCTTGTAATTTATAAAAAAAACTTTGTTTAGAACGTTACTGGTAATGATCCTCATCGACTTCATTTATTTCAACTTGATTGGGAATTAATGCAAAGAGAAAAGTAAGTTTCTATTATTTGTTCTTTTTTCATCTTAAAAATGAAATTTAATTAGATTACATGATGATTGCAAAGCATTGCAAACTGAAATAAGTGACCTTAAAAAACAAATTGTTCGTCGACGTAAACGACTTCGTTCATTACGTCCTAAACTTAAACAAGTTGTTAAAGTATAATATAAATATTCTCTTTATAATTATAAATAAAAAAGCGATTCTTATTTCTAGTCAACAGAACCTGTTCGTCGATATATTGAATCACAATTTGATGACACAAATAATCTTTCACAATCAATTAATAATCCATTAATTGCAAAATTACCAGATCCACTCTATGTTCTCTATAGTCTTGTTTTAGCTTATCAACAATGTGATGGTATGTAATAAAAACTCTTAAAATAGAAATGTCATAGAAAAAAATATAAATTAGTTTTTCTTTGTTTTGAACATTTCTGGTAAATAGTTTTTGTCATATCCGGTTCCTGTTTTATAGTTGAACTTGTTTTTTATTTACAACAAATTAAGAAATCCAGAATGGAAATTAGTATTTAAATACTTTTTTTTCTGTAGACTACTATTTCTATCTGAACAAGTCATGATAAATATTCTGTCATTATTTTTCAATTAAATAAGACATATTTCAATGATGATAATACTTAATGAGACAGAAAAAAATTTGAATATATTAATTTTAGGTCGTCATGTAACGTGTCAAATTGAATCGAAAGAAGATTCATCAACAACGAATTCATCTATGGATACAAATTCCGATGGGATATTTATAAATGGTGATCATCAACATCAATCATTAATGCGTCCACATCCGTTACATGTGAAAATGAGTTTAATACTTTCTCGTAATTAATTTTTATTAGATATTTTTCAAATTTCTCTAAACATATTTATACTTGATTTTAGCTGATCATACAGGAGAACTATTGTTTACATTTTTACCTCATTTAAATATTGTTACTATTCAAGGAAAATTAACTGGTCTTAAAGCTCAACAAAGGTAAAGAAAATTTTTAGAAAGAAAAAAAATTTTTTTTTTGACTTATAGTCAAACATTAACATCAACTCTTCTTCATAATTTACTTGATGATAATGATAATGGTCAATTATCACCGAATCCAACAACTGATTTTCTTTTTCAACAACAAGGGTTAATAAATAATCAACATAATCAAAAACAAAAAAACTTTCCATTTCTTCTATTTTTAGAAAATCTTCTCCAATTTTTTCGGATACAAATGGCGGTTATCCATATCATTGGATTCAACAACTATGTAAATGTCAAATGGTTCCATTACAACGTCAAGAACTTGCAACTGATTGTTCAGAAATAATCAAACGTTTAACTCAACGTATGCGTGCACGAATTGCACTCGATCGTATATTAATTAATTTAGAAAAATCTGAAATGCCATTATTAGCTGAAGGTCATGAAACAACACATATACTTAATTCATCATTACGTCGTTCAATAAATAATCTACCAATATTTCGTTCATGCCGGGAAATATCATTTGATGATATTCATAAATATGAACATATACAAACATTAATTAATGAAAATCTTATTGATCGTATAACAACATCAATATATGAATGTAAATTTCAATCATTATCACAAGATGAAAATAATAAAACAATGCTATATGCTCATATATTTATTCCACCTAATTATCCACAAGCAAGATCAATTATTCTATTAAAACTTATTTCAACAATTAATGGAAATAAAACAATAGAACGAACAAGAATCAATAGTGAAAATATTAAAGTATGTATTAGGTTTTTATATGTAAACCAATAGAAATAAGTTAACGCTCTATGTCGAATCAAACAGGATTGACATAATAGATAGCTTTTTATTTGACCTTTAATGTGAAAATAGGTGACTAAACTGTAAACAAAAACAAGAAGCTAGGCATAACATTGATAAATATGGATTTATAATACTTTAGATATTCGAACGATCGTTGATATTTGATGTTACATATCCGTCAATGATATCGAGTGGAAGTGGATCAGTTGATTTATCACAACATTTTACATTACTTGCTCAACAAATTTGGCGTTTATCAATTGGATTTCCATTATTAATTGATGCTGAATCTAATTTAACTTGCACGTATGTAATTCAAATTTAATAGTTATTGTGTTTTTATTTTTTATTTTTTTTTATTAAATAGAAGTCGTCGTCGTCAAACATTATTATCTCGATTAATTGATTAATATACACTTGTGTATTAATATATTTGAAAAATTCTTTTTTCTTTCTTGAAATAAAAAAAAACAAGAATTTTTTCTGTGTTAAAATTATCCTGTATTTTTTTCTGTTGAATCTCTTATTCTAGATGTGATAATCTATCATAACTCGTAATGCCATGCTTGTCTTTTCGACGTCGAATGTTATTCAATATGTATCAACGCACATTGCGTAGTTCTTTTCTTTGTTTAATTATATTATTTTTAACAATAATTATTGTTATACTGCTCACTTTCCGTTTATCGAATCTCCAACAAGAATGTTCAACAAATATCAACGTCCCTCAACAACAACAACCACAAAGAATACAGTATAATTCATCATCAGAACATCCAGTTATATTTATCGGTGGAATGCCACGTAGTGGTACAACATTAATGCGTGCTATTCTTGATTCCCATCCACTTGTTCGTTGTGGAGAAGAAACAAGAGTTATACCAAGAATATTAAGTATGAGAGCGGCATGGAAAAAATCACCTGTTGAATGGAATCGGTGAGTTAGATATTTCTAATTTCATTTTTTTACGTGCTAAATTTATCTATATCTCTCGTGTTCATTATTTATCAATTGAAAATTAAAAGGAAATGTTTTATATATTATTAACTTTGTTGATTTTGACAATAAAATCAACCTGTTAGATTTAATAAGAAAATATGTCATTTTTGTTTTGTAGACTTATTGCTGGTGGTATAAGTGAAAGTATGATTGATTCTGCTGTACGTGCCTTTGTTTATGAAATTTTACTTCAACATGGTAAACATGCTGATGTTCTTTGTGATAAAGATCCATTTGTTCTTAAATATACATCATATATATCATCAATATTTCCAAATGCTAAATTTCTTTTATTAATTCGTGATGCACGTGCTGTTATACATTCAGTAATGACACGTAAAGTAACAATAACTGGTTTTAGCTTAAGTGATTATCGACAAAATTTAAGATTATGGAATAAAGGTATTGAAACAATGGTTAATCAATGTACAGAAATTGGGAAAGATAAATGTTTAATGGTTTATTATGAACAACTTGTTTTACAACCAAAAAAAACTATTGCAGATATTTTAAAATATTTAAATCTACCTTGGGTTGAAAGTGTGCTGCATCATGAAGAACTTGTTGGAAAGAAAATATCTCTGTCAAAGTAAGTTTTATGAAGAAAATAAAATCTCGAAGATTAACTGAAATCTTTTTTTATAGAACCGAACATTCATCGGATCAAGTTATTAAACCAATTAATACTGAAGCTTTAACTAAATGGGTTGATCATATACCAAAGGATATTAAAAATGAATTAGATACATTAGCACCTATGCTTAAAAAACTTGGCTATGATATACAATCAGATGTACCGACATATGGTGTTGCTGATCAATTAGTACTGGATAATATGAATAAATTGAAAGAAAACGCTGATTTTTGGAATGCTAAAGCAAAATCTTACGCCCGTCAAGCACCTAATGATACACGTCCATTTCAAAATCAGTCAGCTCAACGAACTATACATTAAGATCATTTTCTTTGTTGATTTGTTATTAGTTGTGAAGGAAAAAAAAACGCATAACTATATTTTGTAGTTGTCTGTCATTGTTGTCCTATTTGTATTTGAGATAATATGTTTTAGTAAAAATGCGATTGTAGTAGATAGAAAGCATATCTATAAATATATATATATGTGTATCTATAACAATGCAAAACTTAAATTTTCTTTTTAAATTTTTTCTTTTCTTGTCGCGAATTTTTATTTCATTAGTAACAGAAAGAGAAAAATGTATAGATGCACGTTAAAGTTGATTCTAGTATAAAAGTCAGCAATAAATGAAAAAAAAACATTATACTAATAAAACTCTCATTAAACAATTTATTTCTATTTTTCTCATAGAAATCTATTTTAAAATTGCTATTAATGAATTATAGATCTACGAATAAACTTTTCTTACATCTATACAAATCTATGTTGTAGTATTATTTTGTAGTGGTGTTTGTTTTCTTGATAAAAAGATACTGAATCATAAATCTGATGAAAGTTTTAATGTCATTTCTTAGAGCTTTTTTTTGTTATATTCACCTCTAAATTGTTAAAGTCACGCAGTTTTTTTTCTTCTTTTATATTTCTTTATATATAATTTTTTAATTTCAATAGATAATAATTCCCATTTGTAGAATCTAGAATTTATGAATATCTTATTTTTGTTATTATTAAAAGTATCACAAATATATAATATAATGTTGTTAGATTATTGAAAGCTGAAGTCGAAATTTTTAAACTAAAAATAGAATTTTGTTTTTGATTTCAAGAAAATTTACAACTATCCATGATTGTAAAAAATCAAATTTATCGATCTCTGTCGTTTAAATATTATTCTTCAAATGAGCCAGTATGTTCATTATAAATTGAAGGATCGAAAAGATTTAGAAATTATTAAAAATATGCTCACTCACATAACGATTGATGAAATTGAAAATATATAATTATAGCAGTTCTGATAATCATTAAATGGCAACACCCAATCTTATTGAAATTCAATAAAAGTGTTGTTGCCAACAAAAGAAAGAAAAACTAAAAAAAGCGTTGTTGTAAAAAAAAGAAAAAAAGCGGCTCTAAGTCAGAAATCAGGGCTATATTTAAGCTAAGTGTAGTCCATTTCTAATCATCATCGTCGTCTTCTTCACTATCGTCGTCGCTGTCTTCTTCATCATCATCATCACTTTCATCGTCTTCCAGTGGACAACATTTGTCATAACACTTGCGACATATATAATCACTATCATCATTGGATGGACATGTGTGAAATGACACATTACCCTTTGATACCTGTTTTCGACATAAAACACATGGAAACCTTTTCTTGCTAGTGTCGCTTTCATCATTCAATGAACAACCCAATCCCATGATTAGTTTACACTTCGTGTTCATCAAATTTCCCTTATTGATGAAAGCATAGAGAAAACAAATCAGAGAGAACTGTTTTTCGAGTTCATGAACAAGTAGTTGTTGTATTTCTGTAGATTTGTCAAGTCGAGTTTGAAGTAAAGTGAGAATGGGTTCAAGCTGTTGAAACGAACATGTGGCTACATGATTGGCTTGTTCATTACGTGGGCCTGTCCAGGGACATAGATTATGTGCAGATGGACATGGCACCAATATCTTAGTGCACTTGGATTGATGATCAAGTAAGTTGCCACGTTGAATGTTCATCTGCTGACAGTGTGTGCATCTAATAAGAAGTCGATTGAGTTGATTAATAAGAGCATCTGCTTTGACTGGAGACCAGGGAGATGTTCTATGTTTATCTTTATCATTAATTGCTTTTCTACGACATTTTGGACATCTGGTATCACTTTTCAGCCATTTTTCGATGCAATGCTGACAAAATGTATGTTTGCATTCAATAGTTACAGGATTTTGAAATGGGTCGGTACATATGCTACATTTGAGTTCATCATCAGTTTGTGCATCATTCATATATTCATAATCGCAGACGATCGTGTCTCTAGCAGTAGCCATTAATGGAGTTCAGAGTCGAAGTTAATACAAAAGTCTATACTTCCTTACAATGATTGAGTGTAAAACGAATCTTTGTGATTGTTTGATAGATCGAGCTTGTTTTATCACAATCGTCTGATCGTTTGTATTCTTTTTATATATCATAATCGTGATCGATGTAGGTTTTTTCCAAAATAAAAACCCAATATCCACGTTGGATATTTTGTAGAGAATCGTCTGAATCACTCAATGGGGTTTTTCTACGTAATACAGTGCGTCGACAATTTCATTGGGCTCTTTCCTCTCATCTGGCTTGTCACGCTTTTTGATTTTTCGTTTCATCTGACTTATCATGTTTTTTTATCATCCCTTATTTTTTAATTTGTATCATCATTGTGAAGCAATATAGTATGAGAGAGAAATAAAAAAGAGAAAAAAGAGCATAAGGATGACGTCGAAGCACTGTAATGTGCGGGGAAAAAAACCAGCTAAGTCATTCATGCAAAACGTATAGCATTAATATTGATTCCGTAACTTGAAAAAAACCTCACACTGATGACGACTATGATTAGGAAACGCTGGGCCCAACTTTTTGAACTCAGACCTGGATCCGAACTTTTTATTCTCTTCATAAATTTTTTAATTTGAAGCTAAACGTCGGTCTTGAAAATATGGGATACTTTGATTCGATTATTTGTATATAACGACTAGCACACACTATGTATTTTTCAAGCAATTGTGAAGCAGCATCAAATGCATTATCGTCTGCATCTGCTACCCTAGTATTAGTAGGCATCTAGAAGTCACAATAATTGTAATTTATTTTTTTATTATATATTTTAATGGTTCACCCTACTCTGATTGAAAGTAAAAATGTCGAAAAAAAGACGTGGTAGGTAGCGCCATTTTTCGACATTTTTAATTTTTGACGTTTTACAGTAGAATCATCAAATTTATCGATCTTTATCGTTTAAATATTATTCTTCAAATGAACCAGCATGTTAATTACGAATTGAAGAATCGAAAAGACTTGGAGATTATTAAGAATATGTTCACTCACATAATGATTGATAGAATTGAAAATATATATTATTCATTGATAATTATAAGGGAAAGTAGTCAAACGGGTGGGTGTGGTATGAATGTGGGTATAAAACAGTGCGATGCCCACATCCACACTCTGTACGTCGGTATTTTACCTGTCGACATTTTTACTTGTCGACATTTGTCTACTAAATCCCACCATTCGTTGAAGTGTATGATTTACTTTAAAAACAAGAGATCGATTAGTAAATAGAATACTAGGCATAAGAGGCAGTTTCATTATATTATTAGTATTTACACAAATAACCTTTAATCTATATTTAAACAATAAGAATTCCTAAAGATATTTTGTTTAAAATAATTCACAAATGATATTGTTTCATAATTATCGATCGACTATATCCACGTATAATGCAATAGTTTAAAAACCTATGAAATTAATTCAAATAATTGATAAGAGAAAATGAATAATTAAAAAGAAATGTTTTCAATAATAAAAACAACGAATGTTTAAGTTATTCTCTAAGCTACAGAATATATCAGCATTTTGTTTTAGAATCAATTCATCAGAAGTGTCTGTTAACTTGGTTTTTATACAAAAACAACCGAAATATTTGTGAGCAAAAGTAATGTATTCTTTCTTTTCTTATATAATATCTGTGTTAATGGTTTGAATATTATTTTAGAAAAATATTGATAATTTTAACTCTTTTTTCTACCAATGATAATAAATATTCTAACATTTTCATCTTGAAGATGTGAATATGTGTTTGGTTGTTAAAGAAGAATTGTATTCGTATTTAGTCCCCCACATGCATAATGTAACTGAATTAAAAGGTGTTCATTAATTTAAGCATTTGTATAATTTTTAATCATTTTCTATACATTGTCTCAAAGTGTATTAATTCCACGGAGAAAAGTCAACGTGAATATTAAAAATTACGTTTAAATGTATAACAAAGAAGAGGCAGAGAGAAGATTAAGTATGAACTATCAATGTATAAGACAATCAATACAAATAATTCATCGAAGAAGAAATAATAGATTGTCGGTAGGATGCTCTCTAGTATTCAGTGTTTAATTATTGTTTCAGAAGTGATGTCATTAGTATTCTTTGTAATCTATGACGAGTATATCTTTATCATTCAATTGAACCTTATCATGATACATAATAGTTTTATACTTTATAATAATTAATCTCAAGGAAAAATGGTCTTTTTTTCAATTTGTTTTTGTTGATCTGACATTTTCATTAAATTATGGTGCATCAGTGAGGCAACAAAAATGATTGAAAATCAATTTATGAATGAGTGATCGTCTGTAATTCTTATCATCTTTTATATCTGTATAGTTGTTATCAAAGGAGGAGATACAAGTATCAATCAATAATATTTCTTTTCTAAGATTATCATTAAGTAATTGTATCCAACTACATTTATTCTCAGAGTCGACACGTAATTATATTGTTATACTATAATAAAATGTACTTTTTTCTATCAAGAACATATATTTTGTATTTGACTTTTTCAAGGTCAGTATGCAATGTACGCAACATCGAATTATAGAAAGTAATGAAAAAAAGGGACAGAAATACAGAGAACGAAATCTGAAAATAAACGATCAGTAATTACGTAATTAGAGATGAAAAACTGCTTGTCACTCACTCACTCGTTATATATTGTTCGTTCTTTCGCCGATGCATATTATCTATTGGAGAGAATCCTTGTAACGATACGAAATAACGACCGAAAGCGTATCAACAAACGGTCTGCTCTACAGGTGACATGAATTAGTGAGGAAACAAAAAAAGTAACTGATGAATGAATATAAATCAGTGACCGAAGCTTTCTTTCTTTATCTCTATGAAATCATCAAAATAAATGATGAGAGGCAAACAAAAAAAAAGGTGAAGAGGATATCGTTAAAATGCATACTGTATATTTTATTATGAGAAAATTTTATAAATATTTAATATCTTTTTAATATAGATTAACAACAGTATTGTTTAAATAATCCAGCATCATTTGAAAATCTTTGTGCTATGATAGATCGAGAGAAGGAGAGAACACAAGTATATCTTTGAATTGCAATTATATATGTAATTATACTCGAATCTACCTCCATTTACTAACGTCATTAAATATTACCTTTAGTTTTGAGTGAAAAACAATTTTGTCGCAAAATTTTCTATTTTTTTGCTCAATAAGCTACGTGCGATGCAATATTGAATCAGTGAAGCGATAGTTTTCATACGAATATATTGTTGGTCACCAAAAAACAACGTATTCAGTTAGTAACGAAAATCAAATATCGACATTTAAATATTGTATGTAATATTCGATAGGTATTTAAACAACTTTATTTTTTATATTGTATATAGATAAGTAAGGGAGATCAATGGAATAGAGTGGACGCGTTGAAGTGAAATATCCTTTTTCATTCTTGATCAAGCGATTTTTTGACGGTTAAAGTCATATATATTATCAGATTCATCTATTTTTTAAATTGTTGACAACTTTCAGTCACTCTATCTGATAATTACATTATTGGAAAAGTTAAATCAATTCTGTTTGGTATCATTAAAAGATAAATAGATGTTTTATTTACTGTTTCTATTGTAGATAACAAATAACTTCTATGGATATTGAAGTCTTACCATCAGAATTCTCAAATCATGAAGGGCCTTCTATTATCATCGATTCTGACAGTAGATCAAAGACAATTACGACACAAAAAGATCCAACACCTACTGACCCTTATGATTTCGTATTGACTCAGACAACTACGTACGTCTTATTCATATTATTTCAATAATAATTTATATCTTTCATCATTAGAACAACTTGTCTGCCATGTTTGTCACGTTCAACTAAAGTAGTGATTATATTTGCTTTATTCACAAGTTTATCAATGATGAATGCTATCCTAACCGTTTATTACACTTCAGCAAAACCACCAAGTTTGTCATTTTTATGTGATATAATTAATAATGAAGACATTCAACGTCGAATTAAAAAGACACATTGAAATTATAATATAAAGTGTATTTCAGAATTCTATTTTCGGTTGAGTTAAAATTCAGTTAAAACTAGTTCTTTTTAAGTTGAATATTGTAGGATGTTTAATGAAGTGTACAAAAAGAAAAATACGTATTTTTTCTGGCGTACAACAGATTTCTGTTCATATTAAAAATTAGCTGAGTCAACCAAAAACTGAACGAAAATCCTTGTAACAAAATTGAATAATACAAAGAGAAAATGAATCAATTCATATTAAAGATACACAGCTATCTGGGGTTTATTTTATTTTACATCATCTATATATCTTATGTTATTTAGGTAAAGTGTGCACATTTATCCTAACATCAGACGCTAAGAGTTCGATCGGTGCTGATTCTCATCCGTATTCGGTTGCCGTAGCTGATCTTAATAACGATGGTCTTCTTGATATAGTCGTGCCAAATTCTGGGATCAACAAAATTGGAGTATTTCTTCGACAAGCCAATAATACATTTGCAGATCAAATGACATTCTCGACTGGTGATTATTCTATGCCGCACTCACTAGCTATTGCTGATATCAATAATGATCAACGACAGGATATAATCGTAGCAAATTTTGGCACTAATAATGTCGGTGTCTTTCTTGGAAGACCTAATGGTACTTTTGGTTCTCAAACAACTTTTTCAACTGGATCTTCTCGTCCACGATGGGTTATTATAGCTGATTTCAACAATGATACACAACCTGATATAGCTGTAGTTAATCATGGTTCGAACAATATTGGTATTCTTTTAGGAGATGGAAAGGGAAATTTTGCCAATCAGATCACTTTTTCTACTGGTTTTGATTCTATTCCATACTCAATTGCGATTGCTGATCTCAATAATGATGGCAAGCTTGATATCGCTGTTGCTAATTATGGTACCAACAATGTAGGTGTTTTACTCAATTATGGGAATGGTACATTCGCTACAC